TTATTTATTTTATCGCATACTCGCATTATTGCCATTATTATATTACATTTATCGGTTGAAGATGAATCATGTATCATAAAAAATTGTAGTCAAAAGTTATTAGTTGTTAATATAAAAATTAAAAAAAATGACAATTATAAAATTAATTTTTTCGCGAATCGATACGGCATGGCTTTTCTTGTTAAATTAATAGATAATCGATAACTAGTAGAGTGTTGTTTGGACCGTTTGTGCTGTGTGTAGGTAACCCGGCACACTGATCGACATGCTTCTTCCATTCTCTTCCATAAATAGGACATGTCCATCACATCACCTCAGGTTTGTTTTGTTCATTTTTCTTTTTATTAGTTTTTCTTGTGACTTATCACTATCATTTAATCATTATTCAAATTTTCTTGCGTGTTCTCTCTCTCTCTCTCTCTTTCTTTCTATTCTTATCTTTTCAATTTTTATAGTTTCATAAATGATATGAAAAATAATAAATATAAAAATTTGTTTCACAGTGAAAGCACTTGCAACGCTACCCCTGAATTCAGAGATGAGCTTCGAAGATGACGATTTATCACCTGTGACTCCATTACCCCTTTATCAGCAACGAGAAAATTTCTACTCTTAAATAATAGACCATTTATTCAAAAGACCATTAAATAAATCGTACAAAAAAAAAGAATAGATATAATCAATTACTGCCATATTGTACGAGAAAAAAATGTTTCTTACATCTTTTTCTAACGAATCATAGCTCATAGAGTAATTCGTTGGTACAGATAAAAAGGCACAAATCTAGGTAGTGAGTATACTGTTATTGCCTTCTATAAATTGAACTATAATTACATGATTTTGAATTGCGTTTTATTGAAGCGTAATTTAATGGTTTATGATTTAGATATAATTTATTATGACTGAAGGACTGAAAATTTCTATTCCAGGAGTAATTCCTGTTGTAAATGCAAATGTGCTATAAAATCATTTATAATATATATACATATATATAGGCATAAATTGAATAATGTAATGTTATTAAGAGCGCACAATTATTAACTCTCCTCTGTACATTTATTTTACAATTTACATTGAATTGTATGTAAACTTTGTGTAAAGTAGCCACTACTCCTGTAATATTAATAAGATCAGGTTAGAGGGCAAAAGCTCTGTGTTTTGAATTAATATAATTATATAGCAATTTTGTAAAAAAGAAATTTCTTAACTTAAATTTAGGAAAGTAAATTGAATAATTTTTTTTATACATTATTATGGAACATAATAAAAGCTATCTTGTGATTCTGTTATGTAAGTTAGATAGATTCAAAGCTATAAGCTTATATCTTCCGACCTGATGATAGTTTTTTTTATACCTCAAGATATTTGCGATCACACTTTTTAACTATCATATTATTAGCAAATATTCTTATACTTCTACATATATTAAATAATTTAATATTTAATTATTAATAAAATAAAATAATAATTAAGTACTTGCAACTAATTATAAGAATAAAACAGTGCCAAATTCATTGTGCAATTCGATCACTATGGTCGTTGTCAATAATATTTACTATATTGTATGAAAATAAAATATTAAAAGAGTGCAGGAGATGGATGTGAAGAAAACATTGGTTGTAAGATTTTTTTTTTTTAATTTTCTTTTAATCGTATTTACTTAGTAAATTTTTTTTGCTTTTATATTTTATATTCATTGGCCATTAAATTGTCAATGACTTCGGTACAGCTTTAAGAATATAATCGAGAGAAAAAAATATACATACACCCACAAAAAATTTCGTAACTCCTATTAGCGATAAAATTACATTTAAGATGAAATGGAGCGCAAGAAATAAGTGTGAAGTGATGAGTGAACTAATCAAATTCAAGTGTGATCGCAAATTTCCATTAAAATTCCTCGAGAGTAGATATGAAAAAGAAAGTAAAAGATTACACTGCCCTTTTAATTATCTTCATATCCTAACTGCATATCTTTTAGCCTTATTCCGTTCACGTTCCCCTTGGGTATGCACGATTTTTTTAAATAAAATTTTACTCTCTTTAGACAATAATTATTAATATTTATACCTATCGCAAAATAAAATAAAATAAATAAATAAAAAATAGGAAATAAATAAAAGAGAAAAAGAAACGAAATTTGAACAATAAATTCTGATAAAAGCGATAAATATTTGTCAATTTATAACACAAAATTGTTTTATTTAATTAACTTGTTACTTGTTTGTCAACTCTTTAAGTCTAATTTGATTAATTTAAATTTTAAAATAAATTATAAATTAATTTTGTAAAGCGTAGAGCTTGTTAAACCAGGATTAAACAAAAAAATATCGCACACGAGAAGACTCGTAGATTCTAAAAATGTGACTGCGTAAATTTAGTGAATATAAAAGGAAACTATGCTTAAGATTAAACTGTTATATACATGTAGACCGTTTTAGATATACTAAATGTAATTCACTCGCATATAAATTAACGTAGATGATAGATAGTCAAGTTAATAATTAACAAGGATAATCAATTATACACACACAATTCTTGCGTGAGGTACAACTATTAGTCGTTGAACCACATTCTTGGATTTGTGTTTTAGAAACTCGAGGACGATATAATTGATACTGAAACACTAAGTACTCAATTATCGTCTAATTTTTTGTCGCTCAATTAAATTGTTTTCATTATACATAATATATACTAATCCGTTGATTATTGCATAGTTATTATATTAAATAAAATTCTACATTTGGAGTATAAATATATTTTGTAGTTAGGCAATGATTGTGTATATTATTATAATTATTGTAACGATTATCATTTTTATTATTAGTTAATAATTAGTTGATATAATTATTATTGTTTTATTTTTAAATATATACTATATAAATATATATACCTAAGTAACTAAATATAAGCACTTTAGAAAATTTGTAAAAAAACATTTTACAATGGAATTTATGACTCCAAATAAATTGATCAATACTAATAAAACATAGAGTTACGGTTTCTTTCATTATTCAGCTTGAAAGCAATTTAAACTAATTTTAGCAAAGTATGAAAAAAAATCAACAACATAAACTGGTTTTTATATCACCAAATTTTCTGGTACCACTAGTTTCATTTTTTTTCTCTCATGGTATTTGCATCAAAACTGCATTTTTGCACTCTTCTTTGATTATTCAGGATTCATTGAACTTTGAGTTCACTAAACTTTGAACCCTTCGACACTTTGGAGTATCAGTAAATATTTTGCTTTTAATAGCGCTATTAACTGCTGAGGAAAGCTTTGAGTTAATGTAGTAATATTTCGCTTGAAAAAAAAAGCTTATCTGAGAATATCTGTGAAATTTACATCTTGTCTTCATTCAGCTTGTAATAAGCTTTAATATCATAATACATAATCCAATTAAGATTGATAATATAATTAATACTATGTCATAATATTAAACTCAAACAAAAAGTGATTCATCAAAATTATTAGTCCGAAAAATTCACTGATAGGTAACATTTGAACATACAATATGAATCAGATAAAGTAAATAGAAAATGAAATTAAATAAAACATGTCATTGCAGAATGGAATTGAGAAATGAATGCATTTAAATTCTAATAAAAATCAAATGTAAAGATCTGGTAGCAATTTATTTTAATGTTTTAATCTCTAGGATCATAAATCAAGCATACGAGTCCTCGAGAGCAGATCATGATGCTGCTAATCCGATTGCTCTTCAAAAAGAAGTATCATCTTCTTTGAAATTCTCTCCTCCCCTTCAATCGATGTCCCTCGACTCGATCAGCAATCATATGCAGCTGGTTCAGTTTTGTTGGCGGGAGAACTAACAGGTCGACGAACCAGCCAATCGCGTGTGGTCCGTGTACCTGAATTCTAATGAGACCCGCGAGTCTTCCTCTGCCTATATATGCTCCATCATCGCAACTCCTACAATGATTTTTCCAACGACCGGTCTGTCGACTAGGTAAGTTTTAATTTTACTTCTCTCTTTCATCTTATTTCTTCTCCCCAGTGTTTACAATCATTTAAATACTTATACTTGGTTCAGAGATCAAAATATCCCATTTTACTTCTAAATTCAAGTCTAACTTTTTAAACATATCAACAATTGACACATCTCTTTTGACGTGAGCTTATTGGAATTTTCCATCTTTTCTTAGAGACTTGTATGAAATTTAATATTTTATTTAGTTATTTTTGATATGTAAAATTGACTTAAAGTGTTGTGAAATTTTTATAGACAAGTTTGACTTGTTTGGAGCTGAATAGATATTTTTTTTACTATGTAAAAAATTCATATTCGAGTGAATCAACTCAAAACAATGTAGATACTCATCAATATTTAGTATTGAACTTGAAGTCCAATGAAATTAAACAAAATAAATATTTTCTTTCAACAATACATTTAACTACCTTGAGAACATGAACATCTAGCTTTGTCTTCTGTCAACAGAGAAAATTGTGTATTCAAAGAACATTGGGTTGAATGAATATCTACTGTTCATTCGATGCATTACGAATTTTAAACACTACTAGGACATAAAATTATTAACACTCTTCAAACCCTTTAGTAATTAATAAATTATAATTCTTTCAGTCAAGCTTTTCCTCTTTTCCTATTCAGTAAATCAACATTAGAATAACATTTTCACTCCAATAGTTCAACAAATAGCTTTGTATACTAATAATGTACTTGAAATATTGCTATCATTATCAACAATAAAACAAAGAATTAATTGTAATTCTCCAGATTTTCTTCCTATTATTCCTCTCAATGACGTTGTTATGCTACTAATTGCTAGGATATACTTGTTTCTGAAGTACCAATTGTTATTGACGTTTCATGCAATCTTAATTTAACTTCCTCCTAACATCTTTGCTCTTAAAGGTATTAAAACAATTATCGAATCAATTGTTGACTGTTATAAAAATAAACATAATTTACTTCAAAATCATCATCATTCAAATAATACTATGTAAATGTACTCACCTCCCACGCATCTACTTTGGACTCTTCATCGTTTAATGACCTCTAAGAGTCTTTAACCTGGTGATTTCGATCGCTGAAACTGGTTAGTGAATGAACTACGACAATACAGCACTTCGAATCAGCGAAACACTTATTACATTGTGCAAAATAATTTAAAGTTATTTTCTACTTAGGTTAATTAATATTTTTTTTTCATGAAACATATTTACACTACGCTGGTAAAAAATCTATTGACATTTTTAAAAAAGTTTATTGGTTAGCGTCATCGAAAAAAACGATATATCGATTGTTAGTAGATCAATTATTCCAATATAAAATTCGACAATCGATTATTGTAATCCGATTATCGGTTAATTTGTAAAAACAAAAAAAAAAATTTATACTGGGAAATTAAAAACCGTCTCGAAATATAATTAATTATCTTTCCCAATTGATTAAAGGGAAAATGAGGTGAAGGATTAGAAACCGGACGTTGCGAGTTTATATTATTAATATAATTTAAAAAAATTACATATTAAAACCGGTTGTAAAATATCTTTTACGTGAAGATGATAAAAGTTAGCGTTTCTTCCTCATACTTTTTATTTTTCATTCAGTATTACTATGGGCGGGTCTAGTTTTTACGTGCAATTAACTGGACTCTTTCAAGAAATACTCCCTTTTTAAATGTTTATTTCTAGGATTAATCATGTCTCTGGCAAGCAAAATTTTCCTGATAATTCCTGTACTTGCAGCTTTAATAGCTGGTATTTACGGTAAGTAATTGGAGTTTTCCTTTTTTTTTATGTATTGAAAGAACGTTTCTAGGTCAGTTCTTGAATTTTTAAAATAAAATTTCAGGAAAAGAACAACCTGCCAGAGTCGTATGTTACTTCAGTAACTGGGCAGTTTACAGACCTGGTATTGGAAGCTATGCCATCAAGGATGTCCGTGGAGATTTGTGTACCCATGTCATTTATTCCTTTATCGGAGTCAGCAATGTTACCTGGGAGTACCTCGTTATAGATCCTGAGCTCGATATCGAAAAAGGTGGTTTTAAAGAATTTGTTAACTTGAAAAATAAATTCCCTGGTCTGAAGACCCAAGTTGCTGTTGGAGGATGGGCTGAAGGTGGAAGGAAATATAGCACTCTTGTAAGCAGTAAACAACGTCGAGATACTTTCATCAAAAGCATCGTTTGTAAGTATTTAATGGGCAACTAATTACTTTAAGAACAAAATTTAATATTTCATCTTTGATATAAAGTTCTAAAAAAGGAAAAATAGCCATTTCAAACAAAGGATACTATCTACCAGTACTGACTGTAATTTTCCATCAAATTTAATAAGATTGTTTTACTTAAGTAGAAGATTTTAACCAATTATTTTATAAAAAAACTAGAAGATTATTTTTCTAATACATATCAATGGCTTCAAGTACTCACTATGAGAATACTTTACAATAAGAATTATTTAGCATTAATCTAAAAAATTTTTTTGTCGGAAAGTTTGTTAATCAAGGATATTTCTAAAATTAATTAAAGACTTTAAAATATTTCATTAGCTGAAATTAACTACGAATTTTGATTCGGTAAGTTGTTGAAATTGCTTTGTTTCAACTCTAAATTGAATTTAATTCAAAGTGTCAGTATCAGCTTTAGCAAGTACTTATAACGTTCTCATTTACGAAGAAGATTGAAAATCGATAACTCTATTAATAATAATGATAACAAAATTAACAGTATCGATTAGTTATTACATTGCGGAGATGACAATTATTTGTAAATTATAATGACGATGTATTTATCAGTTATCAATTCAAATTATCCAATAAGAAGCCTAGGAGTTCGTACAAGCTGACCTCATTAGCACTTTGATTGATTTAAATGAATTTGGTATTGATTAAAAAAAAAAGATGCACAATATATATTTGATAAGATTATCTTCATATAAAGTAATTGTTTTTTTACCTTTTACATATAATTATATTTAATATCCATCTCAATAACATAACATATTCTGTTGATGTTATGATTACTATTTTCGTATTGCTTTTCTATGTGTATCGATTATCCATTGTTAAACACCTGTAGCTTTATATCTTATTAATTGAATCAATTGTTTCTATATAATTAGAAAATAGCATTCATTCTATTCTTATCAGTAGTATTCTCAAGGTTAATAAAATCAAAAATAATCGTGACCTAATAAAAGCTAGTCTGATATATTACTGATAGTGATTTATAATTCATGACAGTTAATAGACCCTATTAATAGCTTCATAGATGTGGCATAACATCAAAATATCAATTAATCAATAGATGAGCACTAAATATGTACCTCAAAGATTTAAATTGAATTTGATTAGAATTTTCCGTCAAACTATTCTCAAGCAAATCATTGTAAGAATTATTGAGAACAATCACCACTTTTTCATGCAAAATGTTTTTTTCCTTTATCAATTTTCAATTACTCAATGAATGAATGAATAAATTTCAGCGTTCATGCATGAATATGGATTCGATGGATTTGATTTGGACTGGGAATACCCTGGAGCAACAGACAGAGGTGGTAAATACTCAGACAGAAACAACTTCTATTACTTTGTTGAAGAACTCAGAAGAGCTTTTGATAAGGAAAATAAAGGATGGGAAATTACTATGGCTGTACCTATGGCCAAATTTAGATTAGCTGAAGGATATCATGTTCCAGAGCTTTGCGAGTAAGAACATAGTATATAAAATGAAATTAATAACTTTGAACTATTGAAGAGTAAATATTCATATTTGATTTTTGCATATTAATTATAGAAACTTGGATGCTATTCATGTAATGTCTTATGATCTCCGTGGCAACTGGGTTGGTTTTGCTGATGTTCACAGCCCTCTCTATAAAAGGCCTCATGATCAATATGCTTATGAGAAACTCAATGTCGTGAGTATTTTGTATTTCAATTATTTAGTTAATCTATTAGAAATTTTATTTCTTATAATAATTCATCTTCAAGTAGCTTATTTAGCTTTGAATCAATATTTCTCAATATGTAAAAATTATCCACATTTCTGAACAATTTATTTCGCTTGAGGTACTTTTGCAGTCTAACTGAAAAAGTTGAAACCGTGTAAAAAACTCGCCAACTGGTATAAACTGTAGTTTTGAACAAACTCTACGATCTTTTCGATGTACTTTTTCCATTTGAAACAAACTTATTGGTCTTTTAAAATTATTTTTCTGCTTGTGGTAAACTCACTGAACTTTTTAACAATCATGTTTTTGTTTCTAAAAGACTAATTGTACTTATCAACTTCTTTTTTTTCTAAAAAAAGTATTTTTCAATTCATGGTTGATTAGAGATGATGTTCCCTACAATTAAAGTTTTTTACTGAAAATATTCTGAATAAAAAATTGTATTCAAATTAAACTAGAATGATGGTCTTCAACTCTGGGTCGATTTCGGATGTCCTGCCAACAAACTAGTCGTTGGAATACCATTTTATGGACGTAGTTTCACCCTGAGTACCAGCAACAATAATTACAACATGGGGACTTACATCAATAAAGAAGCCGGAGGCGGTACGCCTGGAGAATATACAGGAGCTAAAGGTTTCCTAGCTTACTACGAGGTAAAATAAAACTTTGATTATGCTAAAAATGAACTCACTAATCCTCCTATTAAGACAACTTAACAGAATAAAAATTTAATCGTTTACTTAATTACATCGTGAATGAAGAATAAAATTGGCATTATTTCATTATAATTATACATTTTGAAGAAAAGATAAAATTATGCTTATGAAATGAAGATGATGAAAAAAAGGTTTTAAATTTTTAGCTATAAAAAATAATATTACTCAATCATATACAGTAAAGTAGACATGAAGAAAAATGTTTTTAAATAAAAATAAAAAACACCATTAATCCAAATCATTTTTCTTCAGATTTGCGCTGCAGTACAAGATCCAGAAGGCGGTTGGACCAAGAAATGGGATGATGTTGGAAAAGTTCCTTACGCCTATAAAGGAACTCAGTGGGTGGGATACGAAGATCCTGAAAGTGTTAAAATAAAGGTAGATTGGATCAAGTCCAAGGGATATGCCGGTGCAATGAACTGGGCTATTGATATGGATGACTTCCATGGAATTTGTGGCGAGAAAGATGTTCTTACCAAGATTCTTCATGACGGTTTGAAAGATTACAAAGTGCCTGAGCCAGCACCAAACACTAAGCCAAGAGTAAGTATATTCTATTTTGCTGAAAGTCGCAGTCTAAAGATTTATTTGTTTTACTTACGAGTAATTTATTTAACAGCCGGAATGGGACAGACCGCCGAGTACTACTCCAAGTGCTCATGAATCAAAGCCAACTCTTCCTCACAGAGAAACTGAAGAAACCACAGGACCTAGTCAAGACCATAAACCTACCAAACCTCAAGTCCCAGAAGTCGATACTGATGAGAATGAAATCCAATGTGATGGTCAAGACTTTATGCCTGCTAAAAATTGCAAAGCGGTAATTATTACTAATCTTATTATAATTAATTTTACCACAAAGCAATAAATAATATCCAATAATTTCTTCCAGTACTACCGATGTATTTATGGCAAACCACTGAAATTCGAATGCCCTGGTGAATTAGTTTACAATCGACAAAACTTCATTTGTGATTGGCCAGCAAATGTCGACTGTCCTGCGGAAAACTTTAATTAAATTGTGAATGACAATTATAAATAATGTTTGACAATAATTTTTTAATAATAACTTTATTGAAAATTATTTTTCAAAAAACTGTGAATTACGTAGTGCCAGATGTTTTAGTAATATAAAAGAAAATACTGGAATATCCTTAGTAAGATAATGTTTATCATTATTTTTAAATTTAAATGTTTACCGTGGATCAGTAGAAGAGTTAAAGATCGTGATATAATTTAATAAACACTTTATTATTCCTATTGTGTACGATTATTGAAAATAAAATATTTACGTGAATAAGTAATGAAGTAATCATCATTCGATTATTTGTTATCTCATAGCTCACTGAGTTATTACTCAATATATAAATGATAAGATTAAATAAATATCAAATACTTGTTAATTGCTAATTCTTTTTTTGAAGAAAAATTTAATTTTTACTTTTATATTTAATAACTAATGTTGATTGATGTATTGTGTCATTTAGGGATAAAATGTTTACATATATCTATATTTAACTCTACAAAAGCAATAACGGAAATGGTTACCATAAATAGAGATACAGAATTCTCTACTTGATCAAGGTGACGTAAATGTAATATTAAAAATGGATTGGAGTCATTAACGTTAATCAAATTAGAAATAGAACAATTTATTAAAATTTAAATTGTTTCTGTGACATTTCAAATCGATTTCTGAGAACCATAACAGGTGTACGATCATTATCATTGGTAATTGTTGCATAAATGATGAGATTGGGGGAATTTAGTGGCGTCTTGAAATTTCAGTAATGCTTTAGTTTCGCTGTTAAGAGTACAGAGATTACTTACAGTGGCTTGTAATGCTTGTGAATAATTTATGAATATATAATTTTAAATAATAATTTATGTAACTTTTCTTTAAAATAAATTAAATAATATTACCTGACAGTTTCAACTCTTTAAGCATTCGGACACAGGTAAATAATTAATATTTACAAAATAATAATAATAATTAGAACTATCGAAATATAATGATTATTTCGTATTGTTTTGAAGCACGATAAATGTTATTTGTTAGATAAAAAGTATTATTCAAGTTATTTCAACGTTATCTTTGAGTATGAAAAATTATTGAAACTATACAAGTAAAGAATTACTCAGACTTAAAAATATTACTGTCGTTAAAAGCTTCAATGGCATTAATGATTGTGGAAAAATGAAAGCTTATTACTTGAAAACGATAAGATATTTTTCATCGAAAAACAAAAATTAGAACAGATACAATTATTGATGAGGTCGACGATAATATTAAAAATAATTTTAAACTGCTAGAAAAATTTTTGATTAAAAAAAATTAATCTTTATATTTAAAAAAATAATGTATATTGTAAAAATAGTATTCGTATCCCTAAAAATAATTGCATTACTTCAAAAAATAAGAGTAATTATAAAGTTGAAATTTATTATATTTATTTTTTCAACATTAAACAATCATTTTGCAAATTAAATTAATTCTTGGAATAATCTTGATAATATTTTATTTGTATAAATTAAGAATAATAAAACAACAATTTACATCAATAATTCTACAGAAATTTGAAAAAAAAATATTTGTTCAGATGTTGCATTTGTTTTGAAATTAAAAAACCCGCCTATTCTGACGTCATAGACTGTTAGTACATTTTTATTTCACCAGGCGGCTGTGACATTTTGCATTTCGGAGAGTTCTTGCAGAATGTAAAATTGTAAAAAAAGTTATTCTTTTAATAAAATTAAATTATAAGTCATGAATTGAATATTTTTTGAAAACTTTTTTGATCTATTTCATCATTTTCTATGGAACTGTGTTAAATTAACTTACCGGTGTGTGCATTTTATGTGTGAACTCAATACACAAGTGTCAGTGTTTAAATTTTATTGTAAATAAACAAATAAAACATCATGTACAACTATTTTAATGAATATTCACAAACGTTTTTATGCAAATTAAATTTCAAAAATATGATGTACAATTTAATAAGTGTTAATACAATGCTATAAAGTAATTAAATTAACACGTACGACAGGTGAGCTTACAAGTACAAGTATATATCTCTGGACCTTTGACAGATTATTGAAATGGAACAAGTGATTATACTTTCGTAATCAGACATCCGGGGTATGCTTTGTATGCCAATCAAGTAGTAAAGGCAGACATTCGCAGTATGCTTGTGATTTTATGTTTATAATAAATATTTAGAATATTTAAGTGAAAATACCATCAAAATTAGCTTATTTTATTGCAAAACTTATGACAAAGAATTTTATTTTCAGATATCCAATGCCTAAATGCTAATTCTACTTCTGGAAAATTGAATTGAATTTTAAATTCTCGAATATGGCTCGAAGTCAAAAGTATGGAAATGAAACGCTTGATGCGTTAAACAAAGGATGTCTGGATCTTTACGACTCCATTGCCTGTGGACGAATTAGCATGCTAGTTCTTGTTAGTGCAATCACATGTTTTTTTATTATGATGAAAATAGTGAAGTATCATGCATACCGGCACGCTCAGATCCATCATTATGTGATTCTTTACGTATCAGTGATCCAATGTTTTGCTTGGTAAAGAATAATTATTTTTATCAAGGTTTTCTATCATAATGGCATTCATAAGAATACATCGATATTTGAATAATTCTTTTTCCATTTTATAGTGCCACAAGTTCCATATTTGGTATGAAGTATCCTCAGCTGGATTTTACCAATAGCTTCCTCAAACTACTTCAATTCATTTTAATATGCCACCTTCACTGGGCGGCAGCAGCTAGATCTCGACACCGAGATGACATTGTTCAACATGTTGTTAATCCTGTTCTTTGTCTCTACATGCTATATTGTACTACTGTCGTTCTCATGGGCATGGTAGATATTAGTGGGACATGGACAGAATGTTTACGTAAGTTCAAATATTGATTATTTTATTTTACAAATTGATGTTCAAGTACATTTTTTTCTATAAATAGCAGTAACTAATTAGAGTAGTAAAATTGAAGATGACATTTTGCTATGTTGAAATACTGGTTACTTTTATTTTTCGAGTTTGAAAGATAAGGTTAATCGATTTTTTTCTATCTCTTTTTCGTGTTTGTTTCGTCTACCAATTTATTGGCTTAGCTACTTGGATAACATCGAAATCTACTTATATATCTCGTGTTATAAAACAAGGCTTTCATTTAACGATAACAAACTACGACTTTTCGAAAAATATATTTCCAGCTACTTCGATTTAAAGTACCTGGTTCTACATGACATTAATGTAATCTAAAGTTGTTCAAAGAATCACAGTATCACTAGTTTATAAAAATAGAATGATTATTGAAGGTTAAAACATCACGTTGAATTTAAAAATTTATTTTTTTCTATTTATGCTGCTTAGACAATTTTATTATCCAAGTGGAATAATTTCATTATCTTTGCACCATTAATTATAATTAAATCTTTTCATTCATAAATAACTCCATTTGTACAATAATGCGTAAAAAATACGTCAGTATTATAGTTATCTGATTCTTTTATTTACTGACATAAAAATTTGCGTAATCTAGATTAAAGCTAAAACAGCGAATCAGTTTGTAAGTTTACGCGTAACTTTTTTATATCTTCAAAGAATTTATGTACATTAAATGATGCAATATTTTCAATCGTACGAATCATACGCAATTTCGATAAAAATATTAATTTCCAAAGATATAATTTTAATATCTCATAAATATTTATGACAGATCATCCGATAATATTGTCGTTGATATAATTAGAAGAAATTCTCAATTATTTTAAATTAATATAAAATTATGGAAATAGTTATCAATTTAATTTTTTCCAGGTCCTTATTGGCTAATGCTTTCAAGTGCTGATTTTATTGCTGTCCAAGTTTTTGCAATAGTTGCTCTTTATTTAACTCACAATAACAAACACTCGGCCATTTCAACTTTGATGTTGCCAACGATGAATTCACAAACAAGAGATTTATGGCTTGTTACAGCTGTCTACGAAGTGTCAGCTGTAGTTTCAGTTGTTTTTGATGCAGTCATGTCTTTTAGTGAGTATCTGACATGAATGATATGCATCTTAACAAAATGAATTTGATTATCATGAAACTTTGAATTTATCACAGTGGGTAGAGAAGTAACTGGATGTAGTGGAATTTATAATCACGTGCAAATCTACTACAGCTCTATCATTTTCTTAGTCATGGTTGTTAAGTATTTTCTCCCAACTTGGACATTACTTTGCGTCTTCCAACCTTCTAGAGTTAAATCACGTCCTTCAGAAGTTGCTTTAACTTCCCATTATAGCATGGTATGAAATCAATTTATTATTATAAAAAATCAATCCAAGAAATATTCGTCTCGTTAACAATTTTTCTCGTCTTCAGGATGGGGCTTGTTATAATCAATACAGAAGAATGTTCTTTGCTCGGAATCCAGATGGTCATACACCTGTTCCTTACCCGAGTATTCCATATCCAACAGAGTCCCCTCTGTATGGAAGCCTCGGTGATTTTTCATACACAGACAGTTCGCCTGATATCTCACCAACGGTTGCTCGTCTTTGGCCAGGAATAGATGATGAAACTTGCAGTGGTTTTGAGAAACATTTCATCAATGGTGACAGAATTAATATTGAAACTCAGCATAGAATGGATCAAAGTTGTCAAAACTTGGAACGTAGTTTGCAAATGAATATCAATGGTGATTTAGACAAGAAATCAATTATAAAGCATAAAAATTTAACACCGATCAACGAAGAAACTAGTAATGTACTCGATAGTCCTAGGGATTAAACTAAAATAATTGCAAAGTTACTCTTAAAATCAACACGATTTTTTTAATCTTAAAGAAAGTTTATCTTATTTTGGATGATATGAAGATTTCTTCATTGGCAGCTAATAAGCAATAAACTTTTTAAAACTTTCTCGAAATTGAGATAGTTGATTTAAAAGCATAGATCTTTTCTTATCATCCATGACACTGTTGTGATACACGAGATCATATAAGCACATTTTAATCTTTTAAATGAAAAAATAGATACATTAAGAAATCATTCATTAAGATAAACATTTTTTACGACGCAATGTCGTGTTGATGATGCGATTTAATAAAACGACAACATTTTTAACTTTACTGTAATAAGCAGAACACCGCAAAATATTTGTAGTTGACAAAATTGTCGTTATACGTACTCTTGATAATCATAAACTTATAAAAAAAATTCTGCCATCGATTGTCTTGCTCATAAATACGAATGGTGAAGAAACATTTAGTGATTTTTAAATCTAATCAATTAGTTATCGCTCATATTTTATAAAGTGATTAAGAAGAAATTATTAACATTTAATATCAGAATAATTAAGACAACTGAAAGCAGCTCAGTTGGCACGCGACTGTTTTAGACATCGCGTTATTTATAAGACTGTATTTATGAATGTTTTTGCTATACATACATAAAAAAACCAACTCATTAAGATTAAATTTTCCATCATAACAACTACAATCATAATCAAAATTTAATCTAATCAGTTTAGGTTGATTTTTTCGAACAGCTAATTAAAAATTAACATTGTCGATAAATGAGTTAGAAAACTCATAAATTAATTATAATTATAGTTTTAAAGACGTTTGTAGAATCGTACTAACATCATTTTAATTGCTGTGATGCAAATTATTTATCTAATTATTGAATTTTTATATTTCAAAAATCATTAATGGTTAAGTTATTGTTTAAATTTAAGTAGATACTCATAATTTTTAGAAATGATCTAAGAGACTCATATAGACATTAAATAACAATGGCTTGAATAGATTAACATAGATTAAATACTTATTTTAATGCAATAGAACAGTAGTTAACCATTAATAATTTTTTATTTTAATTATAATATTTATCATTGACATGGATCGAAAAAAAAATTGATAAAAATTATTCATTACACATTAATCGGTTGTGTGTGCCAAATTATCGAATTTCATATTCACATAAAATTGTCAATTTCGCATCAATCAATTTTCATATTTTCGAGAAACCAACGAATAAGTCATGGGATGATATTTAAATAATATAAGTATGCATTTATTATTACTAAAAATTTTAGATTTATTGTAAATGTTAAAATGCACTATAAATTGTTAAAAATATTTTAAATAATTAATATTCACTGATTTAAAATAATTTAAAATAGAATTATTATTGAATACTTATAAGTAAATTGTTAGTTTAAATGGAGAAGAAAATTTAATTATAACTTACTTTTTGTTTAAATACACTTGAGAAATAAGCGTAAATGGAACTAAAATAAATGTTTACGATGTGATAGTCTATATTGAGAGTTCGAAAAATCATAAGGAAAATTTGACAATCTTACAGACACTTTAGTAATTGAAAGAAATAATTATTAATATTTAAAATATTTTACAGAATTATCTGAGAAGTATCTTTTTGATGAAAAATGAAGCTAAAGTATAATATATTTTATTTCAATCGATTAGCTTAATTTAGTTCTTAAACTAATGCTATTGATATGAAGTTTAATAACAGTAAATAGCAGTCTTCTACTAGATATATTTTAAAATTAATGAAAAAGCAGCTTTTTAGAATTTCCTTGATTAATCAATTGCTGTGAACGTTAAGAAAAATTAGTTTTAATTCTCTGATTTCCTATTTCTTTTGACCTAAGACACTTTTCAAGTTGATATAACGAAAGGTCTTCCTTAAAGTTATTTTTCCTCATTCAACTTTATGCTTATTTTTTAAACATTGCCTTCTATCAATATTGATCATAAGTTATGATTGTTAATTGTTAATGAATCTCACATGTACTTTACCTTATTGTTAAGCAGAATGATTGAAGAAAATAATATAAACAATTAGAGAACAAAAAATTTATAACAAAAGTATAAAATAAATAAAAATTGGTTTTCGTGCCAAAAATAATAAATGGATTGTACAATTATGTATTAGCGATCTCAAAAATATTGTAATTGTAAAAAAAAATAACAAATGTAAAAAATTTTTACTTTTCGATAAGACAAGAAATGTCCAAAAATATTCAAACAAATATGATAAAGGTACATAAATACCAATATGCATTTAATATTATTATTACAAACTGTACTTGCAGAATTATTGTACATGTTTAATTGCACTTATAATTTGTAAATATTTATGTCATAAACCATAAGTTCAATAAATATTGCACTACCTTAGAAATTTTCTATTTTTAAATTTTGTATAAAGTAACAATATTTATCATCAAAATTTCCAGAATTTTGGTATCATCATACTGACAACCTCGATGACCTTAAATTTAACAAAAAAAAAAATTATCTCGAGTAAATGATTTCGTATTTAGATAGTTCAACTCGTTTTTTTTTCTTAAATATTTGTATAAATTCACATTCATATCTTGCTACATCCACGTGCCAATGTAATAAATGTAAACACTATCTAAATTAATTAAAACGATTATTAAAGGATAAAAATAATTGATAAAAAAATATTGCAGTAACATTAAAAAACATAAAATAAGAAACTTCAATATCAATAATAAACGTTTTAATCAAGATATATGTTTTTCATGATGAAATGATTCAATGTTATTTATTATTATAATTTTCATTTATTATTGTCAAATTTCTGATTAGTTATCATAAAAAAAAAAATTACACTGTGAAAGAAAAGAAAAATATTTAATTATTGAGACAAGTAGAATAATAACAACGAAAATGCATCAAGTTGATGGGATTGTTCTCGGTGTTGCTTGCATAAATATAATTATTCAGGGCAAAAGAATATAAAAAAAAAAAAAGAACAGAACAACATCTTTAGATGATTGTATAGTTATCAAAATCAACACACCATATTATCATGTATATATGTATATTTTTTCTTTTATGTAAATCAACTATTTCATCCCCACTAGCCTCACATATTTCTACTCTTTCCCTTCGTCTTCATTTTCCTATCTGTTATTTATACAATATATATTATTTATACAACTTATCTCTCATACGTCAAAATGACGATAAAAACAAATGTAAGAGAGAGGGAATCACCCAGGTCCTTCACTATCTTTTTCTTTTTCCTCACCGCACCCTCTTCTCCCAATCTCTGTTTATCTTCCATCCCCCTTCAATTAATAAAGTAAAGTATCAGAGAACACTTGATTTAAATTCATTATTCAACCGCAAGTGACAAGAAATTGACATACGAATTTGCTTTTCAATACTCTTCTGCTTACAATTTATAACGCTGTGACTACTTTTATTGTGTCCTTTCTTATTATATTTCTTACTTATTTTATTTTCTATTATTAAAATAAATTTTTACCTGTGTTGAATTATTGAACTTTTATTCAACATTGCAAGATTAATTTGCATTTATTTCAACAAACTTTTTGTTATATAATGAGCAAAGGATTGTTACAAGTTACTGAATTAATAATATTGAATCTTATTATTATTATTATTATTTAATCAAGGATTTTTTACTCTTCATCTTTTCATAACAATGGTTCAGTTAAAACGCAAGGTATGCACAATTACATTTTTCTCACATTTAATTATGAAAATGAATTTAAATTAGCGGCAAAATACGCGGGCTCAAACCCAACCCAACCTTGGTATATTTTTATAACCTAAATTTTTGGCTCACGTGTTGCGAAATGTCAACTTATTTTTGTGTGATTTGTATGAAAAAATTTTTTTTCATATCCTGAAAGCCAATGAACGTCTAGGAAAATGTTTAATTGAATATTATATTGGTGAACACAAATATATTTATTATAAAGTTTAAAATAGAATAATGTTAGAATCGTTATAAATACGTACTCTTTATTAGTTACATAATGAATCTGCAATTATAGTTTATGTTAGTTAAAATTATGATTAATTCAAATCAAAAGGTTCGTACATACATCAAAATTATATATAAAACTTGAAATAATTTAATTATATGCAGATTCTATCACGAGGAGGTTTGTTGAATCAACTAAAAAATGTGAGATTCAGTTCTTCTTTAAAAGTTCAAGATCAAGAACGTATCCAGCCAGAGCCAGAAAATTCTTTTAAGGTATTTATTTATGAGGAATATATTATTTATGTTAATTAAAGTATCTGACCTCTTTAATGAACTCATTATTTTTTTGAAAGTATGCAGATTTATCGGTTAGATTGGCCCCTCCGCATTTACTTCAACCCAAGCCTGATGTCAGGGATCTTGTGTTTGGTAAACATTTCACTGATCACATGTTTAAAGTTTTCTATCATGAAGATTTAGGAGGATGGCAATTGCCAGAAATTACTCCTTTGGAGAGTCTTGTTCTCCATCCTGCTACAAAAGCTCTTCATTATGCCGTTCAAGTAAGCAATTCATTGGAATTTATTTATCCACTTATTATTTAATCATTTTAAATTCGAGTTTAGACAATAAAGAACCGAGCTTGAAACTTAAACATTGTGTGTTTAGGTATTCGAAGGCATGAAAGCCTACCGTGGTAAGGATGGAAAAATTCGGTTGTTCCGTCCTGAATTAAATATGGAAAGGTTGAACCGATCATCCCATAGGTTGGGTCTACCAATGTTTAATGGAACAGAATTCATTAAATGTTTGAGGAGGCTAGTTGGTATAGATCAAGAGTGGGTACCACATTGTGAAACTGCCAGTCTCTACATAAGACCTACAATCATCGGTGTAGATGTAAGTATTATTAATAAGGATTTTGCAATCGAAGAACAATAAGAGAAACGAGCAAAGGTTAATAAAGATATATCTCAAGTAATATAAACTATTTGCCATAAGTAAAAAACATTAAAGGATAGTGATAATATCAGATGATGCATATAAATTAAAATACAAGAAGATATCTAGAAGACAAAGAATATTATTGTAAATTTATTTTCACACTGATTTTAATGGATTTATATAATGTTAAATAACTCAGTTTTTCAGAATGAAAATGATTATTTTAATTTTCATAATATTATCGCTATCATTCAAAAATATCTGCCAATGTCTTAAAAATTTTCATCATATTAACTGACGCAATGAGACTTGTAATGTCACTTGATTATGCCGGTTCTCGCGGAAGACCTGAGGTCACATGAGATAGTTACGGGCCAAGTGATTAAAAAAAAAAAAATAATAAATAAATTGATGAATAAAAAGTTTATAAAGGATGCATAGATTGAACTTTTAATATATATTTAATATTATTACAGCCTACATTAGGAGTTGCATCATCCCAATCAGCACTCTTCTACACGATCCTGTGTCCGGTTGGATCCTACTTCCACAATGCATCTACGCAAGAGGGTATATCGTTGCTAGCAGATCCGAATTATACCAGAGCATGGCCTGGAGGTTGCGGAGATCGTAAAGTTGGTAGTAATTATGGGCCAACGATTCACGTTCAAGAAAAGGCTTCAGAAAAAGGTCTTCAACAAGTTCTATGGCTATACGGTCAAGATATGCAAGTTACAGAAGCTGGTACCATGAATATCTTTATGGTTATCATGAATGAAGATGGAGGTAATTGAAAATATTAAATAATTTGATTCTTTTGCGAGAATAGTTCATAATAAAATTTAAAAATATTTGGTAATTAATTAAATTATTAAAAATATAAATATAAATTTTTAATTACAGAAAAAGAATTAATTACTCCACCGTTAAATGGACTCATTCTTCCTGGAATTACTAGAATGTCAATTCTAGAACTCGCTCGGGAGTGGAACCAGTTCAAAGTAACTGAAAGAATCATCACTATGGAAGAAGTGTGTCGTTTAATATCAGAAAAGAGGGTGAGCAATGCAACATCATTATTATAATGATTATTTTCGTGATTAGAAATAGAGTAAACGAGAATAATGAAGATGAAAAGCTTAGTATTATTTAATTAATAAATCTTCGTCCACGCCCCTGAACAATGGATCACTGTCGCTGACATTTATGCAAAAATCTTGACACGTCTGATAACATTATTGACTTCATAACATCCATGTTATTCACACAATATATACAAGCTTATTTGTTTTATCGAATTTGCGAGAAGAAAAGAGAATACATAAAAAAAATTCACTACATCATGAGTATTTAATTTTTTGTGCAGTTGCTGGAAATGTTTGGAGCTGGAACAGCATGTGTAATTGGTCCTATCTCACATATCGACTTCATGGATCGACCTCTTCATATACCAACGTTGGAACAATCAAATCCAATATATGAAACGCTTTTAAAAACTTTTATGGATATCCAATATGGATACATACCTAATCATCCTTGGGCGTTGGAGATCGATTAACATTGGAAAGAGTCGCTGTCAACATTTAGATAATATTGTTTTTTTATTAAGTTGTTGATCCGGCATATTCTGGATTAGCCATATATTTATGAATTTAGCATAAGTAAAATGAAGATGTATAGATATATATTTTCACCGTTATTTGTTACTATTGTTTTTGTTATTGTTATTTTTTTAAGTGAAGAGAATGATGAGTTTTACAAGTAGAAAAAATTGTAAATATTATTGATTATAATAGATGATATACTTAATCAAAATTGTAAATAAGGCTACTTATCGTTTAACAAAATGTTTATACATTTTCTTAAATTTTACAAATATTTGTTGTTGTCATTCTCTATTTTTTTGCATTGAACTTGACTGAATATTTCCAAATACTCAAGTTTTTACTATTACCTCTGAATTTTTTTTTTTTACTTGCTATGTGTATTTTAGATAAATAAATTGACGAGATTTTGCAAAAAAATTTATTTTTTGATATTGCAACAGTAAATGTGAATTTCGACAATCAATTTCCAAATATCACTTCACTATTTACTGTTTACTATAATTATTAATTATTTTACGAATTTTTTGCATTATTTATCTCGGTTTTTAAATCCTGGAGGAATTAAAAAATTCATTAGTGGGCTGATCAACGTCCTCGAATTAGAGGACACCAAGGAGGTCGATGATTGGTTTGATCTGTATAGTAAATTGAACGCGCAAACATGGCGCAGATGATGAGGTGTAGAGTTAATCTCTCTACTCTCAAAAACTCTTATAATTTAGTGTCACGAATAGTTTTACCAGTTAAATATCAAAGATCATGTTTCCATACAAGTTGGCTTTTAAATGGTATGAATTCAATTAAAAAATCGTTTATTTTTGTTGATTGACAATTATTTTGAGGTTAGACATTTTATTTAGCGTTAAAAGTCTATTTTTAACTTAAATATTTAATTAAATTGGTAAAAAATAAAATAATAAACTTCTTTTATGATTAAATTTTTGATTTATAGAATAAAACCTTCCTATACTAACTTTTAATTAGACCATTAGAATTTTGATTTGGTTATGCAATCGAATTTACTATTGAATCCGTCAAAATGTTACAACGTTATTGAAGATATCTCGTATATAAAATATCTCCTATAGTTGTTTACTTATTTTATAGTCAAAGGAAAAGAAATTCTTATGCCTTCTTTATCACCAACGATGGAAACTGGCACCATAGTAAAATGGATAAAAAAAGAAGGAGATCCTATACAACCAGGTGATGCATTGGCAGATATTCAAACTGATAAAGCTGTTATGACTTTTGAAATAGAAGAGGAGAGTATTCTGGCTAAAATTATTGTAAGTTACTTTATTCACAATTTAAAATTTTCTTCTTCATCTACAAAATAGACTTTAAAATTTAAATGTCAAGGTGCCTGAAGGAACTAAAGATATCAAAGTTGGAACACTCATTGCTCTTTCTGTAGAACCTGATGAAGACTGGAAATCAGTCGAAATGCCTGATGGAGCTGGCGCATCAACATCTCCAGCATCATCATCTGCAGCACCAGCTGAAAGTGCTGGTGTTAGTGCTGAAGCTGCTGAGCCTCCTCCTGGCCAGTAAGTAATAATAAAGAAAGTCTTATCTAAATTCGTTGGGTATATAATTGATTATTCATTTTTTAGGGTAAATGTAGCAATGCCAGCTCTTTCACCTACTATGACATCAGGAACAATTGTGAAATGGCTGAAAAAAGAAGGAGATGAAATTAATCCAGGAGATGCAGTTGCAGAAATCCAAACTGATAAAGCTGTGATGACATTTGAAATGGATGAAGAGGCTATTCTAGCTAAACTTCTCGTGAGTAAATAAAAATACTTGATAAAAAAAACCAGCTACATACTTATATGCATAAACATTTCAGGTTGAGGAAGGAGCTCAAGTAGAAGTTGGTCAGTTAATAGCTGTGACCGTAGAAAAAGGAATGGATTGGAAATCTGCAGTCATTCCAACAGCAACCAAACCTGCAGCCAAAGCTTCATCAAGTGCTGCAGCGCCTGCACCAGCAGCCAAGTCTTCATCAGCTGCTCCTAGAGGAGGTCAACCTCCACCAAGTGGACAGTAAATATTCGAAATTTGAATAATCATTTAGTCATATAACAAATTGTTCAATATAAATTTTTTTAGAGTGTATGGTTTAGCTGTAAAACGACTTTTAGAAGAATATGGGCTTAGCTCCGGCTCTATTAAAGGAACTGGACGTCCAAACCGATTATTAAAAAGTGATGTTTTAAATTATATTCAAACTAATAATATTCAGCGAGTACCTCCAAAATCAGGTATACTAAAATCATTGCAATTCTAACTTTCCAAACGGCTGCTCTCTAATCTAAATATTATTCTATAGCTGATGAACCTTCGAAAACAGCTGTTGGTGCTCCATCCCCAGCTTCAAAGGCTACAACACAAGCTAGAGCACCACCAAAATCTGGTCCTTCAACATATAAAGATCTTGAAGTATCAAATATTCGAGCGGTTATAGCCAAACGTCTAGGAGAATCAAAAGTATGTTAAAAATTATCATAACAATCTGAAGAATCTAAGAATAAATTATTTATTTTTCTGACGTATCATTGCAGAGCGTAATACCTCATTCTTACGCGACTGTTGACATAAATATTGACAAACTTAACGAATTACGTGGTAATCTCAAAGCGGAAAACGTTAAAGTGTCTGTGAATGACTTCGTTACCAAAGCAGTAGCTCATGCACTTCTTCAGTGCCCTGACGTCAATACTCTATACCAAAATGGCCAAGTAAATAATAACTACTTTTTATGTTTAACATGACATAATTTAAATTAAATATACTATTATTCACTGATGTTATATACTTTTAGATTGTACGAATGCAAAATATTGATGTATCTGTCGCAGTTTCAACTCCTTCAGGTCTTATTACTCCAATTGTTTTTAATACGACAGCAAAAAGTATAACAGAAATATCAAATGACGTGAAAACACTAGCTGGTAAAGCACGTGAGGGTACTCTTAAACCAAATGAATTTCAGGGTGGAACCTTTACGTGAGTGATAAATTAATTGAATAATTGTATATTAATATTAACTTTTATTAGATGATTTATTAGTTCACTGATCTTCCTCAAGGGTCAATGAAACATTGTAAAACCTCGAGGGGTCAACATATTTTTTCTCTATGAGTATTTTTTATTTAATCAATTTAATATATTTCAGAATTTCGAATCTTGGAATGTTTGGAATAAAAGAATTTTCTGCTATCATAAACCCTCCTCAAACGGCTATTCTCGCTGTTGGAACTGGTCGTGATGTTTTAGGTAAATAATTTTATAGTTGATTAACTCGATTAACTCTTCCAATTAATCAATTACGTATATCTTTATCAGATACTACTCTCAGGAAGAAATCGATGATGACGGCTACCTTATCTTACGATAGTAGAGCTATTGATGAAGACCAAGCAGCAAATTTCTTATCAATCTTGAGATCAATGCTGGAAGATCCATCATTTCTGGTGATCAATAAAGGCCAGCAGGCAATGCGACATAAACGTGAATGATCAGTGAGTTGAATAGAATGATTGTAATGGTATTGAACGGGCTTTCTCAATTATGATTCTAGAATCGTTTACCGCTTCCAGTAATCTCTGAAATGACGTCAAGACATGTCTCATACTGCCAAGCTCACAAAGAAACTGTACAAATATAATTTAATAAGAAAAACTATAAAAAGCTAGGAATGCTTTTGATGTTATTGGATGAAGTTGCTGAGGTGCTGGAGTTGAATTCTCTAATAAAAAAATGAGTAGACTGGATAATTAATTGTAATAAATTATTAAATGCGTAAATTAATTGATTAGTACAATTAATTACGCTACTTGCAAATTTATAAATAAATAAATACAATTGTTGCTATTAAATAAACCAAAAATAAGTTATTTGGGGATAATTAATACTTCCTCAAACTATTGAATCATCATACTGACGTAGTAGTCAGGGCTAATTAGAATGTAAACCACGGCTGCGTCTTGTAAATAAAATATTTATTGACCACAACTACCTTGAGTGATTTTTAATTTGACCAACGACATTTGCTGTTCAATTAGATGTGACCTTAAATATTATAGCCCAGCAAACGTATTATATTACTTTAACAGATGTTATACTTTTTTCCTTTTAATCACGCAGGATTTTAGAATATTGATAAGATATTAAAAGTGAAATTTCCTTGATAAAATTAAATGAGTTCATGCAATATGAATGATAAGCAAATAGAAATATAGAACGATTGTATTGATTAATTTATGATAAAAAAACGTTGATGGTGAAAAATTGATTATTTAATTCAATACAAATTTATAAATATAATATATATATACAATTTACTACATTAATTATTAAATGTGTATTTGATTGAGCAATATAAAATGCTCTTAGGCACAAGTTAAAACATACAAATTGATTGTATAAATGTTTATAAAACTAGTGATGTATATTTTGCTTAACTTTATTAAAAACGCTTGGTCCTCTCACTTAATACTTTTGCTTAATGCAAAATTTTTTGGTTTAATTGATATATTTTATCTATCGAAAAATATATGTCAAAATTGCAACAATTTTTTATAAAAATCTTAACTACTATTATCGGTTTATATTATTAAAATAGACTGGATTGATTTTGAAAAGATTTATATAAATAGAAAAAAAATTTCCCATTTTTATATTTTATCGCAATTGGCACTTCGATGAATTCTCGTATAAGTACGATTTTTTTTTTTTAATAATCACATGACAATTAATTGACAATTAAACAAAATTGGTTTACAAATTCCACTTGTCATCCGGATAGTCATTATAATAATTGCCTTACAGGAATAATCAATTGATCAAAATGTTTTTTGAAGAAGTCGCTGAGCGGTTCGAATAAGTGGTGTAAGTGTTGATAGTTTAGCACAATTTTCTAAAAAAGGATGTGCAAGTAATTCATCAGCATCAGCTCGTTCATCAACTTCAACTGTGAGACATCTTTCCAAAAAATTTTGTAATGTAGGACTAAGCGTATCCCATCGAGGAATCGATGGTCGTCCAATAGCAGCAATTAAATACAACGCTCGAAGATGTGATTCTTTTAAGTAAGGTGGTTCACCTTCAATCATTTCGATTGCCATAATGCCTAAAGACCAGATGTCAACTTTTTTTCCATACTGTTTTCTTGTGACAACTTCAGGAGCCATCCAATAGGGAGTCCCTACCATCGTTTGTCGTTTTTCATCTCCTTCAATATTAGCACAAAATCCAAAGTCAGTTACTTTCACAGTACCATTCATTCCCAAAAGAACATTGTCAGACTTAATATCTCGATGAATAATTCCTTTAGAATGCAAAAAGCTAATTGCTTTCAATACTTCTCGGCATACTGCTGCAATCTGAGCTTCTTTCATCACAGTTTCAGTCACCACATCGGTAAGAGCACCACCTTCTAAGAGTTCCATTACAACCCAGAGATGTTCATCAAGTAAATAAGCATCCAGAAAATTGACAAGGTTTGGATGATGAAACTCCTTCAATACTTTTATCTCTGTAAGGATTAATCCTTTCTTTTGCTGCTTAGCTAAATCAATATCTTTTATTGCTACCCTTTGGTTTTCAATTAAATCAGTAGCAATAAATACTTTTCCAGAAGCACCAGCTCCAACTTCTCTTGTTAGTTCAAAGCGTCTATTCGGATCACCAGGTTGGCAAATCTTTCTCAACTCTTCATAGACTTCTTCATCATTCATGCGTCCTACAGAACATGAAGTTTTCCTACGTAAAACAGGACTCTCTTCTTCATTAATTTCCTTGTCTTCTCCAAAATTATTGTCATCTATTTGGTATGAGTTGAGATCTTCTAAAATTTCTGTGAGAGTCTTCTCTACTCGTTCTATACGCTTTCTAGGTGCTGGTTTTGGTGGTTTCTTCAATTGTGGAGGTAACTCAGGTAATCTTTGAACTTGACTATCAGTTGAACTAGCAGAGTTGGAGCAGTCTGAGTCACCGGACTGATATTTCTTCGCTAAGATCTTATCAATTTCTTGTGACTCCTCTTTGATTAAATCTTCTGTAACAAGAGGCTTAAATACTTCTTCTTGAGGTTTCCTCTTAATTGAATAATTGTAGAATTTGATTGCTTGAAGGGCTGCGTCTGGATGAGAATCTTGCTCTGATTTAGATATTTGAGTGTTGAGTAAACGTATCCAAGGATCAGGTAATCCTTCTAGTTGTCCAGTTTCGGCATTTTTAATGACGTGAAATTTATGTGAAACATTGGTTGGAGGTCCAATCTCCCCAACAACGTTGTCTATTGGAGGAGTTTTCTTCTTAGAGAAGAACTTGGTTATGCTAAGACTCATTTTAGCATGAATTTTTGTTATTTTATGGCGCTCCGTTTTGGGAGAATTATTTCCTTCCGGTGAATAATGACAGAGACAGCGCGTTAGCAACAATATCTTGCGTTCGAAGCCTTGGAGTAAGAAAGATAAAACACCCTTCCTATATAAATGACTACAAAAGACACGTTCCACTGATGATCACACCCATTCTTTGTACTTAGAATATAACTAAACAACGCCCTTGCGAACTTAACCACAAAAATGATTTATGTATTTGGCGAACTTGATTTCTTTTCACGCCCATGTGTTATTTAAAAGCCGTCAACGTGTTCACGTTTTCTACTGCTTTATTCTATGATGATTCTTCCAAATGATTTATCCATCAAGGTGTTATTTACAACTTTGCTATGTATATCCAATTGACACTCGAATAAATACGACATAGAATTGTCGTTATTGTATACATATACACATTCACTTACAATACTTGTTGCGCACTCTTCCTTATCTCAGCTCGTAATACACGTATGGAAATGAGCACAAGATGATCCCCTGCTGTTCTTCACAATAAATTGCACTACCACACACAAAAAAATTATCAACAATTCTATTCGGAGGTGCTGCTCTCTTGCGGACATATTGGGAATCATATTGGTACATTTTTATTACCAACTTGAATTGGCGGTTATTGTTGGTATAATAAATTTATGAAAAAAGAATGTTTTTATTCTATGTGTAATTTTGTAATTTGAAACGCTCTATTGAATACATAAATAGTCAATTGATAGTTCTTTGTGCATTTTTATCGAAAACATTGATTTTTCGAATACATGTATTTTATACAATCATCCAATCAAATTATGTTACCTTGAAAAAACGTTTGATATAAACAAACAAAAAATTTCAATTACACAAAAGACAACAATGATGATAAAGAAATAGTTTTATGTTTTCGTTTATTAATATAATTATCAGCATTTTACATAATTACAATTTTATGCTAAATTTATTTTCGTTGATAATCTGGACAACTTTCTTGCTGAAGATTTAATCAAAGCTCAATTTTAAGAGGACGATTTTTATTTCTTCATTTTTGACGATGTTATGTTCACCATTTATATTCTGATTCTAAAGTGATAAATTTTTTAGCTAGAAGAGTCGGCATGATTTAAAAATTGAAGAATAATTCTTCTATTAGACTTTTATTTTATGGCATTTTTATTATAACCACAGAACAAGTTTGTGCTAATTATTTTTTGAAAGAAGTTAAATTAAATGTTTTATCTGGTAAGTACAGTCAAAAATATTGCAAAAAATATTCTCTACATTTTTGTAATTTATGACATTTTTATCACGATAGGCTAACATAGAGAAAATAATGACCACTTATTCTGAAGTCAGAATTATCAATAATGTTGTAAATTATCGAGTTTTTTACTATCATAAACATGCCGACAACAGTTAAAAGAAGAATTTTTCCTGAATGCAACTTTATGATTGAGATTTAAATTTATTTTATTACCATAAGGAAAAATATTTATAAAAATCTAATCAAAGGGTTGCTAATAAGATGTACGAATTGTCGGATGAAAGAGACATCAGTAAAATAGTCACGAAGATGAAAACAAAACTAACATTTTGTTTAACGGTAATGAAGATTCATGAGTAATTTATTAATGTATCTCTTTGGTTTGATCATGCTTGGTGGTACTGAATTGTAAATGGTAAAAAACAACAAGTACAAAGAGGAATTCCGGTGATATCAAGGTAAAGAAGAGCATTAAGCACACTGCCAGTGAATATTATTAGTATTGTCAAGAACCGAGTTCTTATATAAACAGACTCCTGCGATCAACTCTTTTACTTGTGAATTTGCTCTCGTCTAGAGATCCTTTGGAGTATTTTTGAAATCATCTCCAACCAAATTACTGAGGAGTTCCAATACCTTGGAAGCCTAACAACGTAGTTTGCCTTTAAAACAGCGATAATTATCATTTACTGTTTTCTTGTTTACTTTATAATTTTCGTTAATAACATACTGCACTTATTAGCTATAACTTCAAAGTTCTTATCGTGCTATGTTACAATAAAAACATTAACCATTGTGGTTAACTTAGTTTAATATCCACATAAAAATCAATTGAGTAATAAAGTTCAGTAAAAGTGATTGTGCCGTCAAAAAATTTTTAAGTGCATTATTTTGCCAGACTGCATCGAAGGAATATATGAAGGACTTTATGATCTCATGTGAGGTCATAGAGGGATCGATCTGCAGATGAATAAAAAAGATCCATGAAAGTGGGGAAGATCCATGAAGGTGTTTCTAAAAGATCGGCACGAATCTGTTCGAAAAAAGCTTAAAGCAAATCGCAGTCTTTATCAACGATTCACTGTTGCAGGCTGGAAAATTAATCTCTCTGCAATTTTTATTACCCATCATTATCATAATTTTCCCGAATAATTAAGTGCTAATTATTTTAAAGAATGAAACATATTTCATTGTTTATTTTAGTATGTATTTTTCCGGTAAATGTTCTGTGCCTAGGCTTTTTACGTGAATTATTATTCCCACGAAATCCAGTTCTTCATCGATCAAGCCATTATGATCGAACTAGAACAACTGATGATGATACAGTATTGGATTTTGTGAGTATTAGTTTTATTCATAAATAATTTTATGTAAATAATTATCATTTCAAATTAATCCGATAAAGCTTGATCACGTATTATATTTTTTATTATTCTATTTATTCTGCTATGACAATGCTCGAATTGTAATAATAGGAAGTAATCAATTGATAATGGTAAAGCAATACATTAAATTGGTTATCTAAGCAACGATTAATTTAAGTAGAAAAATACAGTTCAAGGAATCGATGACTAATCTGATAGATATTTTATAAGTTTAAAGAGTTTTTTGTACCGTAAAAACAATGCTTCCAAATATCTTAATTAATTATACTATAATTTTCTTGTCAATACGGTAAATTAATTTTGAGTATTTATTTTTATCATATGACCTTATTATAATATAATAGATTAATTTTTATCCAATTAGGACGTTTAATAATAAAACGATGATTCTCTGCTCTTTTATCCTTTTATTGATAATAAATAATTTAATTTACGATCGTATAATACAATCATGACAATATAGTCAAACAACTATACTAGATTTTACCTCATAGCTGAGAATTATTTATTCAATTTTTTAGATAGGACTAGTTGAAAAGCATGGATATCCTGCTGAAGAACATCATTTGACAACTGAAGACGGATACAAACTGACCTTTCACAGGATACCCGGTAGTCCGAAATCACCACCGAGGAGTGGGAAGCCAATCGTTTTTTGTCAACATGGATTATTGGGCTCATCTGATTATTGGGTTCTTTTAGGACCTAACAAAGACCTTGGTAATATTTCATTTTTTCATTTTAGTTTCAAAAAAATATTTGCATACATTTTGAATATTTACAAATTATGATGAAATGTCATGATAAGTTTATAAGTTATGATTTTATTTCCTACTTTAAATAATAAATGCTTTTTGACACTTTTGATTGTGAAGTTTTATCCAAATAAAATTCACAACTTTCATGAGTTCAAGGTAATCAAGTGGTATGACTTTGAACGGAAAAAAATCTATCAGTAGTACTGTGCCCAACAAGCCACAACTTTTAATGAGAACATGAGCCTTGACTTAACATTTTTTCTTTATTTACTAGCATTTATCTTAGCTGATGAAGGATACGATATCTGGCTTAGCAATGTCAGGGGCAATACTTACTGTCGATCTCATGAAGAGCTCTCACCAACAAGTTCGCAATTTTGGAGTTTCAGGTATGATAAAAAATAGTCAACAAAAGAATTGAGTTCTTGACCTATTCAATCAATGCATCAAGATCTCCCTTCAACTATTGCATGTTTAAAGATAGCTTGACGAAGGTATCGTGTCTTGTAATTATTTATTTATATTATTTTTTACAGCTATCATGAGATCGCACTATATGATTTACCTGCAATGATTGACTATGCACTAAATGTGACTAATGAAAAAATGCTTTACTATATTGGTCATTCAATGGGGACGACCATGAGTTATGTTCTACTCTCGACTAAATTGGATTATAATGATAAAATAAGGTTGGCCATAAATTTAGCTCCAGTTGCATTTTGGAAATCTCTTCCTAAAGATAATCCTTATTATGCTCTTATCGAAAATTATTCTGAAATTAAGGTACATATTTTAAATATTAAACTATAGTTGTATAAAAATCATTCAAAAAATTCAAAAATATTTCAGAGATTTTTCGAAAATAATCAAATTTATGACCTATTTGCTCTAACAACTAATAGCGCTAGAATAGGAAAAGGTCTTTGCAGTGATAATATGATTACTCAACAAGCATGTATTGCACTAATTTTCCATTTCTCAGGCGCAAGTCCAAAACAACTTAATTCTGTATGTATAAAAACTTGTTACAATAACATAGGAATAAGTTTCAAGCAAAATTTTCATTCATTTATTTTACAGACACTTTTACCTCACATATTATCTTATGTTCCTGCTGGTGCATCGGTTCAAACTGTTGAACATTATGGACAGAATATGAAATTTAGTAAGCTTCATTCAACTCAGATTGGAACTTGAGTTATTAATAAATAATTTTGTTAATAAATGATTGATGTCAATTATAGAATCGTTCACACAATATGATTATGGTTATCCATTAAACTTCAAAATTTACGGCAAAAAAAAACCTCCAATATATGATGTCAAGAAGATAACTGCTAAAATAGCAATTTTATATTCAGAAAATGATCCTCTAGTAATCGAAGAGGTAAGTTCTTTGCTTAAAATATTTTGAAAAAGATTTTATTGATAAAAATAAAAATAATAATATATTTAATTATTTTTAGAACGTTCAAGAATTGGTAAAAAAATTGCAAAATCTTGTATTCAAGAGAAAAGTTCCATTTAAAAGTTTTAATCATTTAGATTTTATTTGGGCTAAAGATGCCAAATACTTAGTATATGATACAATAATAGACCTCTTGTCTCAGTATTAATAATTTAAAAAACATTCAAACTTAGTAAATAAAATAGTTCTTTATTGAAAGTACTTGTTATAAATCAATCAATTTTTAGCTCTATATAAATCATAAAAAATTAATTACGCTGCCTGATGTTTTATTAATATTACCAATAATGTAACACAATTTATTCATTCTTAGCATATTTCACGATAATTATATTTTTATTTATCAATAATAAGCTACGGCGTACTCATTGCATCCATAAGATAGATATTACAAGGATAATTAATTTATATATATATAAATAAATATCTATCGATCTAAACCTTCAGTCTACCAACGGACTGCAGCAGAATCAACTTCAGTGATCTTGTGAAACGTAGTATTAGAATTGTGAACTTACTAAATTTAAAAAAAAAAAATGAATTGGCAGGTGATTATTATAGTTTTAGGTTGTGTGGTAAATTTTGTTTATCCTACATACTTATATGATAATGAAAAATTAATTAGAGTGAGGAAGCCTGAAGAAGCAAAAGGAAGAAAATATTTTATTGACTTTGTGAGTTACAAAATAATATTTATTACACTTCGTGTTAGAATTGACAAAAAGATACTGATACTAATTTAAATTATTTAATTATTAGATTGGATTGGCTCAAAAATTTAATTATACTGCGGAACAGCATAAAGTGATTACGGAAGATGGCTATATTCTAGAAATATTTAGAATTCCTCCAAGTCCAACATTCTCTCAACAAAGTGATAAGAAAGTGGTACTTATTCAAAATGGTTTTGTAGCATCATCTGATACATGGGCATTGATGAAAAGATCTATGGGTAATCACTTAGATCTTGTATGCAAATTTATTACACTTTTATTTATGATTGCTTCTTATTGACAGCTTATGTGTTAGCTGATGCTGGATATGATGTTTGGGTTGGGAATTATAGAGGAAATGTTTATGGTCGTTCACACCAGACATTGTCTCCAAAAGAATCATTATTTTGGAATTATACGTAAGTGATATTAAAAATTAATTTATTAGCTGAATGATAATTTAGGATTATTTCAAATAATTATACTTTGAAATTAATGATAATTTTGCGTAAAATCACAATTTAATTAACAGTTGGCATGAAATTGGTGCATTAGATTATGCAGCTACAATTGATTATATTCTCGAAAAAACCAATAAATCTAATCTTACATTGGTTGGCCATTCGATGGGAGGAACTGCCAGTTTAGTATTATTATCTGATCGACCTAAATATAATAAAAAAATTAATTTGTTAATAGCGTTAGCACCAGGGTTTTTTTGGAAAAAAACGTATCTGCTTAGAATTCTTTTTCAAAAAGTAGTATGCACTTTAAAGGTATGTATACTAAATCAGGATATTTTAAAAAAATATGGAATTACAATTTAAAATGGTAATGTTTAATTGTTTTCATGAATGATATTTCAGGACATAGTAGACCCAGAAGGATATTCCGAATTATTGCCACTGAGCTCACTTCCTCTAGACTTTCTTAATAATTTCTGCAAGAAGAATAATATCTTACAACTATGCATTGATGCTCTAAGTTTATTTATACGTGCTGAATATAATGCAATCAATAAGGTAAATAATTTAATCATTAAATATTTTTTTCAGTAATGAAGAACAAAAAAAATTTAATTAAGTATTGTGTTACAGTCTGATCTATTCACATTCTTCAATTACTATCCAGCAGGAATTTCAACTAAAACGATCGCACACTTTTGTCAGTTATCAAAGAGAAGTAATAATTCATACTCTGATTTACCCAATAATTTGTGAATTCTTTTCAATAAAAATTTCTTTCAGGAAGATTCGCTCTATATGATTATGGATCTAAAAATCCAGAGCACTACGGTCAAGTTGATTCACCTGAATATAACTGGAATAACATCGTAACAAAAACGTATATATTTTATTCTGATAGAGATTTAATTTTCGATGGAGTTGATGCTGAATTATTAGCCAGTTTTATGTCTAACAATCCTATGATTAAAAGAGTCGCATCTTCTTCATTTACGCATTTAGATTTCATAATAGGCATTGATGTTAAAGCTTTACTCTATGATAAAATTTCTGAAATAATTGCTAATAATTGAAACTGAAATTTTATTAGTTAATCCAATGATTGAACATTTTGTGTAAACCACAGAAGATTTCATGTCATCGATATATTCAATTCCATTATAAATACTTCTGACCATTCATTATTTAAAATTTCATAAATCAGTCAATGCCGTTTCCTAGCTATCATTAACTATATCGAAGTCACTCTACTAAAAAATAGAAAAGTGTAAAAACGGTAGTTGATAATCATTATTAACAGAAAAAAATATTGTCATGACCTTTATTCTGTTAACAGTTTTATTACATAAATTTCTTTTTATATTTGAGATGAGAAGTATGTGAATATTTATGAGTCCTTGAAGATTTACAGAATACTTGTTATAGTTTGCCAAACAGATTCGTATTAAAGCATCTTCTCTATAAATAGATTATATTGATGAATTTTTTAAGAAAATCTATGTCTTTAACTACGATGTAACTACTGTTCTACAAATACGCTATTTTTGTATAAATAATTAATTTTTAAGAAGAAGAACTTTATAAGAAACTACTCTTATTAGTTTCTACATACAAAAATTATTATTTTCCATTATAATAACATCGTTATCAATTTTTTTATATTAAAACATTTTTACCAAAAAAATAATTCAGCACAAGTATGTTATAATGACGCGAGTTAAAAAACATTCGATTATAAAAAAGAATTTTTTTAATGATAATTTTTGAATGTAAATATATTCAATTGATTTCGTATCAATAGAATAAGAACATATACAGTATGTAAATATTCAATAACGAAGAGTATTAATAGTTATGACTGTTGAAATTCATATCAGGTGTTCTTACTTTTCACTTGAATTGAATATATATTAATCATTTTATTATCTAGAATAACAAAATAAATAAGAAAATACAAAACTATAATTAAATTTAAACATTTGGAGATAATATCGACAACATGTAAAAAAACAATTTTATTAATTTGAGATATATTAAAGGAGAATTAAACCCTAAAAATTTTCAGTCGTGTCAATGACTGAGGCATTAGGTCTTTATAACATTGAACAATTTCGTTGCATTCATAGCACATTTATTTATTTTTAATAAAATGACTTTATACATAACAAAATGTATTCAAATATTTTTGTTAACGTATTTAATTGTAATAACAGTTGTAAGGTCAAAGCAAATAGTTATTCGCTATCAATATCCAGACAGAATTAGTAATCGATCATACGGAAATTTTGTGAGTATTAAATGTAAAATATTGATAAATATCTTACTGAAATAATTTATTTATTCTAGAGTGTTTTTTTAAAATAGGTAAATTTAGCTCATCAATATGGATATGAAGCAGAAGAGCACATAGTAGTTACCAAAGATTATTATTTATTGGAAATATTTAGAATTGATTCAAGTCCTAAAAGTCCAGCTGCTAAAGGGAAACCAGTTGTGTTATTGCAACATGGATTGATGGCATCTTCTGATGTTTGGGGTTTATTTGATAGATCACTAGGTAGCTATTATATAATCAATTTTCTCTTGATTGTTCCGTCATAATTTTTATTATAATAAAAAAATGAATTATCTTTTTGTAGCATATCGTTTAGCTGATGAAGGATATGATGTATGGATTGGAAACTGTCGAGGAAATTATTACAGTCAATCAAATGTATTGCTAACTCCTGATGATCCTAGTTTTTGGAATTTCACGTGAGTTGTATTTTGAAAATTACTTTTTAATTTCTAAAACATTTCATCATTGGAGATTTCTCGTTATTTAGATGGCACGAGACTGGTACATTAGATCTCGCTGGAACAATAGATTATATTCGAGGAGTTACTCGGCAACACACTTTGACAGTAATTGGTCATTCGACAGGTGGAACGGCTCTTCTGATCCTATTATCCGAAAAACCTGAGTATAATAAAATAGTAAACTTAGCTATCACTGTTGGTTCACCTGTCATTTTCACAAAAAAACCAATCTTCAGAAGCATACTTTCCAACCAACTAAAATATGCAAATGTAATTATCGTTAATTTTTTTTTTGAGCACTATACTTATATAAAATTTTACATGTTTTCAATAATTTTTATTATTAGAACATACATCATCCCACAGGATCGTCAGTCAAACAAATTCATCTACCTTCAGTATTTTTTAGTAATTTATGTCAAAATTACAATCTTCAGGAATATTGTAAAGAGTTTTTCGATATACCACTTAATTACGGTTTCCCAGGAATGCCCTTGGTAATAACTTATTGATTAGCAAATCTTAAATTTCATTATAAATTAAATAAATAAATTGTTTATTTCAGGAAAAAACTCAAACTGTTTATAATGATCCGAATGAAACTTCTAGGAAATTTATAATGCACTTTTTTCAAACGTTAAAGCAACCAGGTAATAATTTAAAATTGCAATAATCATTCATTTTTATGATCTATTATTCGAATAAAATAAATATACATAATTTATAGGAGAATTTCGAAAATATGATTATAAAGGTCTCAATGTTCGACATCATGGCCAACCTGATGCTCCTGCGTATAAACTTAATAATATCGTTACAAAACTGGTCATATTTTATGCAAAAAGGGATTTATTGTGCACTCGAACAGATGTTGAAGAACTAGCAAGGCATGTTTCAACTAATGCAGTAATTGTACCTATATCAGACAATAACTTCTCACACAACGATTTTTTTTTACACGAAAAAGTTCATCACTTATTTCATAATAAATTATTGCAAATCATTAATGATGAATTAATTAAAAGATAATGCAATACATGTCATTATTGTATGATACTGAAAAAAGTTATTTAAGATTAGAATTCTGAATATTTTAATGTAATGTTTTCAAAATTATTTGTATGTTATTAAAATTATCTTTACAGAAAATAGTCTTTTTTAGTTAAAACAGAAATTATAGTCATGAACTTTAACGATAGCTGCATATTTGTATTACTAAAAACTCGTAATTATTTAATCAATAATTGTAGATTACAAAAAAACATACGTTAAGGATAATTGTCAGAATATAAAAAATGTAAATTATTTATTACATGCATTGTATTAAAGTATTTATATCTAACTTGTTCATACATTTTACGAGATTCATCTTCAAACGTGTAGTATTCTTCTTGTGTTCAATATCAACATCATTTATAAACCGGTTAAATGTACACTATCATGAAGTTTTTATGTATATTATTTGTTGGAAATTTAATAACAATATCAAACACTTCATATGTACGTCCTGATGAACAAGTGTTAAGAGTAACTACTCCAGAGGAAGCCCATGGAAAGCCATATTTTCTAGATACTGTGAGTCAGAGATCATAACAACTGTCAGATAAAAAATTATCAAAGTCCAAAACTGATATTAAATTTAATGTAAAACAGATTGGGTTAGCGCAGAAATATGGATATTATGCCGAGAAACATTTTGTTACAACTGAAGATGGATATATTTTGGAAATATTTAGAATCCCTGGAAGTCCAGTATCTCCAAAGGCTCAAGGAAAACCTGTCGTACTAGTGCAGCATGGACTCTTTGCTGTATCTGATGTTTGGGCATTCTATAACAGATCTATATGTAAATATTTCTCACCTTGAAGTTTTTATTCTTATTAATAATAAATATTTATTTTTTTAGCATATTTTTTAGCTGATGCTGGGTATGATGTCTGGTTGGGCAACTTTAGAGGAAACACCTATTCTCGTTCGCATGTAAAACTATCCCCAGAAGGATCATCATTTTGGAATTTCACGTAAGTTTTATGCTCATTCAGAAAAAAATAAAATAGGATATTAATATTAATTTATTTACAGATTCCATGAATTAGGAAAATATGATTATCCTGCGATGATAGATTATATTTTAAATTTAACGAATAAACCAACCTTGACATTGATTGGTCATTCAATGGGTGGAACTACACTAGTTATATTGTTATCTGAAAGACCTGAGTACAATAAAAAAGTCCATTTAGCCGTGGCATTGGCTCCTTCTGTTTATTGGAAGAAAAACGATCCCGTGAGATCATTTTTATTAGGATTGATTTATTCTTTCAAGGTATTTGTTTTATACAATTTTCCACTCTATGTTCTCTGAATTTTTATTGAATTAATTCTTTAATTTATTTACATAATAAAAGGATGCTCTAGATCCAACAGGAATGTCGGAGTTTTTGCCTCAAAGTACTCTTGGATTTAAGCTTTTTGATGTTTGCAAAAAATACAGTATTATAGATCTTTGTCTTGAACTCATTGGATTATTATCTGGCTATGATCCTGTGCAAATGAATCAAGTATTTTTTGCTTAAAAAAAATTATTTATTCATAATTAAAATCAATTAATTTGTATAATTAGAATACATGTTTTTTTTTCAGGAAGATGTTTTTGAAGTTATATATTACTTTCCATCAGGGTCTTCTACAAAATGTGTATGGCATTATTGCCAACATGCGCTAAATGGAGGTAAGATTGATTTCCAATTTTATTTTAGACCATTTTTTTTTATTTCAACAATTCTTTGTAGGTAAATTTCGACTATATGATTATGAAAGAGATAATTATTTACATTATGGACAATCAAATCCCCCTAATTACAAAGTTAAAAATATTGTAACTAATATGGCCATCATTTACGGAGAAAATGATCCTTTTTCGACGAGAGAAGACAATGAAGAATTAGCTAAACGTGTCTCTACCAAAGCTCTACTTGAATCTGTTGATTATCCTCGTTTTTCTCATTTAGATTTTGTACTAGCTAAAGATATTCGAGAATTATTACACAACAGAGTTTTAGAAATTATTTCTGAATATAAATATTAATTTTTCATTTATAAATTCGTGAGTATTACACATTGTTTTGAGTGAAAATAATTTAAATAATTTTAATTTTTATATTCTTTCAGAATTTCTTAAGTGTAACTACTCAAATGGATTTAGATATATTTTTCTAGATGTGAGCTTTTTTTGTCAAAATAAAATCACTACATACAAATAAAGATATATAATTAGAAGAGTTAAACGAAAAAATTTCCTCAATCTTTTTAACAATAAGTATCTTGTCTCATCTCATTAATGTTCGTTTTCGAAGAAATAGTGAAAAAAGTTTGACTTTGAATCCGAATAGTTGTGTTTATAATCGACAAAAAACATTTTATGACGAATATATAGTAGAAGTAAAAAAATTTAAATAAGACTTTTTGATAAATCAATAACTAATTGTTTTGATTAGATATAAATTTATTGTCATATTGTAGTTAAACCAAATTTACTACTGGACATCAATTCAAAGTTAGTAATTTTTCAATATCATTTTAATGATTACTATTTATTCTCGACAATCATCGTGATTTCTGATATATATTTACGTTTTACCTATTACGTATTATTATGGATGATTTATTTCTTATAAATAATTATGAATTAATGAATATGAATTTTGCAATTTATTTTTTATAGTAATGATAGTGTATATCACTCTGTGCATAATGCTTGTATCTATTTAAACGTCAGCATCATCAATAAGACCAACAGAAATTTTCCATCACAGCTCAAACGAAGTTCAATAATTTGTGCAGTATAGAAAAATTGTTTTCAAGTTCATGTAAATAAATTGTGTGAGCTATGAAGCTTTTAGATACCATTTTTTTGCTAGGTTTAGTTACAATAGCATTTGGTGTACGTTTACCTTCTCATAAAAAATTATTTGAAATACATGATTTGAAGGATAAAGCAGATTTTCATTTCCGAGAATTTGTAAGTGACATATTATAAACGTCTTATGACTTTTAAAAGAATAATAAGTGTAATAAATTAATAATTCAATATGCAAAAGTGATATATTGTTGTTTTTTTTAAAATGTCAACTCGTTTAGCCTGAGCTTACTCAGCAATTTGGTTATCAATCAGAGGAACATAGTTTGACGACAGAAGATGGATACACTCTAAAAATATTTAGAATCCAAGAAAGTCCTTCAAGTCCTAAAAAGGAAGGGAAACCAGTAGTATTGCTTCAACATGGCATGGGAGTGTCTTCAAACATTTGGGGATTATTCAATCGATCTCTCGGTAAAAAAAAGACTAAAAATCTAAAAATTTTTAAATCTATACATGATAATTTTTTTTTTTCTAAAGCATACACTCTGGCTGATGCTGGTTTTGATGTCTGGCTTGGTAACTACCGAGGAAATACTTATGGACGTTCACATAATACACTTACTCCTGGAGAACCAAGCTTTTGGAATTTCTCGTATGCTTTAAATCCTAAAAAGAAAATTTTAATTATATGATACAATATTTTCAAGCTAATTTTTATTTAGCTGGAATGAAATTGGGAGAATGGACTTTGCTGCAACCATTGATTACATCCTCAAGACAACTAACAAAGAAACTCTGACACTTATTGGACACTCTATGGGTGGAACTGGAATATTTGTCTTACTATCAGAACGACCTGAATACAATAAGAAAGTCAATGTTGCAGTTGCAATGGCACCTAGTGTATTTTGGACACAAAAAACTCCAGTCAAGTCTGTAATAGAAGCATTATATTCTCGCAAGGTACATTCACTATTTTATCTGTTCAATAAAGCTATTGAAAAATAAATTTCTATTTAAAGTTTGTTTTTTCTTTTGTAGCAATCAATTGATCCAAATGGAATGTCTGAAATTATGGCTAAAGGAACCAGTTCAATGGATTTGATGAACCTTTGTATGAAACATAATATCATGAACTTGTGCTTAGCAGCACTTGAAATTGAACTTACTAATGGATCGGAGCAGACAGATATGGTAATTATTATTATATATTGATTTATTGATTGATAAAAAATTTTTATGGAAATGTTTTTAATTAAATATTGAATTTTAGCCTGAATTATTATCTGTCATGGACCAATTACCTGCTGGAACATCAACGAAGTGTATGTGGCATTATGCTCAACTGGCTGAAAATGGTAAGCTACTTCCTAATAATAATTATTGTCTGAAAAACTGTTACTCAAGTTGGTAATTTATAGGTAAATTCCGTAAATATGATTATGGTGAAAGTAATCAACAGTACTATGGACAAAGTGAACCTCCAGACTATCAACTCAACAACATTCAAACCAACATGATCATTATTTATTCAAACAATGATCCATTTTGTTCTAAAGACGATCTCGAAGAAGTGGTCAAACGCGTATCAACTAAACCTGTGCTTTATGAAGTCGAATACCCCAAATTCTCTCATACTGATTTTATAGCTGCTAGAGATCTTAAAACATTACTTAATGATAAAGTTGTCTCATTAATATCCAAATATCAAGAATGATCTCTTGAATATTAGAAAAAATTTTACTTGCATAACTATACAGTTGGCATTCAACAAAAATATGTTGAAATAAATTACATTAATTGTGTGTTAAAAAAAAGTTTATTTGTTTTGAAAATAAAAAAAGCTGATGAATAAAAAAAAGTCATATTCAATTTAGACCAATTATTGTATTTTTTTTAGTACAAAAAAATTATTTAAGATATTAAAACTCATGAATCACATTGTCATTAAATTATCACCACCAGCAAACTTAGTATTAAATGCACAGTCTGTTTGATGGATTTTTTGCGTTAACTATTTTCTTGTCACCAATTTGATGTCATAATTGTAAAGATTAGAATCAAATAATGGATGAAGCAAGTCACCAACTGCTAATAGTAAAAACAATTCTAATTTTGTAATAAAAAATTAACTCCATGTAATCGTGTTTTCTTTAGAAAAACATTTTTTTTTTTTAATTTAAAAAAAAAAAACAAAATCTTTCAAATTGTTGACATTCTTTTAATACTGAATATTGTGTACAATTATATTTAATTTATTTAATCTCTAATATCTCTAAACTAATACCATTCATGCATATTACTTTCCAGTACTGAGAAATTATTTACTTCCATTATGTTATAAGCAGTAAGTGACTAAGATCATTACGATCAAGTAGCTGTTACGTATTATATGTTTTGATTTTCACGTAATAGTAACTGATACTATTTTAATGAAGTGCTCTTCTCAATGAAGTGCAAATGTTTTTTATTATTAATACTTCATAGAGTCAAGAGCTATTTAACATACCAAAAAAAAAATGATGAAAAAAGTGAAAAAAAAAAATAAATGAGATATTGTTCTCCTTTAATAGCACTATGTCCCGAGCACAATCATTTACATTTGATTCATGACACTCTATTTAATGCATTTCCTTGACATAATTATAAAGGATCAAACGTGAATAAAAAGTGATTACATATTTTTTTGTAACCAAGTAATATATTCTAAATATGTTATGAAATGAATATATAACACCATGCCTTGAGTTCATTCAGTAGAACTTTTTAACTAGTCTTCGAAACACTTGACTAGATTTCTATATCTATCTACAATCTAGATGCATGATTTGATATAGTTTGATAGTGATTTTTAAACATTATGAAAAATTTCATACCAATATTACTTTTTGGTTTGTTTTTCGTAACTACTTCGTCTTACATAAATTTTAATGATCAGTTTTCAATGCAAGATGTGGAAAAGTGTGATGATAAAGTAACGAACCAAGATTTTGTATGTAAATAGTTGAATTAATCTATTTGCTTTTTACTAGAAAATGAAAGTTGAATCGATTGAAAAAGAAATAAATATTTTTATAGATGAATCTAGCTCGACGATATGGATACAAACCAGAAGAACATACTATAATCACCGAGGATGGATATATTTTTAATATATTTAGAATTCGAGCAACTTTTTTATCACCTGAAGCGGAAGGAAAACCACCAGTTCTAGTTGGACATGGAATTATGTCATCAGCAGATATTTGGGGACTTTATAATCGATCATTAGGTAACTTGAATGATTGAATTTTCACATCTTCATATAGTAATTAACATAATATAATTTTAAAAGTACTATTTGAATTAATTTAACTTTCAGGATATGCATTGGCTGATGCTGGATTTGATGTCTGGTTAGGCAATAGTAGAGGAAATAGCTATGGGCGTTTGCACAAACGTCTATCACCAGAAGAGCCTCGTTTTTGGAATTTTTCGTAAATTGAATTTTCTAAACCGTGATGAAACAGATTAGTTTAGCTTCTTATATAATTATTAATAATAATAATTTTAAGCGTCCTAATAATTAATCATTGCATAAACAATAATAAAAATTTTTTCCTAGGTGGCATGAAATAGGAAAATTAGATTACGCTTCAACAATCGACTACATATTAAATAAAACCAATAAACCTAATTTAACGCTAATTGGATATTCAATGGGAGGAACTGCATCACTGGTTTTATTATCCGAACGACCTGAGTACAATCAAAAAATAAATGTGTTAATAAATTTAGCACCATCTGTCTTTTTAAGAAATCAAGATGCAATGAGAGCAATTTTTTTTAATATTCTCTATCAACTCAAGGTATTTTTAAAGAACAATAATTAGGTAAAGAACTTAAAATATTGAAGTAATTCACTTTTACTTAGGATATTATTGATCCAAATGAAATGATAGAATTTTTACCTCAAGGTAATGCTTTGATACGATTGGCTCAAGACATATGTAAAGATCTTTTAGACTTTTGTGGATTTATATTTCAATTAATTACTGGCCATGATAGAAGACTACATGACAAGGTAAAGTAGCTATATATTTTAAAGCCAACTAGTTTTATTAGAAAAATGTTAATAAAAAGATGTATAAAAATAACCTCATAAAGTTATAATAACCATTTGAGAATTAATTATTTCTGAAGTAAAGAAAGTAGAGTAATTATGCACCTCAGGCAAAAACTTTTTTACTACTTACATTATTTTTAGAAATTACTCTAATTAGCAATCTTATTTTATATTCTTACATTTGAAAAATCATGTTTTTGTTTCGTACAGAAAGAAATCATGTTTGCATCTTATTTTTATCCTTCTGGATCATCAGCAAGATGTTTATGGCATTACTGTCAAATGGCTCTTAGTGGTAATTTAATTGTGTTCAATCATTTAACAGTTTAATATTTTTGTATAAAAAAAATAACTGATGATTTGTAGGTAAATTTCAGCAATATGATTTTGGTAGAACCAGGAATCTTTTGCACTATGGTCAAAATAATCCTCCTGCCTACAATCTCAGTAATGTTAAAGTTGATATGGTTATTTTCAAGGCAACAAGGGATTATTTTAGTACTAAAAATGATATAGAAGAAATAAACAATGATGTTTCTTCAAATGTAACAGTTGAAACAGTAAATCATCCAACGTTTTCACACTTAGATTTCGTGATTGCTTATAATGTTAAAAATCTCGTCTATGATCGTATAGCAGAGATTATAAATGAATATAATAAATAGAATTAATAAAAAGTATAAATAAATAATGAAATATCGAAGATTTAAAATAAGATATATGTATGATTAACACTTCAATATTTTTTTGATTGTATTATTAATAATGAAGTATTCGAAAGAAAATATATCTTTTAATAATTATTTTGTATATATTCAATAAATTCATGCTACAGAACTGTAATAAGATTATGAATTAATTCTATAATTTAGCTCTTAACTTATTAATCATCTTCGGTGAAATGTTTCTGTGCATTAGGATACTGCTTATTATAAAATTTGATATATTCTCTCTTACGTTTTTCTCTCGTAGCAAAATATTTTGGATACATAGCTTTTTCAGTAGGATGCCAATAGTCAACTACCCAGTCTGGAGGAGGAGTGTATCTCTGAAAAGCTGCACCGCCTGGAGAATCCACGAAACACAATGGTTGAGGATGTCTCCATTTCATTAATTCTGCTTCACCTTCAAGCAATAATTTTTTTGCAACTCTGAGATCTTTGATGTCTTTATTTTTATCAAACTCATGTCTAAGTAGAACTGCTTCATATCTGAAGTTTAAATAAAGAACTGTTGATGAAAATGGTATTTTTTTTAATCAAAGTAACTAACTAAAAATTCATTTCTAAGAGTCATGATGTAATATAAATGATTGAACAATAGCAATATTATAAACTAATTAAATTGAAGCAAGGGTTATTGAAAAATGTACCTGTACTCAAGAAAATCAGTTTCAAATGCTTCAATATTTCTACATGCTCGTTTATAAAGACTACAAACTCTTTGGGCATGGGTACGAAGCCCAGTTGGCAATTTATGTGCCATTTTTACTATTTCTTGATTATTTTATCACAATTTGATCAGCTGTGATAAACAATTATATTATGTAAATAAAATAGTCACGAATTATACATCACTGAGACAGAACTGCGCACTAAAATACTCCATATTCATCTTTCGGAAGAAATTGGAATTAAAGAGTTCAAATAAATTGACTTAAATTCTTTATTATATAAAAATAAACAATTAAAATAACAGATTAAATTATTTTAGCTAATTTTGAAGATTAAAATTCTTCAAATTTATTAGAAATATTGTTTTACAGCTGGACAAACAAAAAATTAGATCGAGATTTAAAAAAACCGCGTGATAGCGACAACTGCGTTTTGATCTGCCGCGCATGATATGATGCGTGGACTTCTTCTGGCTCCTTACACATATGTACATGAGAATTTTTGTGGACCGGTCTACCAGCAGCTCGTATTCTTCAGTATAGAAATGCTAAGCTGCAAAAATGGCGGATGAGCAGGTGAGTTCTGATGAAAATAATAAATGAACATCGAAACTGTATAAAGACATAAATAATGATGAGTGATTGTTAATAGTGTGATCAATAGAGTAATGTTGAAGTTGTCAAAATAGTGTAACAACGCGAACAAAACTAAACAATTCAACGCGCGAAATCCTCAGCGGCGTAACCTTTGGATTTATCTGCCGGATACAGTTGCCGTTCAGAGTTACTCTATATCTTCTAATGACAATCAAAACATACCGAATTTTTTTTTATTGTTTCTATACTAAACTCATACGATAAGGAGGAATAAATAATCAAAAATGTGTCTTTCCCGTAGTTTACTATCGATGCATTATTTTAGAGCAGAAACAATTTTATTTGATAGTAAATATGATAATAAGAATAATTGTTTTAGTTGATGTATGTATTCAATAATATTTTTTTGATATAATTTGTTAACTTGTAATCTTTTTTTGGTAAACAGAGAACTTTTTAAAAATCCACTACATATTTTTGCAATTGCAATTGATAATAAGAATAATTGTTTTACTTAATTTTTATGGTAATCTAACTATTAAAAATTTTAATTAACACCTTGATTAATGCAAAGAATTTATTCATATTTTGATGGTTCTGATCGTAGAAATTTATATTTGATAAATAAATAGATGTTTTTCACTGACAATAGCTGATGATACTATTTATCATGCTTGTGTGTCTCTGTTGTCACAACAAATATCTCAGAGTATTTAAATCTTTTTCTTGAAAATGGAAATAACAAAATTTTATAATTGTGACAGTTTCATTTAATACATAATGACTTGAGCTTTATTTATATTTGTTTGCATTATCTTACCGTTATTGAATTTTTTCTTGAATCGTTGTTTATACGGCCGTGTGCTACCGCCCTTGAATATATCGTTATAACCTTTCAACATTGATTGACGTAATTTCAATTTCATTAAATAATTGATAAAATGATTCTATCGATGATAGTAATAAATTAAAATCATACTATTAATTATAATCAATCTACAAATTCCAGGAAATACAAACAATGTTACTACAACGTTGATTAACACCAATATTTATGATACATTTATTGTATTTGAAAAATAAATATCATTATTTATGTCATTGACTTCATCTAAATATGTCATTCAGCACATTAATTGTATCTTAAAATCCATAAAATGCAGGAAGTGCAGCAGCTTGAGTTGCTGTGTAAACAGCTGTATGAGTCCCAAGATTCAGCGCATAGAGCAGAAGCAGAAAAAGCTCTTGTTGGATTCCAAAATGCTCCTGATACCCTTGCGAAATGTCAGTTACTCTTGGAAAGAGGAGATTCAGCTTATGCCCAACTGTTGGCTGCAACTACTTTGACCAAATTAGTTTCGAGGTCTGCGCAAGGGTTAAGTCTCCAGCAAAGACTTGATATTAGTAAGTATAAAATTTTCATATTCACAAATATTTTATTCAAATTATTTCAGTATTAATTGACTAATTTATTTATTCATTCTAGGAAACTACGTACTCAATTATTTGGCTACAAGACCGAAATTACCAAATTTTGTAATTCAAGCTCTAGTTACACTTTTTGCAAGAATATCAAAACTTGGATGGTTTGACTCCGATAAAGAAGAATACGTTTTCAGAAATGTCGTTGGAGATGTTTCAAAATTTCTTCAGGTATTTGGGGTAAATGTATAACTAAGTAGTAGAGCTTATTAGATTAGGAAGAATAGTAAGCTGTCTTTTTAGAGTTATTAATAATTTATTAATTTTATTTATAATTATTGTAATGGTGAATTAATTATTTGTAGGGATCTGTGGAGCACTGCATGATAGGAGTTCAATTGCTTTCTCAATTAACATGTGAAATGAATCAAATCTCCGAAGCAGATGCAAATAGATCATTAACAAAGCATAGGAAAATTGCTAGCAGTTTTAGAGATACACAGCTTTTTGAAATATTCCGGTTATCATGTTCATTACTTGGTACTGCACGAGAAAATTGTAAAAATTTAAATTTCAATGATGAAGCTCAGGTAAAGCTCAAAGATGTGTAATAGTTTTTCATTGTTATTTTATGATAGATCACTCTTACATTAAATTTTATATTTTTTTATTATGTAGCATGGGTTAATGACTCAACTTTTACGACTTGCTCGTAACTGTTTAACTTTTGATTTCATTGGAACATCAACGGACGAAAGCTCTGACGACTTATGTACGGTACAAATCCCAACAAGTTGGCGACCGGCCTTCCTTGATTTTTCAACATTAAAATTGTACTTTGACCTGTATCATAGCCTCCCTAATACTTTGTCATCATTGGCGTTATCGTGTATAGTTCAATTAGCTTCAGTACGACGCAGCTTGTTTTGTAATACTGAGAGAGCTAAGTTTTTAACTCATTTGGTAAATGGTGTAAAGCACATTCTTCAAAACCCTCAAGGATTAAGTGATCCTGAAAACTACCACGAGTTTTGTCGTTTATTAGCACGACTAAAAAGCAATTATCAACTCGGAGAATTAGTTATGGTGGAAAACTATCCAGAAACCATTCAATTAATCGCTAAATTTACTGTTCAAAGTTTACAGATGTGGCAATTTGCTCCCAACAGCGTACATTATCTTTTGAGTTTATGGCAACGTATGGTTGCTTCAGTTCCTTATGTCAAAGCTACTGAACCTCATCTTTTGGAAACTTATACCCCAGAAGTTACCAATGCATACATCACTTCACGTCTTGAGTCTGTAGCTGTTGTTGTTAGAGAAGGTTTAGAAGATCCTCTTGATGATCTTGGTATGGTACAACAACAACTGGAACAATTATCTGTGATTGGAAGATGCGAGTACCAAAAAACCTGTACGTTACTGGTTCAATTATTTGACCAAGCAGCACGAGCATATCAAGAACTGTTAGCACAAACTGCAAGCCCTACACAACAAATTGAAATCACTATTCAGGAGGGTCAATTGACGTGGCTGGTCTATATTATTGGAAGTGCGATTGGTGGTCGACTATCATTCAATAGTACTGAAGAACATGATGCTATGGATGGCGAGCTTGTCTGTAGGGTACTTCAGCTCATGAATCTTACTGATTCTGGACTCTCTCAAGGTGGCTGTGAAAAACTGGAATTAGCGATGCTCAGTTTCTTTGAGCAATTTCGAAAAATCTATGTTGGAGATCAAATTCAGAAAAATTCAAAAGTCTATAGACGATTATCAGAGGTTTTAGGGTTGAATGATGAAGCTATGGTGCTTAGTGTTTTTATCCGAAAAATGTAATTATTTTTTTCTTACTTTAAAAGAATTAATTATTATTTAAATTCATATTATAAACGAATTCTTTTCAGTATAACAAACTTAAAATATTGGGGACGTCGAGAACAAATTATTTCAAAGACTCTCCAGCTACTTACTGACTTGTCAGTAGGATACAGTTGTGTTCGTAAGCTTATAAAATTGGAAGAAGTACAATTTATGTTAAATAACCATACAGTACGTATGAATGAAACACAAATAACAAATAGTATGATATTAACATTTTGCTTCATCTCATGATTTTTTGTAGAGTGAACATTTTCCATTCCTTGGTAATAACGTTGCTGTAACAGAGATGCGTTGCAGATCAATGTTTTACACATCATTGGGAAGATTGTTGATGGTAGACTTGGGAGAAGACGAAGAGAGATTTCACACATTCATGTTACCCCTCACAGGTATATTAATCGACGGCACTATGATTGAATACTCAACGATAAGTGATCATGATTAATGGCAATTTTTATAGCGGCTCTAGAGAGTCTGGGTCAGTTGATGGGAGCAGCAGATACGCCATTATTTGCTGCGGAGGAAGCTAAAAAAGCATTAATAGGCATTGCTCGAGATCTACGAGGTTTAGCATTTGCTTTTAATACGAAACCATCATATATGATGCTTTTTGATTGGATGTATCCTTTTTTTTAGACCATTTTAATTTAGTAATTAATGGAGATAAATTTTTACATGGATATTATACTTAACATTATAATTAGATATCCTAACTATACACCAATTTTATTACATGCTATCGAATTATGGCATCATGACCCTCAGGTTACTACTCCGGTTCTCAAATTATTTGCTGAATTAGTTCAAAATCGAAGTCAACGGCTTCAGTTTGAAGTCTCATCTCCCAATGGAATTTTACTATTTCGTGAAGCTAGTAAAGTCATTTGTAGCTATGGAAATCACATTTTAAACGTCGAAGTACCCAAGGATCAAATTTATCCCCTTAAACTGAAAGGAATCAGCATTTGCTTCAGCATGTTAAAAGCTGCTTTATGCGGAAGTTATGTAAATTTTGGAGTATTCCGATTGTATGGCGATGAAGCTCTAGACAATGCCCTTAATACATTTGTAAAGTTACTTCTAAGTATACCTCAAAGTGACTTATTGGTAAGTATTTAAATCTATTTCATTTATATTGTAAATGATCTGTAAATTAATTTGCATTTTTAGGATTATCCTAAACTATCAGCGACGTATTACGTATTATTGGAGTGTTTAGCTCAAGATCATATGGCTTTTCTGTCTACATTAGAGCCCAGAGTTTTTCTGTACATCTTATCGAGTATCAGCGAAGGTCTCACAGCTTTAGGTGCGCTAAAAGACTCCTACACAGGTCTGTGCGGCTGATTCTATCTATAAGTACTCTATATCCTCTGTACCAAATATAAATCACATGACGATGCCTCGAAATTCGTACAGAGCTCGAGTTATTTGAAAATATTAGCTAATAAAAAATATGATCATTCATAGTAGTAAAAAAGCAATTTATAACTCCATATGCTTAATTACATTTTTTGCTTGGAATGTTGAAATCGCTCGGTCATCATGAAATCAATAGAATGTAATTATGGGTTTTAATAAGTACATGATCATTACATCGGTTATTATTTTTTAAAGCAGAAGATTATTAGAGTAAATATAGGCGCTAAGAGGATTGGAGTGATGTGAATCTAGTTTTCGTACATAACAAAATCTGCAACGTTCAGCTATTAATGTCCTGGTATTACGAAAGCTTGTCGTTATTCCCATATTTGCCCACAAGCTTCCGGATTATGCCATAGCTCAAGTATTACTTTCAATTGTCTCAAATTACGGGTTTAGCACTTGCAATCAGCCGCACAGCTGAAACGTTATTAAATTATTAACATTGTTAAATTACCACATTAGTGTAAGTTGTGGTTTTACACTAATCTACTAATGAAACGCATGTTTTTTATATAGTAATGATTGTTAATGAGCTAGAGAATCATCAGTTCATTTAGTCTGATCTATTACTACTGCTTTGTAGTTTATTAGATTTTTTTAATATTTGCAATTTATTTGCCTGCCAAAATAGCAATTAATCTTCTTTCAGACACAATGGTTTGTACCGGATGTTGTGCAACACTAGATCACATCGTAACATATTTGTTTAAACAACTATCACAAAAAGGTAAATTATGGCTTAACAAACAATTTTTTTTTTTTTTTTTACATTTATATTGATTGTTTTATTTTATATTAGCTGGAGTCTATCCAGGAAAAAAGAACACATCGGTTCCTGCTGGTGGAGAATTATTTTTACAAGTTCTGAAGCAGCATCCAGAAATTTTACAACAAATATTAAGCACTGTTCTGAATGTAATTATGTTTGAAGATTGTAGAAATCAATGGAGTATGTCCAGACCACTCTTAGGACTTATTTTGCTTAATGAAGAGGTAATTAAAACTACTGATTAATTAATTAAATTATTTTGTTGAATATTTATTAATTGATAAAAAATTGAATGCAGTACTTTGGACAATTAAGAGAAAATATAATCAGAAGTCAGCCAGTTGATAAACAAGCAACAATGGCACAATGGTTTGAAAATTTGATGGATGGAATTGAGCCAAACCTATTAACAAAAAATAGAGACAGGTAAATTATAAATTTGATTGTTTTTTTTTTTTTAAAAGGAAAGAGACTTATTGAATTAATAAAAAAAAACAATTTACTTTTTAGGTTTACTCAAAACTTATCAATGTTCAGGAGAGATATAAATGATTCCCTTAAGGGTCCGAATATATCTGCCAATTTAGCCAATGATATGATGACTTCGTAGTGTTTTTACTATGAAATCATTGCAGCTTGGTTCAAAAAAATATTACAATGACTTTGCCGGCCGATGAAAGATTAAATGCACGAATGTGTGCATGTGAATGAACGACTGAAAAAAAAAAAACAGAAATAGAGAGAACGTTTTTGATTTTAGATTATGAGTGATTAATCAATGATATAAATTACATTAAATTTAGCCACAAAGAGTGTAGCATAAATGTGGACTGCGGCCTTAAAACTGTTTGTGGTAGCAAGAGTGGTGTGAGTTGAGCGTGTGAATGCATTGAAGATTTAACGAAGTAAAATAAACTTGCAATTACCATCAAATTCACACGTGAATTTTGTGAATGATGTACATGAAGATATCATTAAAAAATATCTCTTAAGAGTGCTCAGTTCTTACCGTAATAAAAAACAAAGCAAATTTGATAATTATTAATAATGCCAAGATGAATGTTTTGATTACTGCATTGCCGCCTGATTGAGTGCCAAGTGCATACATTGACGCTGTGATTACCTTGCATTGTTAATCGCTCATTTTTTTTAATTTTCTTCCTATTTACTTTTGATTATCTTTTAAAATTAATTTGAATTCAAGATGTCAATAAACGAACAATGTTTCATAATTATTGACAAATACAATTTTTATACGTGATTTTTATTTAAATTTTGCGACAAAAAACTTGGCTTTGAATAAAAAAAAAAGAAATACAATAAATAAAATCATTAATATGTTGTTAAAATTATCTGATATCATTAGTACCAGTTTTAAATTCGTATTTAGTACTTGGGGGTGTAACTCAGTGGTAGAGTGTCTGCTTCGCATGCTGAAAGTCCTGGGTTCAAATCCCAGCTCCTCCAGCCGTTTTTTTTATATTTGTTGTCCCCACATTAGCATAACATAGAAAATATTTGTACATTACTTATAAATATTCCTTTGTATAAATCCACATAAACAGTTATAATATTGTTTACCCAAATTATTGAACATTTTAGTTTAAAAGAATAATAACTCAATAAAGACAAAAATTTTTGCTGAATAAATCAGTTGGCAAATTTCTTTTAATAAACTTAGACTCTATCAATTGCCTCAATAATTCAATCAACTTTATTAAATATAATTTTTAAATTATGTTCAAATGATAAAATAGAATTATTTTTAAATAACGACAAGAATGCGCAAAAAACTATTGCGCATGCGACAGTTGATTGTTTTCTTTAATACAAATGCAATGGCGATGTAATTATGCCGGGTATTTTTGCCATTAATTATTCAGTTAGTACTGATTTTATACTACTATATTACAAAGTGTCTTCTCTATCAATGCTAATATTGACACTAATAAACTAATCAATATATTTGAGTGTCCATGTAAAAATACACGTCATTTTATACTGATTAACTTATACGTTAAAAAATGAGACAAGTTTGTTCGTTGTAAATATTTTATTTTAACAGTGTTGATTCAACAACATAACGATAATTACTACAAACAAAAAAGGTAAAGAAAAACATTCATTATTACTATGTAATTAACTAAAATCTTAAGTACTGTCATTTTGATTTCTTAACCTACAGATTTCAGAGTGACACCAGAAAAACGAATTCAGTTTTCCGTAAGCGGTAAGTAGCTATTCCAATATTTATGTAGTTTGATGGTTATTTAGATTTGCGTCCCGACCCATTGATAAGCACTTGAGCAGCAGGAGACATGGAAATTTCTAGCCCAGTCTAGTCACTCCTGCGGCACTAGTACTTAGGAACAGGACAGGATTGTTATCAAACGATTAGCAACTTATTTTCACTTTCATTAATAAATCGTCTAAGATTGAGAAGGTAAACTTGTTAAGATAAACGGTAGTCAATGGTGAACGTATGAAGCCGGAAGCACAAACTAGCGTGTGGACAGTGCAAGCCCTCATTGAACCGACCTCGGTTAGTCATTGAAGCCGCCTACTTCTCATTCATTCCACTCAGTGCCTCTTTATTTCATCTTCACTTTGATTATTTTCTTTCTCTTTTGACAATAAAAAAAACAGCTATTAGTATATAAAAGATGTGATTAAATTATTTAATTACTTATTGACAATTGTTTTCTCTTCTATTTTAATTTCATCAAGTCTTTTAGGCTAATAATGTTTTTTTTTGTTCTTCGACTCATGAATGCACTCAGTCTCATCTTCCACGTAGTCTGCAACTCGCGACAAATGTCAGCATGTGGGATAACTGAATGAGTCCCTCTGTTGTCGCTGCTGCTGTCATCATCGTTAGCTACACGCTCAGCCAGTTTGACCTTCTCTCCATGTTTTTCCCATGATCTAAAGTCACAAAAAAATTTTTCAAATATTTTCTCCAAAAAAATCATACTCACTCGATAAATTATTTTTCAAAATTATTCCACAATATGAAGTAACTAATAAGTAGTATGTATTGATTACAATCAAATGCAGTTGTGATGATGTTGAATCCATTGCTGTTGGTATTAATGAAATTAAAAAAAGGGATTACGAAGAGAAATCTTGGTGTACAAGTGTCGTGCAGTTTAGAGACATGTTTGACATAGGGAAACAAGACAAAAAGAGAGAGAGTAAAGAAGAGACAGAACTCCAATTAACACTAATTCCTACTAATGCGACTTCCCTCCCCAGCTGCAGAACAGACCGTCACTTCAATTCTTAAACGTTTCAGAATTTTTCTGAAGACTTTTTAGCTGAATTAATAATAATTATTTTGTCTGATAAATATTAAATAAAAATAAATAAATAGAATAACTGTACGTTACTGATGTGAATATATACAAGAGTCTCCCTTTTCTTGAAATGTACTGTGCTATCGTAAGCACGAGGTCAGGAAGTCATTGAGATAACAAATCATTGGATGAAAATAGTTATAAGAAAAAAATATACATTTTTGGATAACCAAAAAATCGTGGATATTATTAACATACAGATTGAGTATCTGCTTTTGGTGCTTTTTTTTGCATTCGTTGATGACGATGACGACCACAGATGTGGTGAAAAACAAGCGATAAAAAAGATTTTTAAAAAAACACCGAATACTGTACACTTCAAGTGTTGACTATGCAAATGATATAACATTCTCAATAATATCTAAAATAACTAATTGATAACTACTATGATTATTATTTCACTTGATACAAACTATGAATAAATGTTAAATTAACATGCTCACTGATGCTCTTGATTTAAAAAATAAAATACTGCTTTAACAATCGCAGGAAATCTCATGACCTATTGAACTGTAAACGTGTTACCTCGATCTTGTCCACTTGTTGATTATAAGGTTGGATATTTCGCCGGTTTAAATGGACTTTATTTAGATAAAATAAAAGTTTCATTGAACTAGATATTGAAACCATAACACGTGTTTACTTGAATAAAAATGAAACCATCATCAATATTAAAAGCAATCAAGAAAGACCACAATGTCAATCGACGACGATACAGCAACTGACTAGACGTTAAACGATGTGAGAATTGCGGGTGGAGATCTTGAGGCGGGAAGAGAAATAATGAAGAAGTAGACGATCAAGAAGAAGAAGAGAAGAAGAAGATGGAATATGGGAAAAAGAAGATGAAGAATGTTGGTATGTCACTATGCCGGCGCAGTAAAGAGATCCGGTCATGGTCGTAAATATTTCCCGGAGACGAATGCGGGAACGAGTGAGGTAAGACTTCACTAACCACTACCCTCTTCTTATTCATTTAATCTGCTACTTTTTATATTTATTATTTTTTATTTGTTCGACAGCTTAATGTGCAACGCACACTACGGCCTGAAGTTGAAGACAAAAAGCTCCGAAAGTATAAAATAATGCTCACGACCCGGCGACAGATCCTCGACTGAATGATAAACTAGTCTTGATTGGCTTAATATAGTCCGGCGGGTACTCTAATTGGTCGCTTTTAGCCGCGGGGGAAATGATTGGTCAATTTAATCCTAGAACTGCGATGCATTAAGCATTCAACAGGCGTTCATTCTCTATTAACGGCCAGCTTTTGCCACTCTGATCCTGTACACGCAGCCTGTATGTCTTCCGTGACTTACCACAACGACGAAGAAGAAAATGATGATGGTCATGATGACTGTAGTGATTATTATTATTATTATTGTCATCATCGTGATAGTAATAGTAATAATGATGATGAGGAAACTAGAATCTGCTACCATTTAATACTTACCCCATGTACTCTTTCTTCATTTTTTCCACCACAACGCTTCAAATCAATTTATCAATTGAAATCAGTGTCGGTTATAACTCTCTGACTGTTGAATGGTGAACGAACATCACCCATTTGTTATGTAGTCATTCATATACACTATATATAACTATACCCACTTGAATTTATTTTATTTGTACAGTCAGTTAAGTTCACTTATATAATTTTATTATTTATTTACATGAAAAAAAATACTATGATTTATGTTATATGGTAATTGTTGATTGAATATTATCAGTGCGTAAAGTAATTGTGCGTAGGTGAATTATTGAATTTATCACCTACAGCACTACTACTTAGCACACGGACCAATTTTAAAATGACCAGAATTATAGAAAAACCTTCAAACTTATAATGACTTTCCAAAGAGAAAATGGATATTTACTGACGCATTAAGAAGAGTGATAAGATTAAATATCTTGAAAATTCTGAATATTGAACTCTGACATAAGTGTGTTTAAGGGAGAATGAATCATAAATATATGTATAATCATCGGCTGAAAAGGTGCAGGTTCAACTTGTGAACGCATCAACGAGCGTTAAGTTACATCGCCCATTATTGCGGTCACAAACCGAAACAACTCCAAAGTCTCATCTTCATTTTTAAAAATGTATTCTTAACAAAATATCTACTATCTTACTTCGATTGAATCAGCATTCAAAAAGCAAACAATGCATTAGTTGGAGATTGTTTATGGATGAATAGTCTTGGCTGCTCTGCAAATTGGTCAACAATGGTCACTTTATTGAACATAAGACACAACGATTAGTCTTGCAAACAGCATAAAAGTCTTATCGAGAATACTTTTGTTATTCTCATTGATTACCATCATGATATGCATCAGGAAAGTTTACTATTGCTGCAGGCAATTTTATGCGGGTCCATTCTTACTTTAATTTTTTCTTCTCTATATGAAGTGTCAGCTGTGAAGTATTTAATACATTAGATTCCTATTTATTTTTGATAATTAAGTATACATATTAAATAATAATAGTACAACGTAGACGTATCAGTATTACGAAAAAAGAACAATTCGAAGAAAAAAAAGTTATGATAACGAATTATCTATGACTAAGTGAGTACAATAGAATAGTCGAAAAATAGATTTTTCTATTATACGTCATCACTTTTTGAAATTTATGAATATTTAGTAAATTATTTATTTTACAATAAATAATTCAACTTACGCAAATACTTGATGTAGTAAAATTGACCATTTATCCATTAAATAATATTATTAGTTCAATTGAGCACTCTTTCACTACTTTTAGACCATTTTTTTTTATTAATTTACTATCTATATTTCGTGAGTATGAGCATGTGGCAGCTCATGAAATGAAATAGATAATATCAGCTCGCTAGTGACAAGCTCTCTTCTTGAGCAATACAAAGCAGCTACACATGCACAGGTGTTTTCTGGGGATCACGTGCTTCATCACAGATGCCAAATAAGACATAACATACATCTATGATAATATGTATATATATATATATTATTCTACCATCGAAGCAGGTCTTGATAGAAAAATTAAAAAAAGAAAATAATGTATTCATTATCTAAAAAAAAAAAAAAATTGTCTCAATGACGGTATTGGTGTTTATTGATTTTTTATAGTTGCTCATTAATGTCCATCTAGGAAAATCTGCGGTGCGTAAATGATGCAGGGTCGAGACCGCGAACCATGTTCTATAACTGAGGGGACTGGTTCCAGAGAGTTTATTAAATTGGATAGAATGCGATGCGTAGGTCTATACGGCCGGATACACGGAGAATGAATCTCATCCAGTGGGAGGAAGTTCGAATTAACTCAAGCTTGTACGCTCCTCTCGATACCTAAAGACTCGATTCATTGTGCTGATCCATTTTATCATTTCTGGAATTATAAAGGAGGAAGTGTAGTGTTAAAGTAAAGTATCAATTAAAAGAACATTAAAGAAGAAAAGGGAAAATGAAAAATTATTAATTACAGTTAGATAAAGACCATCCATGTCGAAGATGACATGACCCAAAGCTCTCAGGGACCGGCATGTATGTAAGGAGTTGAGAGTCGTTAAAATCGTTTGACCCAACGATTTATACTACGCGACGAAGGGTCACGAGATGCTTTCAATACCAGCAGCAAATGACTCGACATTAAATTGTTATATTCAAGTATGAGAATGTGTGTGAAGCAAGCAAGAAAACGCCAGACTGCTTCCTCTGGGTATGATAGAGATAAATACGTGACACGAGGACGAGATGATAGTTGTACTCTGACACTGTACATAACCCCAAGGTTTTGCGAATGAGAATTTGCAAAAAGAAAAGAAAGAAAAGTACTTAATAAGACAGAAAAAAAAAACAACAATTAATTCATTGAAATTTATTCAATTTTCTTTACAAAAATGATCAAGTGGTAATTAATTAATTATTATACATTGAATTTAATTCAAGAGCTATAAATAGATTAGAGATCTCTTGAGTCTATTTCATTGATATTAATCTTTAATAATTTAATAATATTTTATTTTAGTACATATAATAAATATTTGATCTTAAATTAATTAATTTATCCTCTTTCACAAATAATGTCCACAACACTAGGCTCCATTAGAACAGGTTCAATACATCGATGAACTGCGCTCCCCAGAATTTCATCCAGTAAAAAATGTACAAGGCTGTAAAGAATATTGATAATTTATTTTAACGGTAAAATATGTAAAGTTCATGTTAGATTTTTGAGTACGTGTAAAAATATTTACTTTTCATCAGCAACAAATCTCCAGAGATAGAGTTGAAGGTAGTGTGTGTCCACTTGAATTTGTTGGAGACCGTATTTGCTAAAAGTTCGAAGTCTCACACACTCGAGGAAAGTCTGAAATAAATGTCAATGTTAGTAATGTACGCTGTGAAAAATTGAAACGTCAAAGATAATCATTAGATATCATGTATATACTACTATTACGCTTGGCAAAGTGAATAATAGCAACATTATTTTATCATCGCGATAGACAATATATATCCACCTGTATTTACTACAGTACATCATCTATCAAAAATTTTTTTTTAATTCACAAAATAATACTAATTTACCTTCAGACTTATTTTGATGATGCCCGTTAGAATAGAAGCCTTATTAAATTCTACTGGAGCAAATATTTCAATCCTTTCGGAGAAAAGCTTATTAATATTACTGACAAGTGATGAATCAAGCTGGCTGGGAGTGTACGAAGACCAGTTAGAACGGTATTGGTGTCTTGATACGCTGATGCTGAAATCACATTCAATTTTCCTTTATAATACTTTAACATTATTATTATTTTTTCAATAATAGAGATTTTATTCATTGAAATTTTTTTATAATCAATGAATGAATATCTCAATATACAATATTCTCTTTCATTTTAATTTACGACAAACCTTTATCAAATTAATTTTTTAAAATTATTTTATGTATTGATTTTTCTTCATTATTTCTCTTGAAATAATCTAACAAAAAGTCTCTTTGATTTTGATTGTTATTGTTATATTTCAATAATATGAGAAGGATTTAATTTTACCTATGAGTTCTTCGACTACTATCACTGCTTCTATCAACTTGCCCATCCGAATCAACATAAAGTACAGAAACTTGAGCATCAATTGCTGTAATATCTTCAACTACTCGCTTCATAACAGCTCTGACAGTCCTAGGTTCAATGGTATGCAACCAATCTCTAGTTTCAACAGACTTTCTTAACATCTGTGATATAGACAATCCTTGCAAACGAACATAATGATTCAAAAGATCTTGGCCAGCTCTTTGAAATTCATTGCAAATGTCTTGCTCAGATGTAAGAGCATTAACCGAACTCGCATATTCATGAACATTAAATGTATCGTCAGTGGTAGAAAGTAAATAGTGAATACTAGTATCTTTGAATTCAATGCACATTTTGCTTAATAATAATAGTAAAGTTGGAGGATATTTCGGAACATCAGAACGTGTACAAAATCCAGCTGCAACTGCTGTTAAGTGATGTAAGAATCCAATAATTAAACCTTCTCGCACTTCATCAACACAAAATGTCTCCAAAAATTGTGGTTTTAAACTGAATGATAAATCTGGCTCTAAAAATACAGATAAGTCTTGAAGAATGCCTTTGACTTTTTCAATTGTAGGCATTATTAAAAGAGCTTGAAGTTCTGGCAATCCTCCATCACTCTCTGATGATACTTTAGTAGCTAATGTTTGTCTTACTTTTGCTAGAGTTTCATTTAGATGTTGTTTTAAGGAATTTAAATGATTACGACACTGTTTCCTTCCAGCATTTATAACTATCTCAGTTCCAACACTCGCAAAGTCGGCTCCATTACACAGAATATTCATAGCTTGAAGTCTGCGATAAAATTTATCCAGTGCCCGAACGAGAATAGCAGTATCAGATACGTCTTCCATTCGCTTTTTTGTTAATTCGAAGTATTTATTCATATTATTTAGGATAAATTTATCAAGTCGTGTCATAACATTTGCATCAACATCTTCAATTAAATCTTCATCATCCGAGCGAGGTCTGTTGATAAACATATCGCTGTAAGATGCGACAATTAAACATAAATCTCCCAAAAACCCTGAGCTTCCTGCATCTACAAATTCTATAACATCATTCTCACACATATCCTTTAAGGTATCTAGTTCTTCAGAAAGACGATTATCAGCATGATTTAAAAATTCTTCACACAATGACGCTGCCGGTTCCTTGAGTCTTAATAATAGATCAACACTTTCTGTTAATGATTTGGTAGTAGCATCTCTTCGATGAAATTGTTTTCTTAATTGTGATTTCAATTCTTCAACTATTTCTTCACAATCTTTTTGTATACCGTGGAAAGAAGGCATGTTACCATACTGATTCAGTACTCTTTGAGCTCTAATATAGTCTTGAACAGCCTAAACAAATAGATAAGTTGATATTATTTTTTCTATTGAATTTATAAATGGATTTTAATGAATAAAAGTCACTATAATAAGTCTATCGTGTTAATATTGATTCTTTGTTATCAATAACTGATTTTATTCGATTTTCAAATGATCGTTCAATTTGTAAAATAAATTTTTAATTTCCTTTGTCAATGAAAAGACATAAAGAATTAATTAATTTCTGAATAATTAAAATGTTTTTTTTTTTAGTCTAATAAAATATTTTCGACTGTGAAAACTTTTATCCAGAAAATCAATTACTGAATTAATTATCACGATTGTTTTAAAGCTTTTCAAAACTCTAACGTGATTAAAATGACCCCATTATATTGATGAGAGGTTTGAAAACTAAAGTAGACGTACTTGAGAATAATTTCCTTCATTCATCTTGTCTTTTAAATTACTAGGAAGCTTAAAAAGAAACTGTAGCCGTTTCAAGAGAGCATGAACTGAAGATAGTCTTGATATCTGTTGTCTTGTCCCTTGTAAGGTTGATGAAATTTGATCAGAAAAAGAAGTAATACTATCCATATTTTTTTCTAGTAAATCCATGCTGTCTTCCATTCCTTTAAAATCACTTTTCATCTAGATTTCAACCAAAATATATTAATTTGATAATTCAATTTTAATTATATCATAAATAAGCAACTTCTCTCAAGGGAATCTTCATTATTAAAATACCTTTCTAATCGTATCAGTGGCAGCTATAAATTTATTATAATTTTCATAGACTAGAGTTTGCATTTCTGAATGTAATACTTGTGTATTTCGTCTTATCTCCTCTTCATGGTCCATAATTTGTTTTAATCGACATTCCTATAATAATTGAAGGTTATCAGTAACAATTAAAACGAAATTCAAGATGTGTCATGAATTATTCCAAGAATACCTTTGTCAATTTTTGTAAATACAAATCTGCATCAAAGTGTGGTCCGTTTATATCAAATGGATTGCCTGTATTTTCAGTCATTTTTATATTTGTATATTCTCGGAAAATCTTTATGAAATCTCAAGTCTATTATGACACTTTGGAATGATGATAGAATTGCCAGCTGGATTTTCAGTAAAGTAGCGCCACCAAGCGACTGATTTTGCCAAAACTTACCGACATGAGGTTAGACAGTTTTACAAACTATCGAGCACGTGGACGAGGAATCATAACCTAAGTGAACATGAAATAAATAAAGCGTTGTGATTAATAGTTAGAAAGTTTGGATCAATAATTTTCGAGCTTACTTATCATTGAAAACACGGAGGTAAATATTTTGTTTTCTATTTATATATAAATATTCATGAGTAGTAGAGTGCAACGTACGTAGTTAAAAAAATAGTTTATATTGATTTATAGACAACATGGCCAAGTCATCAGCAATGACGAAGAAACCTCGGAAAGAGGGATTCAATCGCTCTGGCCACAGCATGAATCCTGAAAGGTCAACAGAAGGACTCAAGGGAGTGGCAAAAGTACGATCAAAAGCAACAATAAAACGTCTGCAGATGTATCGATGTCAAAAACCAAAACGCAATAGGTCTGGGAAAATATTAACGCCTGCTCCATTCCAAGGATGGCAACCATCAGGGACAGTATCAAGAATTGAACCATCTCAACGTTGGTTCGGAAATACTAGAGTAATTTCTCAGAATGCATTACAAAAATTTCAAAATGAGCTTGGAGCAGCAATAAAAAATCCGTATCAAGTTGTTATGAAGCCAACTCAACTTCCAGTAACGCTACTTGAACAAAAAGCAGCCCAAGCGCGCGTTCATTTGTTAGATACAGAGAGTTTCGATTCGGTATTCGGACCAAAAAAACAGAGGAAGCGTCCAAATCTACCTGTTACATCTTATGACGAGATGCAGAAGCAAGTGGAAGAAAGAGAGGTGGAATACGATAAAGAAAAAAATATAAAGGACTTTGACCTCATAAAACCTGATGATGGAATACGGGATGCACAGCGTGATTGGATTATGGGTGCAGGTCAAAGCAAAAGAATTTGGAATGAACTATACAAAGTAATCGACTCTTCTGATGTTATTTTACAAATTCTAGATGCCCGTGACCCATTGGGTACGCGCTCACCGCCTGTGGAGAAATATTTAAAGACGGAAAAACCTCACAAACACTTGATTTTTATATTAAACAAAGTAGACCTGGTACCTACGTGGGTTACGCAAAGGTGGGTTAGTATTTTAAGCAAAGAATACCCAACCGTTGCATTCCATGCCTCTTTAACGCATCCGTTTGGGAAAGGTTCTTTGATTAATTTATTACGACAATTCTCGAAGCTTCATGTTGATAAAAAACAGATAAGCGTTGGTTTCATTGGCTATCCAAATACTGGAAAGAGCTCAATAATAAATACATTGAGGTCAAAAAATGTGTGTAAAGTAGCACCGATTGCTGGTGAAACGAAAGTATGGCAGTATATTACTTTAATGAAAAGAATTTACCTTATTGACTGCCCAGGAGTTGTTTATCCGTCAGCTGAAACTGATACGGAAAAAGTTTTGAAAGGCGTTGTTCGAGTGGAACTTGTAAAGAACCCTGAGGATTACGTGGAAGCTGTATTAGAACGTGTGAAACCTGAGTACATAAGTAAAACATATAGAATTGATGACTGGACAGATCATCTTGACTTTTTAGAAAAGCTGGCACGGAGATCAGGAAAATTATTGAAAAAGGGAGAGCCAGATATTGGAGTCGTCGCCCGCATGGTGTTGAACGATTGGCAGCGTGGAAAGTTGCCTTTCTTTGTAGCTCCAAAAGATTTTTCAGTGCCGTTATCTCAACAAACAGGCTCATCTGAGGGCCTAGTCGTGGAAAATAATGAAGAAACTAAAGAAGAGGGTCGGCCTGATGCGGATACTGAACACCAGTCAACCATTTCTGAAAGCAAAAATTCATCTCAACCGCCTTTAAATGTTATTCAAGACTTTCGAAAGATTCGTGTAACTTTAAATTACTTAGGAGATGATGTTAAAATGCTTGACGTCACCGGAATAAATAGAGATGCGTCAGTTGTTAGTGAAATTAATTCTCAAGACTCTAGCACTTATTCGCGAACTCCTCCGGAATCTGAAGATGAAGCAGACGATGGTGAGGTTGAAGATGCAGTAGATGAGATTGTAGAAAAAAAAGATAAAGACCTAGTGTCAGAGATTGATGAAGGAAAACAACTTATAGAGGCGGAGCAACAAGAGGTCAAAGACAATCTGATGCAAAGTGTTTTTGATGCACTCCCACAGGAATACGATTCTAGTGACAGTGAAAATCAACCAACTAAAACAATAAAAAGTACCAGTGGTACCTTTCAAGTTCTTTCCACGGCTGAAGAAGATAAGGCGAAGAGGAGACTTTTAACCAGTAAACAAAGACGAAGAATAGAACGTGAAAGTAAAAGAAAGAAAATAGGTAGTAACTTTTATGAAGTTACTAATGTGAAAAACAGGAATCGTAATAGAAGCGTTCCAAAAATAAAAAGACTGTAGGGTTTATTTTATTGATTACATGTTGGAAATTAATAAATTAATAAATATGTATATCATTTTATTTGTTTATTTTGTTTCTTATATTTATTTAGTTGTGGAAGGGAAATTGATTGTATACATTCATAACCCAGAAAATGCTCATCGATTTCAGCAACGACAAAATTTATCTTAAAATGGCGCAGTAACTTCCGCCACTTGGCCGTTAACGATATCCCCCCTTTTCATTTCCGCTATTAGAACCCTCAACTAGCCTGCCCCAATCGTGCTTCGATCATTCAACTTAGGAATTAGGTAACGAGGGGGTTGTTGGAAAAACTCATGGCCTCGCGAACATATATAAAATTGGCCTCATGTGCCAAGAGCTACCCCAATACATGTGTGCGGGAAAACCATCTGGTCGGACGTCGTATCCGGTTTGGCAAAGAAAGAAAAATTTTAGGGGAACCCAAGCAATTTTCCAACTGCGTCAAGAACCAGCCGCTTTATTATATATAGCAACTGCCTATACACACAACAACTTTAGTAACATTAGAGAGGCTTCTTTGACCAAATGCTGCACTTCTTCTAACTGGGCAGAAAAAAAAACTCACAAAGGAAATAAAATAAAAAACTCAAATCGAAGTCGTAAAAAAGAGTCTCTTAAGAAAATTTGAAGGTTGAGAATAAAAAAAAAAAAAAACGTTAAAAGTTTTCGCAAGAAAACTTTTGCTTGCCTAGAATAGCTGTAATCCTTTTTTTTTCATCAAGAACTCTATGGAAACTGCATTCTGAAAGGCGAGGGCTGAGGCATAAAAAAAAATGGACAGTGACCCGTTACGCAGGTATACGACGAAGTAACATAACAAGAGAGGAGGGCTTTTTCGCCGGCGCCGAGTGTGGGAACACCAATTCCCCTTGCATCTTTCTTTCCCTTTGCAACCTCAATAACATTACAACTGGTGGATATATTTATAAGGGTGAGACTTACCCTCTTGCTCAAGGACTTCACCAACACACGCAACTCATATATGTTCACGCACATGGTTTTTGGCTTTTTATCCAATAGCAGGTATATGCGACGATGGCATTTAGAGAAAAAGTGATTGTCGACCTGCTCACGCATGATTTTTGTTGGAAAGACTTGGAAAACAAAAAGGGCGTCAATCTAGGCCATGCTTTTATGGATTATTAATCCATACTATTGCTAGACGCCATCACCAGTAGTCATAATAAACGTAAATTTATTAATAAAACAACATTACTTATGTATACCATCGTGGAATAGGTAAATATCATTTTCTTTATACATAATAACCACGTATGCAACGCACGTTTATATACTGTAGGAGTAGAGAAGAAGTCAAAAAGCATTTTCTTTGAATAAAAAATAAAAAATAATCCTCAGGATTGCTGTTGCATCAGGCTCACGCAGAGATCGGATATCGTCAGAGTATTTACAAGTGGATGTAAGCAGCAAGCCAAGAAAAATAAAAAGAGATGGATGATTATAAAGAGGAAAGAGTCCTCTCAGCTGCACAAGTTGCTTGGTATGCTGGAAACAGAGGGTGACCGCCTCTCCTTTTTTTCACGTCATTCTATCTTGCTCATCGTCTGCCAACTCGGCGCGCTCTACCGCCTTTAGAATAGTCGAGTCAACTTGGCTATAAAAAAAAATCATCTCAGTGTATACATAGTTAGAAGATCGCTGTGTGTACTATTGCGACGCACTGCGCTTTTCCGTTCCCCCTTTTCTTTTCCTTTGTGCTGCTTCATGTCTAGTCACTAAAATGTATAATAAGTTAAGCCAAGGTTAATTTCCTTTCTTCATTTTCCTGTCGTTTTTTTTTCTTTTCCTCGATTTTCGTTTTTTTCTAAACTCCTTATCGTTTTGCCTCTTTTTTTTCATGTACTTTTGTGCATGAGGATTTTTTTTTGGTTCTTCATCAGCCAACCGTAGCAGTGGCTACCGACAGTCACAATGCAAGAACTTTGAAATTCTATTGAATAATACTAGCCTAGCACCTGTTACCCGCGTTCTTTATTCTCTTACTCTTTTTTTGCTATTCTTTTCTCATCACCGCAAAACTGCTTTCACCAATTTCGTCGTAGTTACACCCTCTTTAGTCATTGATCCTCTTAAATAGAACAAAAAAGATTTGTGAAAAAAATACTCAAGGGTAAAATTTAATTCGCATAACGGTACTCTTTTAATATTTATTTTTTCTTTTTTTTCTTTCAATTTATTTTCGATATTTTTTTCTTTCAGATCGATTATTTCATTTATTAAATGTTTTTGCTAGGGGTATTATAGCTAGTAGTAGAATAAATAGAAAATATGTTGTGAAGGTCTGCGTGACTAAGTTTACTTTACTATTAGGGTATAGGGCAAGGAATTCTATCTAATGAATTTCCACGGCATGGGCGCGGTTCACTGCGTGTGGAAAAATCCAACGATGCAGTTTTGGAGAAACATATGTTGTGCATGCGTGTGGCAACATCGCGGTCCTACATTCCATGCGACCGAGGGAGAGAGACCGGTTTGCCTAGCCGAACTAATGCTGTTCTAACGCAGATAAGCCCACGCCCTTCTTTCGTCCCCACTTGCCGTTCCTTCCTCATCTATTCCTTGGCCTTTTTTTCTTTGGCTTTTTCTTTCATTCCTAGATACTGTTCCCTTTTTTTATTGCAACCGGTCCACTCTAATATATAAATGTGTGCGTGGGGCGCAACGATAAAGAAAACAACTTTTAGGGTCTGACTATAATTCTTATTTATTTATTTATTAAACCAGGTCATATCAGTTAAGGTTTTACTGCAATGATGCACATAAGTTTTCCCTTTGAGAAACTCAACATAGAAACTATTTTATTTTGGTCAAAAAAATATATTTTAGGAATTCGAGAAAATGACTTTTTTCTTCCACGTATTTAACGAAAGAATTTTTGTACAAGTAATAAAACTATTGATTTTTTATTGATAATAAATTAAAATTTAACTTAATTAAGGATAGAAAAAAATTCTTTTTAGTATTGATTACTCCAAAATTATTGATTATTAACAAAACGAAATAATACACTTTAATTATTATTTATTTATTTTTTTTTATGCAAAAAAATTATTGTTGATAATAAATTTTATTTTTGAATTATTTAAATAATAAATTTTAATAAATAAATATTTATATATTTTCTTATTTGTTAACCCAATAATTTTTTTAAATAAATAATAAATTTTATTTAATTATTAAAACTTTAATTTTTTTATATTTTGTAGCCATAAAAGTTTTATTAATTAAATAAAACATAATTAAATGAAATTTATCATTTATTTAAAAAATAAATCATTACTCCAAAAAATTGCTGGATTAATAAATAAAATAATATATAAATATTTATTTATTAGCATTGTTGTGAATATTTTTATTTGAAAAATTTGAAAATATAATTTATTTCAACCATTAATTTTTTTTTTGCATAAAAAATAAATAAATAAATTATAGTTTGAGGGATATATTTTTTTTGGCTCGAAAGAGCTTTAACGAAGTAGTAATGGCCATTTTCCATCAAGATATACATCCATAATGCATCTGTTTGCAATCAGGTAACTTCTAAAACAGATTTGAGTGACAGGTATAATACATCACTTAAATAGCAAAGTTTTTCAGGAAAATTTGTCATTACTCTAATTCATGAATCCCAAGATAGGAATAAAGGAAAAAAAATTTCGTAAAGCAAATATTAGTGTAACGTAAATATAACAATTGTGTCATGTTATGTTGAAAATATTCTTGCTTTTATAATAATTCCACTAGGAACACATTCTTAGTTGCATATCAATACATTTTAAATATAAACACAAGAAAAACCTCGAGGCAAAATAAGATACGTGTAAACTTTCGAAAAATTATGTGCATTATTTTTTGTATTATTTTAAGTTAATTATATACTCTTTTGTTTAAATATAATGATGCATTAAACTCGGTTTGAGTTAAGACAATACATTTTAATTTTTCTAGATTACCATTTCTGCATATTAATTACTTAAGGAATGAATTTACATATAAATAGTAATGTTAAATAGGCTCAAGGAAATTTTGTTTTATTTTATTTTAATTATCTTTTTCCTTTGAATGGGAAAATATTTTAGCATTCACATCAACATGGTTGATTTTTATCTCAATATTCTAATCAGGATTTTAAATAATAAATTATTGAAAAAATATTCATTTTATTCAAACTTTAGTAATATTTTCACCATTTTATATTTGATAGTTTTTGGTGCATCTACGTAGAACTTATTTCATCACATTTAGAAAGTAGCATTTTTACAGTTAATTTTCACTGTGCTATATTGAGCACAATGTCAAGCATTAGAATTATTTGGTAAAATGAAAATTTATACTTTTTTTTTTCCTGTTCTAATGTTTCTTAATTTTTTTTTTTTAATTCTTTCGTGTCTAATAAAAAATGTTCAATATTTTAACGTTAATGTTTTTTATAGATAAAGAGAGAGAAAAAAAAAACAAAACAAAATGGACGATAAGTAAATGGCGATCTAATGAATAAAGTATTGCAGTAAATTTTTTAAAACGATGACAAAAACTTCTCAAAACTGTACCACCCATTTTTTCTGAAAAACGCTTCATCTTTTTCCGCAGTGTTTGTGTATTTATTACTTTAGGTGACTAGAGTCTAAGTTACATCGGGAAATAAGTACAATAGGACCATAATGTGCTATGAAAAGGTATATATGCATCTGCATGCAGTCAGGTAAGTTACTTCAGGGAAAAACTTGGGGTACTTAAGAAAATGAGATATTTACAAAGCGCATTGAAATGTCTTTTCACTATTAATTCTTCGAAAATGACATATATATTAAATAGTGTAGGTAAAAAATTGCGTATTCAAAAAATGGCGTTTCAAATATATTTCATTGTGGTGTCATAGATAAAATCATTCGATTTAATATACGCAGATCTTTATCCATTAAAATTCATGGCATTGTAAATAAAAATTAATTTTTATCAAAATTTTATTTAACTTATTTCTTATGGAGGTTTTTCTTTTTATTTACATTGATCGAGATAATTTTTTATCTCAAGTTATTTATATGAATTTTTTTTCAATTTTTATTTAACCAATTTAAAAGTTAATAGCAATTTTATTTTAAATAGACTATAAATTAAATAATTAATTAGCCTTTAATAACTTAAAATAAAAAAATTTGTGGGTCTAACGATATTTTAAATCCAAGCATATTAAACCAGAAATCCAATATGCACTTTTTATAATACATGAAAAAAAATAAACCAACATACATTATTGTGTATCAAAATCAATATTTAATTAAACTAAAAGAATCATTTTGAATATTCTGATTTTTTTATATCTCGATAAAAATTGAAGCATCAAATAAATATTGCAATCAACTAAAGTAATAAAAAAAATAAAAAAAAATCATTACTCTTATTAATGAGTAATTTTAATTAAAAAAAAATTTTAAATCATTACCTTAAGTGAATACGATGTTTTGAAAAATATCGTGTTTTTATAACAATTTCGACGTAGATTAATGCGATAAAAATAATTTTTCCAAGCATTGAGCTATCATGAAATCGTGAAAAACATTAGTAGGTCAACGCGCTCTTGGGACATAAACTTATAATCGGTGCTGTTATTTCGGGTATTTTATCAGCGGGCATCAGTTGAAATGCAGTAATTTGTTGAATCGATATAGAAAAGTAAAAAAGCCTTAGGCTAACCCCTAAAAGGCAGGTAGAACATCGATCGCAAGAGAACCTGTCGAATGGTCAATGGCCTTCGAATGCAGTCAACTTGAAGAGTATTTAAATGAAAAGAGACGTCGCAGCCTCCCTGGATTCTCTATTTCCCATTTAACTTGGAACCTGTTCCATCTTTATCACATACATCCATGTATCTAGATAGTTATATGTATATATAGACATAGAGTATATATCGTTCCTCCCCCAACATCGTTCTCAGCGTTCATCGACTTTTCCTGCTGACGTAGTTCCTTTTTTCGGCTATACTCTTTGTGTATATTTACTATTATACAAGCCTTGCGACCTACATTAAAGAAATAGAAACGCAGTCGCTTTGTATACAATATTACTATAGTTGCGGTTGCTTGATACCTTCACTTATCATTTATTTCCACTGTGGAAATAATATAGATAAATGCGATAGGGGAACCAACATCTTTCCATTAACATTGTTATCCTACTTTTCTTGTTAGATAGTGCAGAATAATCTTTTGAAATTTTCCCTCAATATCTTCCAGATATATTTCTGTTGACTCGGAAAAATTTGTGGTATTAATATTCTTTTGTTAGGTCAAAAGGGCCACCTTTTAGTAGGCTATAAGTCAAGACGATTTTTGGGATTGGAAGAAAGGAAAAAATATTTTCGAATCCTACGGGAAAAAAAAGGCTCAGGTGTTGTCTGGAGGGTGAGAAAAAAATTCACCTGACCATTCTCGTATTTCGTAATTCTTTTATACTCTTCTATCCACTTATATGGAATGTATTTTTATTTTTTTTTCTCTTCCTCTCTATCGCCTTTTTCTCATTTTCGTGCTTTTGTTGCACACCGTAATTTTCATCATATTTATTTGTGTATATGTTGATGGATTTAAATTTAGGCCATTGAAGATATGTTGATGTAATGAAAGGACATAAGTTGGGGAGAGTAACAGCTGAAAATGTGTTTTGCCAGGTGAGCAGATTTTTATTTGTTCATTTTGCACGGGGCCGACTACAGAGTCAGTCCGCTACTGGTGGCCATGCATTTTCGTGCTAGAGTTTTGAGAACACGCATCAGGCGAAAAGAATGCTAGAGTACGCCATCAACGTGGCGATTCTCTAACAAGATAAGGAAAATGTTTTGAAGAGTACGGATACATGTTTATGATGAGTTCATAATTTTATTTAGAATTAGAATGAATGAAACAGAGCGAAAAAAAAGTCATTTTCCCTTTACATCAATTATTTACTCTATTGTCTTATTGCATTTATTTTAAATTAAAAATTGACCAGTTTTTGAAATAATTTTGAATGGAACGTTATTCAGTCTAACTGTTTGTACAGAATTATCTAACACAACAGATGAATCATGTTGAACTTGAAAATTCAGCGAAAAAAATATAAATATAGCTATGTAGGATTGGAGCACGTGGAGGATGTCGACGTGTGGGTAGCCGTAATGATTCACACTGTGAAGCCAAGTAAATATTGCAAATGTATTAAACATACACAAAGTAGTAATCATATATACATATATATATATACGTAGATTGGTGAATAAAAAAAATGCCTTCCGCCTAATTCTTTCTATTTCATCTTCAACGATTTTTTTTCTTTTTTTTCGTAGTCGCTTGACGAGTTTTTACCAGACTACCTCTCCCTCTCCACCAGTATTTCCCAAAGTCGCATCATATCAGAGACTAAGGCAGAGAAAGGAAACAACAGAGATGGAGATAATGTGAAGAAAAAAGCAGGCCGTAGGTGTAGGGCTAAGCGAACATACAAGCGGTTGGGAAGTTGGAAGATTTATTAGATGATTCCAAAGTACATAAACGCAAGGCACACATGTATACGTATACGCGTATGGATTTTCCTAACGTGCATGAGAGTTGGGTAGAGTAAGAGGCGAATAAAGCTGGTGCCGCGTGCGAAGGAGGAAGAGGTGGAGGCTGTGGGGGAGTCAAGAGAAGGGGGGAATCAGTGACGTAGGTCTAGCGGACGTGCATTTACGCGGGTTTTGAAGGGCGATAGGGACCGAGGGACGGAATATTGGCCAAGAGGGACTAGGATTGGCCGATCAAAACGTGTCACTTGGTAGATGGGAGATGGTAATGGTGAAGAAGCCATTAACGCTAGTAGTAGTAGGTACAGCAGCATAACAGAAGAAAAAAAAAAAGGAGGAGAATAGTGTTGGCGGCGGTGGTGGTGGTAGTAGGAAAGTTTTGAATTGGATAAAAAAGAGTAAGAGATAGTTATTATCTGAGCGAGTGAGAGAGAAGAGTTTGCCACCCCTACGGAAAAGCGCCGGTTCGTCGCACTCGTTTAGTTGGATGCACAACGGCTAGCAGTCACGCGAGTAACTACACCCTAGATCAAGCATAGACCTAGCCTCCTAGAGCCCTATGAACTAACGAAAAGTGGGGATAGACTTTCCGTTCAACCTTCTTTCAGAATTCGTGCGGGTGTTTTGTCGAAGCACTGCGTGTTGTTGCGTGCGTGAAAAAAAAACGCGTGTGTTGTGCGTTTCCTCCCCCTCTTCCTCAGGCTTTTCCAGTGTTCTCTCTCACTCAGCTGCACTTTAAAAACAACTTCCGTCTCCCTCTCCGCTGCCATCCCCAAAATCCTCGCAACAAGCCAGCCCTCTTCTTCCAGCAGTCTTCTAAATGTGGCATTTAAGCATTCGTCGTTATTCGCGCTCCTCTCACTCTTGTCTTATGTACTAAAATCGCCTCAGTTCAATTTAGTGCACTGCACTGGAATGACCGTCGAATTGCCAAGCTAGTGTTTTTTAAACAAAGTGCGCGTGTATTTGAAATCAGTTATCCCCGTTCTAAATTAATTATATTTCAAATTAAGCTGTTATTTACGACATATCGAAATTTATTCGCGCGCACTTGTTTGCTTGTTTTTAATCGCGAGTGACGTCACTCTTATTTGGACCTTGAAATTTTTTGGCTCGTGGAATTACGCATCGGGGACTTGCGGTTGGCATTGACTTATCACGTGAGTATATAGTGCTTCTGCGCACTATCTTAAATTTTGCGGCATGTTTATTTAACGAATTATTCAATCAATATTATATTACTTCAAAATTAGATTATTATTCATTTTATTTATTCTCGCTTGGGAAGTCATTCAAGTCTTTTCGAATATTTGAACAGAAACATTCAAGCCGATAATCACTTGGTATAAACAACTCCATTAAAACTTATGAAATAACCAGATCATTATCGCAAAATAGCGACCTTGAAACATAATTACATTTGAAATTTTTGGGAAATAGCTTCGGGTGCACCGTAATCATTATCTTCCGCTCAAAGTTCATTTAGCTAATAGTTCGCTATTTAGAGTCGTTAAATTCCACTTTAATCACTAGATATTTCATTATTTTTCTAGCGATTCGACGTCATATCATTAAATACATTGCTTAATGATGGGTACGGCATCAGATCAACATTACTGCTTACGATGGAACAATCATCAAGTCAACATGTTGAACGTCTTCGACGAATTACTACAAAACGAGGCGTTCACCGATGTCGCTATCGGAGTTGATGATGGCGTTTTTGTCAAGTGCCATAGAATGATTCTAGCTGCTTGTTCGCCATATTTTCAAAAATTATTCATCGAAATACCTTGCAAAAATCCTATCATTATCCTTAAGGATGTTAAATATCATCAAATAAAAGCAATACTTGAATATATGTATAGAGGTGAAGTGAGCATTGCTCAAGATCAATTAGCAACATTATTAGATGTTGCTGAATGTTTAAAAATAAAGGGTCTGGTTGAAGACAATGGTTCATCACCTTCTAATACATCAAATACTCATTCACCCCGGGCGTCTCGACGTCGGGAACGAAGAGAAACTGAAGAATCATTGTCTCCACCACCAAGCATTACCACCAGTAATAAAAATAATATCGCACACAACTCCGAAAGTGGCAACGGTCAACCCTCTCCACCACACTCAACCAGTTCCACCTTCTACGGATATGGAAAATCATCATCAACCCGTGCACACAGCGAATCTCGTTTCACAACAACACCTCTGTGGAGTCATCCGTATGTTGGACAGAATCTGGCGGCATCTGTAGCACATCAAGCAGCATCACTCTCGGCTCATCATGCATCGCTTCTAGCAGCTGCTCACTTCGACAACGACCTACATAACCGTAAGCCTTTTACCCCAAATTTCCCGCTGCCTCAAGACACTCCTATACTACGAACTGTTCTTGGACAAGGTCACGCTGATAGCTCCCAAGGGATTCCACTGCTCCATCCGGACACTCAGGGATACCGTAGCCCAAGCAATGGTTCTGCCCATGACAACGCAGATGCGCGCCGCAACAGCATGGATGTCTCCCGAGTTCACAGCCCCTATGACTCCTACACCACCGAGGACAACGATAAGAAGCACTCTCCTAAATCATTTGACGACAACAAACCACGTAATATAACTTTTCTTTTTTCTTTTATATTTTTTAATTAATAACAGGTCAAATTCATTAAAAAAAAAACGATCAATTATTGAAATTTAAAAGATGGAAAATAATTTTGAGCCCTCTAAAGATCATATATAATTCATTAAAAATTAATTTAATCTTGTTATAAAGCAATGTGGAAAATATTTTTTCATTCCAAACTCTTTTAAAACTTTAGCAATTTTTCCATCTTCAAGATTGCGTCAATCTATTGATCTGTTTGCCCTCCTACATTTAAGAAATCATTTAAATTTTTTCAACGTTATTCATTGATAGGTATCATGAATTATGGTTCAGGTCAGAAGCCTGAATGGAAACGATACAAACAGTACACGAAAGATGACATAAAAGCAGCTATTGATGCCGTTAAATCAGGAATGAGCGCACTTCAAGCATCTCGTAAATATCGAGTACCATCACGTACACTTTATGATAAGGTAAAAAAACTTGGTATCACCCATTCACGTGGCGGTGGCGTAAGGCGTAGTACAAATCATAGTGGAGCAAGTTTTCCATATGGCATTGGTGGTAATGTTAATGGCAGTATTTACGCACCTATAACTGATAACGATAATGAAAACCGAAGTGGATTAACTGAAAGTCCAGCGTCCATTATTGAAGCTGTTTTTGCTAAGAGTCGGGAAAACCTTATTGATCATGATACTTCAATGGATGCATCAAAAAGAACACCAAGTCCAAGTCAACCTCATCCGAATTATGATACGCAACAACAAAAAGAAGAACAACCACAACAACAATCACAAATTCCTGCGTCTGAAGATAATGATAATCAGGTAGAAGATTTATCTGTTAATCGTAAGTCAGATGTACGAGTTATTGTTCCGCCCATTATTAAAGAAGAAAAAATTGACAATCCTGAAAATCAAAATTCCAAATGATTGTAAATGAAACATATAACATTTTTATTTATAATATCATCTGACGCGCGTTTAATTTAAAGAGAATATCAGTTTTTAGTTTATTATTGAGATAAATAATATATCACCGATCGATGGCCAATTCCGTGATAAGACTGACCGCGCGAATATTTATAACTTAAAGAGACTGAGAAAAAAAAAAGCCTATGGTACCGTGTATCCTGTACATTTTTAAGCTCGTATATTAAATACATTATTCTCAGGTCTAATTACTTCCGTAGCATAACTACGGTAATGGAGCTTTAAAAATGTTCGGGTTAATTCGAGCATACAAATAATAATATACATATATTTATAAATTAAATATTATAAATATATATATGTATACTTTAGATTAAACAATTGTGATTAATTACAATCGGTCGTACTTTTCAAGGATGGTACACGAGTTTTAAAAAAAAAGAAGTTTAAAAATAAGATTATTAAAAAGAGCTAATTTTTTGATTAAAAAAATGGTTAATTAAAAATTGAATGTTTTACTGTTGAAAGAAAACAAGAAATGTACGCAGAATCATTTATATGTTTGGATTTTAGAAAGCATCTGAATATTGATTACTTGCTATTGATTCGGAAAAAATAGGGTGAACGATAAAAAAAAAAATAATAATAACGAAAGGGAGAAAGAGATAAAAATGAGTGGAGAAAATTTTTTTGAGAGAGTTAAAGATTTATTTTAGACAGTAAATACGTACTCACGATTACGGAAAAATTTAATTAATAAAAAGATTATTATTATTATTATTGGTGCATAGATATAAAGAAAATGAAAGTTCAATAATGATGGTGGAAAAAGAAAAAAATTATTCTCATTATTGATATATGACTATGGCATTCAATGTTATAATGAAAAAAAGAAAAACAAAAAAAAAAAAGGTAATGCAAAAGACAAGATATAAAATTTTTAATGAAAGTAATCATAAAATAATATAATAACATAATCATATGAATTATCAGAGAATGGAAAAAAAATCGAAAAAAATTATTGTTAATGACTGAATATAGCTGTTAATTTTGTTGTTAAGATGTAAGTTACAATTTAATCGTTACCAGAAATAAACGAAATTCGCGGCCCTGGGATACAGTTGCAATATTTTGCTCAATGCATATCCATCGTGGATATCTATGGGACCAAGCTACCTCATTGTACAACGAACATATGTTCACTTTCTGAGACATATAAGACTGATAGATTCCGCCTCACGTATTTTTATTAAATACGCAATCCTGAACAAATCTCACTACATAAACTAATAATAGTAATTAATAATGATAATGATTATTGTTTCTTACCCGTTCAAATATTTTACTGTGTCCTAAATGATATCGCATAGTATATTACCTTTTATGACGTATATAATATGGAGTTTTATTATAATTATTACACTTTTATGTGGGATATATATAAATATATATATATATAAATATATATATAAAAAGTTTAATTAAAAGATTAAATAAAGAATTGGAATCGTGAACGTTTAACGAACACGTTGACAAATATACAATTTATATATGACGTTGCACTATTCTCATTAGACGTTACTATTATATTTACAATACACCATTTTTCGATTAAGAATGAATATAAATAATATAACTCGTTGTAATTACGATGATAGCGATAAAAAAGAAAAATTGTATTGTTTTTGCACATTATGATGATTTTTTTTCTTTTCTTTTTATTGCAAAGAAAAATTATTTGTTTCATCTTATAAATAAATACCTCAGAATTATTGTTAATTTTAGAATAAGTTTAAACTCATAGCGACAAGTACAAAAAGAGTGCCTTGATGCATTATATTATGTAGCAGTTACCATAAATCTACCTCAACAGTGTATTAAACAGGAGAACTTGTTATACAAACAATAGTTACCTGAACCAATAAAGATTTTTCTTTCTTTTTTGTTATATAAAGTATCATGCGATGCCCTGTACCTCTCGGCGGTTATTCAAATTCATTTGACAATTTATCGTTGGATAATTATAATTGTTTTACATTAGTTTACCACAGCAATGTGCTTGGCATTGTATTTCATATTAAAATATATGTAAGACTAATGCCTTAACAACAATCGTTGTATTACCAAGTAAGACTGATTTTTCTTTTTACGAATGTTGCATGTAGATTATTACAACCGAGATGTACGTTTGTATTCGTATGTTAAAGCACGCATACTCGTGCAAGCACTTGAGTTATAAAAAATCATTGAATGAATATAAGCGTAAATAAATAAAGATTGTCCATGTATATTATAAGATTATATTTGTCATATTCATTTATATTTTAAAGAAAAAAATTCCTTTATATTTATATTGTTATTCAATACATCTTACGCTATGATCTAAATTTTATTTTGATTTCTTTTTTCTCTCTCTCGTTTATTTCAAACTAACCAACTAACTGAATTTTGTGTGTAAAATCTAGTTCAATTTATATGGGAATAAATGTTATATCAGTACCTCAGGATTAAGTAAATCTTTCGTTAATTTGATGGAAAATCCAATTAAGTAAAATCTCAGTAAACAAGTAAAAGTAAGCGTTGAAGCGTACTGCAAAGAGCCACCAGAATTGGCCGACTTTACTCGAGATTCGATACAGCAAATGATCAAACTCAACTTGCTCATCCTTCCCCAGTTTTGTTCCTATGAAGCATCCTCCCATCGGCACGCGAATAGGGAGAATAATTATGAGCTTGCGCACAACGTATAAGTAAGGGGGTAATAGAGCTTTGCCCGGTTGTATAGTCGAATGAAAGCTCAGTTGGAATCGCTACTTGTAAAATCTTAGTTCACTTAAAACACTAGCCAGCATCACTTGCATCATCTTGGATCAACTTTTCTCTGATTTATGAGGAAAAATTTCTAACAAATATTATTTTATTCGTACCAGTGTGTGATATAATTTTAAGTGAATTTACAATTTTTCTCAGTATTTATATTCTTGGGTAGAAGGAATATCTTTTTCTAGTGTCAAAGAGATTTATCTTAAAGTACATAGCAGACGTGTGCTACTGCACTCGACACCGCCTATCTGGATGCCAAGGCATGCGCCCTAAAAATTCCAAGATTGATGTATCACGGAGCGCAGGTACAAATTTCATATAAACATCACAACAATCTTGTTTTCTTAATCCTGCAACTAGTTGATCTTTAGATTTCAGCCAGACTGCTCTTATGGCTGATTGGGCTGAGGGTAGCTTGGTGGGCCGTATCAGCAGAAGATGCTTTCAACATCACATCATCCGCAGAAACTCTTCAATGCCTTCATCAATGTATATGCCTCTCTTCCAAGCAGGTAATTATCATTTATTTATTTTCAGATGCTAATTACTGCCCATATTCTACCATTTAGCAGAAATAGAAAAAAAAATTTCTCCTTCATAATTAATTCATTCCATTCAAGAAAAAATAATTAAATTGGGCTATTATTGATATTGATGACTACTTTATGGGGAAAAACTTCTACTTCAATTAAATTTAGTTTTTACAACGCCGATTAAAAACTTGTATCAATATTTTAATTAATTGTAGAGTAAATGGAAATTGATATAACGTTTTGAAATAAATGCCCCGATTTTACTGTAAATTTGCTATGAAAATATAACCAGTGAAAATTCACTTTAAAATTTTACGGTGAATAAATCGTGGAAAAAATCTATCCTAGAGAAAGATTACATAGCTTACTTTAAGAGCACTTATAAATCCTTCATACAATCTTTTTATCCTCTTTCATAGACTTTCGAATAGAAAAAAATTAAATATATCGATTTGTAGTTTTTTTTATTTTTATTGTAAATATGAAATTTTAGTAGCTGACGTAGATTCATAAATTAATTTACTATATGACATCAAATAGTATTTTATATCAGCATCAATATTTCTCTATTTTAACAGGTGCTTTGCAATACTGGAGGACTGAAAGAAATTCCTACAACATTAAACGCCGGAGTAGAAGATCTATCGTTGTCTAAAAATGATTTCTCCGTGATCGAATCAGATGCCTTTAAGAGTTTACGGTCTCTACGTAAACTGAGCTTGGACTATAACAATATCTCTGTGATCAAACCGTTTGCTTTTCGCGGCTTGACAATGTTGACAGATCTCTCAATTCAATACACACCACTGAGTTACATTGGCCAATATTCCTTTGCAATGTTACACAATGTGACACTTATTCTCTTGGCACACAACAAGATCGAATATATTGAAGAGTATTCCTTTGCTGGGACAAGTTATATTAAATGGATACTTTTGTCAGATAACCCTCTAGTGACTATTCACAGCAGAGCTTTCTCAGGATTGAACAATGTCGAACGTCTTATTTTTCCATCAGGAATCAGGAAAATTGAACCGGATGCTTTTAATAGTCTCTCCAATGTTGGTTTTCTCAAGTTCACATTTATGGACTTGAGCAATCTATTACCATTCACGTTTCGAGGCTTAAGCCACGTTCAGGTACTCAACATTCAGGAAAGTGATCTTGGAGTAATAAAACCTGATGCTTTTAATGGCTCAGAACACATAGATAATTTGAATTTACTCAATAACAAGATTGATGCTATTCAAGAACTTAAATTTACACCTGAAAATGCCATTGGAGTCGTGAGGTTTCATGGTAATCATGTTTTAAGATCACCCAGAGCCAAAGATACTTCGTTACGAATACATTCAATCTCTGCCGAGAATAATTTTTTTCCGTGCGACTGTCAGATTCATGAACTCTTTGACAGTGATTTCACGAACGGATCCGTCCATGAGTTTCGGCGTAAAAATTATTGTATTTCACCTCTAGAGTACAACGGTCATGTTATGAGTAGTATTGACTTTGATCTTATTGCAAAATGCCATGACAAAGTTGTCCAAGACAATCTGGGCTCAAGTGCTGCATCTTCAATGCGAAATTTCCTCATCCTTGTCTTATCCATCTTCTACATCATTCAATAAAGCTTTCAGCTTATGCATTTATGTTATAGAAGGAAGATCTCGGTAAGCTTTGATTAATGTTTCGGTCCAATTTAAATTAATTAATTGATGCCTTCTTTTGTTGTTGATATCTCTCTGAAATTAGATAATCCACAGAGTACTATAACAACAAAAATTGTTATATCTTAGAAGTAAAAAATAAAAGACTGGTGAATTTTTAACTTTTAATTATCAAAAAAAAATATATATTAAAAAATTCTGGTGTGTAGTAGCATTCAGAACTCCTTTAAGTAAACTGATATTCTCAGTTAAATGTGTTGCTATATAATAACTATATATTTACAGCTGAATCATAATGATTAAATAAATAACGCTACTTTTATGTATTAATTAATTTCATTGTGACTAATTGAACAAATATTTTCAATTCCAGTTACGAATTTATTCGTAATAATAATGAAAATAAATTTATTGATAAAAAAATTTATTCAATAAAGGAATTAGTATGAAAAATTTAATAACAAGTATTCTAGCAAATGTTGTTTTTTTTCAAGGTTTCAATGTATCAATATTATTTTCAGTAAATAGAATAAGGTAAAATTCAAGTGATATATCGAATACATATTTAGACCATGGCTTATCGACACCATTCCTTCATGAGTATTTCTATAAATGAATCAATGATAATCTGCATTATAGCTGGCTTTTACTTTGTATCAGTAGAATAATATGCAACAAAAAAATGGCAACGATGATTAATCATCATCTCAATTGCTTACTTACTATCTCGTTGTATCATAATTATCAGAAGGATGATTGTAAGAGTACATATCAACATGCTGTGTCGCTTCGCATAAATCTGTCAATCTCTGTATTCCAGAGAGAATAATAATTATTCCATCATGTAATTGTAATTTATCATTGGGAGTAATTTTAAGCACCTAGTATGAGAAAAAAAAGCAAAAATTGAGGACCATATAAACTTTTTACAATTATCTAGCGCTTATTTTTCTTCGTTGTGGATCGAGGAAAAATAATTTTACGCTAGACAAACGCTCACGAGCAAAAATTTTGTTATAAGTAGTTTATATTATAAAATATTTATATTATGAAGGATTTGTTGTCATTATGTATTAAAGAATTTGGATGTAATTAGATTTCTTTATGTCAATTATGAGAATCTATTGAAAGTATTATGCTTACATATCATATTTATTATCACAAAAGAAGTAGTTTGTAATAAATAAAGGCCTTTAAAATTATACCAAATTATATTAGAATAATTTGTTGAATCTAATTTGTTCATTTTATTGCTGATATTGAATTATTATCTATAAAAAAAATTGTATTTAATAAAAACCTACATTTTGAAATTGTAAAATTAATAACCTTCATTAAAATAAAAATAGTGTGAATGAAAATTTTAAAATTAAGACGTTTTCATGTCAAACTTTTAATTAAATTTTTTTTTAATTTTATATTCTGAGAAGACTATAAATTCTAGACAGCTTATTTTAATACTAATTAATCTTAAATATTATCAAGTAGAGTGTATTTCTTTTTGTTTAAACTTAGTGAAATTTATTCCTTAAAGTTTTCTTCATAAAATTACTTGTTTCTACTAATAGTGTTTCGAGAATGTTCAAAGATAATATATTCGATGTTGTTACAGCCTTATATTATGACTATAAAAATTTTTATCATTCGGTAAATAGCAGGGAAATAATAGTGTTTTCAATTTAAAACTCACCTTGAACTCATGTTAATTCTTTTATTTGACAAATTAATGATAGCTAAAAAACCAATCATCAATTGAATTTTAATTTAAAGCGGAACAAAATGTACTTATTAATCAATTTTATTGATTGTCCATCGATTTTATTGTCGCTGTTAGTGCGCGGGACGTATTGATGCGCCATCTTTTTTAAATACTGTACATATTTCTAGACGTCAGTAACAGCTGACATTACAACCTCACTTTTATGCTTTTTATTCGTATTTTGTATTCTTGCAGAATGTTTTTAACTTCATTCAAAGTCAATATTTTCTTTTAACATTTGTAGTATAACGTTTTAAATATTGAATAAAAAAGAATAAAATGGGCAATCAGCTAGTGGGAATTGCTCCTAGTCAGATATATCCAGTTGAGCATTATCTGACAGATCATAGTGATCTACTTTTTGACATCAAGTAAGCATTTTTTCCGTATTTAATTTATAAAATGACATATAAATGAATTATTTTCATTCATATTTATATTTTTTTAATATTCAGTCTAGGTAGCACAAGATTTTTCAAAGTTGCTAGAGCAAGGAGTCTAGAAGGTTTAATTGTAGTGAAAGTATTTGTAATTCATGATCCAACACTTCCTTTATCAACATACAAAGATAAATTAGAAGAAATTAGATCAAAATTAGCCTCAGCTGTCAACTGTTTACCTTTTCAAAAAACCATAGTTGGTACTATTACATTAAAATTTATAATTATTTGTTATCAATTTTATTAATTCTTTTTTCTAAATTATTTTGTAGCTTACAGAAAAAGCTGGATTTATTATGAGAGAATACGTCAAATATTCGTTATATGATCGAATTAGTACACGACCTTTTTTGTCTAATATTGAGAAAAAATGGATCACTTTTCAAGTCCTCTATGCACTTCATCAGGCTCACAAGGTAATTTTTGTAAAATATAATAAAAAAACTAAATTGTCATAGTAACTTACCAAATTTTATCTATTAATTATAAATTATTATGATCTTGAAAATGTTGGCTTTTTCAACTTTAAATGTTCTCTTGGATTTCAAGTTTCCTTATTTTTTCTACACTTAAGAACTTTTTAAGTTTTACTAGAAGCAGCCATTACTTATGATGTGTCATATTTTCCTATTTTCAATCCAATTGAAACATTTATTCCCTTATGAATGATAAAGCTGAATTAATATTTACAATTGAATAAACTGACTTTATGAATTTAAGATTCTTTCATAGACAATAACATTATTCTAGGGTTTTTTTTTCGATTATATTATTTATTATTGTATAATTTATTTTCAGTTTGGAGTTTGTCATGGTGATTTAAAACTTGAAAACATCATGATAACTAGTTGGAATTGGGTATTACTGACTGACTTTGCTAGCTTTAAACCAACATATTTACCAGAAGACAATCCAGCAGACTTTTCTTATTTCTTTGATACTTCAAGACGAAGGTAATATTATTTAATTAATGATGATTAATGAAACTTATGATTCATACTAAATCAACTTATTATTAAATTTTTTTAATACTTTTAGGACGTGCTATATTGCACCTGAACGATTTGTGAAGACTCTATCAGAATTAAGTAGTACTCAGTTGTTACCAGAATTAAAAACTGGTGATTTACATCCAACTATGGACATTTTCTCGGCGGGTTGTGCTTTGACTGAACTCTACAATGAAGGGCATCCACCTTTCGATTTTTCCCAATTATTGGCATACAGAAATAGTGAATATTCAGCCAGTAAACATCTGGATAAAATTGATGATCCTGGAATTCGTGAACTACTAACTTCAATGTTGGAAAAAAATCCCAGTAATAGAAAAAGTGCAGAAGATTATTTAGCTCAAGCAAGAGGAAAGATTTTTCCAGAATATTTTTATTCATTTCTACAGTCATACATGTTAATATTCTCAACCGCACCTATTTTATCACCTGATGAAAAAATTAACAGATTAAAAAAAGATATAAGAAATATAATAAATAAAGAATTAAGTCGCGGAGATTCAACGGAACCAAGTGAAGAAAATACAATAATTGAAGGAGACAGTGATCAAAGTTTTGATAAAAGTGAGACAAACAATGATGTTAAACTTTCCAAGTCAACAAAAGACGAAGAAACTTTGCAAAACAAAGATAAAGATGATAATGGAATTAGAACAATCAAAGGAGATGAAGAAAGACAAGTAAAATCATGTGATAATCTCGAAGGATTAATAATAATAACTCAGTTAGTCACGTCTTGTATTAGAGGATTACATCATTCACAGTCAAAACTCCAGAGTTTAGAGATATTATTAGAATTAGCTGAAAACACATCAGATGAAACAATATTAGATAGAATATTACCCTACATTTTTCATCTTGTTCATGATCCAGCCCCTCGAGTACGAGTTTCAGCAATTCATACTTTAACAAAATGCCTGTATCTGGTCAAGTCAATTCCTCCAACTGATGTAAATATATTTCCTGAGTATATTCTTCCTGGTCTAGCTCATATAACGCAAGATGAAGCAGTAATAGTACGTGCAGCTTATGCAGAAAATATTGCCCATTTAGCTCACATTGCTCTCCGATACTTGGAAAATGCTCATTTAACAAATTTAACTAATAAAGAAGGGCCTAAACCTAGCTATGATAGTGAACTTCAAACTTTACATGAAATGGTACAACAGTCAGTATCCATGTTGCTAACAGATTCATCAAATCTCGTAAAGCAGACTCTAATGGAAAATGGAATCAATAAGCTTTGTGTATTTTTTGGAAAACAAAAAGCTAATGATGTTCTTTTCAGTCATGTAATTACATTTTTAAATGATAAAGAAGACAAACAATTACGTGGATCGTTTTTTGAATGTATTGTAGGTGTAGCTGCATATGTCGGATGGCATAGTAGTCCTATTCTTATGCCTCTTCTTCAACAAGGTCTTACTGATCCTGAGGAATTTGTTACAAGAAAAGCTATCAATGCTATGGCAACTCTCACTGAACTTGGCCTACTTCATAAATCTGCGCTCTATCAACTTTTATCAGAAACTGTTGTTTTTCTAGTCCATCCTAATTTATGGATTAGACATGCAGTTGTAGGTGTAATCTCAGCTGCAGCACGAACATTAAATTTAGTAGATGTTCAATGCAAAGTCCAAGCTATGATTCAACCTTACTTAAAACACTCTCTTATTCAAATTGAGAAAGAGGTTTTATTACTTGAAGCTTTAATCCAGCCAGTTCCTAGAGTTGTTTACGACTCAGTGATAAAGTATCATGACGTGGAAGAATTATTTCGTGCATTAGAAGAACGAAAAGCAGCAAGATCCAAAGCAATAACCGGTAGTGTACCTCAATACAGTGAAACCAGTACATCCTTACGAAATCTTTTTCGTAGATTAAGCTCTGAGTCAATGACTGAACTCGTTGAGGATCATTTAATTGCTATGAAGTCTCATTTAATAAAAATTAATAAATACAGAATTTCTGCGGATAATAAACAGAATGCGATTAAATCTGCTAATGATGGTAAGCTAGAATTAAACACAATGAAAGATACAATACGTCATCATATTGTAGTCCTCTATTCAGATACAAAAAATGATATGACTATAACTGGGTATAAAAAATATGATAGAAGAACTTCAGACAGTACGAATTGTACAACAATGAATCCGGAATGGCGGACAATGTTTGCTGCTCAAGATAATGCTCAATCAGTTGTCAAAATGAGCGATATGTCAAATAGTGGAGGCACTGTAAGTCCATCAATTCATGGAGGTGATATTCACCTTTCACCACAACACAGTCTAACTGATATTAATAGCATGAATGATCACTCTTTACATGAAAGATCGTATATTCAATATCGATGTGCACCCTGTAGACTAGAGTTAAGACAGTTGACGTGTCGAAAACAAGAACAACATGCAGCAGCTCTAAGAGCTCAGCATTGGGCTGATAATATGGCTTGGCATGCCGAGAACAGATTACTTCCAAGTAGTTGGAGACCACGAGGAGTTCCAGTAGCATATCTTCATGAACATAGGGCAGCTGTAAATAGACTTGTATCTATACCAGATTCAGGATTATTTGCTAGTAGTGCTGCAGATGGATGTATTCGAATTTGGGATGCTAGCAGAATGGAAGGAAAAAATAATACAAATAGATCTCGTCAAATATACGTTCATAGAGGAGGTCCATTAGTAGGTCTCGCTGTTTGTGAACAAGGTCAATCTCTTGCTAGCTCAGCTAGTCAGAGTGGTACAGTTTTTGTTTTAAGACTGGATCCTGCTTCTAGTAAAATGAGCATGATGTGCTCTAGGATGTTGGATCTCCAAGACGAAGGTTGTGCTGTAGATCTTCAGTATTTAGATTCCGGATCTCAATCAGTTTTAGTTTATGCCACTTTGTATGGTTCATTGATTGGTTGGGATCTACGATGTTCATCTATTGCATGGAAGCTCGAAAATGATCTGAAACATGGAGTTATCACTTCATTTTGTGTAAATAATTATCAACAATGGTTAGCACTTGGTACAAGTTCTGGAGTTCATATATGTTGGGATTTAAGGTTTCAACTGCCAATAAGTAGCATAAAACATCCAACAGGAGCAAGAGTAAGAAAAGTTATTATTCATCCGACTGAACCATCATGGATTATCTCTGCAGTTCAAGGCAACAATGAGATTTCTATGTGGAATTTAGAGACTGGTTTTAGGCAAATGGTGTTATGGGCTTCTAGTGCGCCACCCTTAAGTCATACTCAAGAAGGACATAGTATTTGTGCCATGTACGCAGGCTCTATTGATCGATCTGGATTTTTGTTAGCTGGCGGTACAGATATGAGATTGCGTTTTTGGAATTTAAATACTCCCAATGAATCGTACGTTGCTCTACCAGCAGCTAATGACACTACACCACCTAATTCACTTGCTTACGAACAGCGATTAATTGATGGAACGAATGTTGTACAAGAAGTTTTAGCTGCTGGTGGACCAATATCTTCTGGTAATAGTGGACGAATAAGATCAACGGAAGATGGTGCAGCACCACCTCTTGAAGCTCCGAATCCTGGTCATCATGACACTATCTCAGCAGTAGCAATGTCGAACACAAGTATACTCACTGGTAGTACAGATGGACTGATACAAGTCTGGAAGTGACTTTTAATTTATTTGATTACACGTAAAAATATTTTTTACCATTTACGTCATTCTTACAAGATACTGACTCTAAAATCTATCAATTTAGCTGTGACCTATAAATATTATGGTAAAATCCAGATAATTTAGATAAATTATTTTTGTACATAAAAAGCGAGTGAAAGGATTGAATGAATGGACCGAAAAGAGTACGAAAGAGAGAGAAAGAAAAAAGAAAGACAAATAGAAATAAAATAAAAATACTATATATAAAATTATAAAATAAAAGATCGTGTTTATTTATTAATGCGATGATTATCACGATGAGAACCTATATATACATAATATAAGTATACAAAAAAACATCGCAAATGTACATCAAAATGCTTTATATACATCAACATTCATCTCGTAGATTCTGTAATCCGAGTCATTTATAATCGTGAATTTATTCACGGGTTTGTTTGTATAATAAAAAATAATATTTTAAGATTTTAATTAGTATCACAATATTGTTCAAAAATAAACCCGATGATTTTTCACCAGGGACAAGGAGCATAAGGCACTTGCCCGGGAATCGAATAGCCATGTGGATTTATCGTTCTGCATATTTCTTTCCAGCGCTCTTTTCCACCACTTTTACTCTCACGGTGTCGTCTTGTTTCATGTCCAATATTGCTTTGTTTTTGATTGTATCCAAAAAATATTTCACTAAGCCATGGTGCCGATGACACCGATACCACCAATAACATAACAATCAGGATCAGCTTCATTGTATTTAACTTCTTCTAGATCTGCAATTTGAAAAAAACTTAATAAACCACTGTTCAATTAATTAATGATACAGTAAAATAAAAAAGTGTTAGTCATGTTAAACAAAACGTAGATGTTCTTTGGTATATTAAAAATATTCATACAATGAAGAAAATGAACTTATAACTAACAATAATTACAAACAACTTAATCACTTGCTCAATTACTTTGACATTAATTATAAGATGATGATGACCGCCGTAGACGGTGATTGATGTAGTGCTATGATTTTGTCGAATACAGAACGTTTTATAGATGAGATTGAGTTGCCCTACCCCTCAGAAAATTTACGACAATCTCGCGGATGGAATCAAACTATCACATAAGTCTTACAATGGCCTTCACAAGTGTAAGATTCTTAGGTTGAAAAGTTCCTCTTAAGATTCCTCAAATAATTCATGAATTTTCAGAACTATTCATGAGTCTGAACCGGACAATAATGTCCCGGAAAGACGTATTTAATCTTTCTTAGTAATCAAACCACGAATTTAGTGACGATTGCATTTTTTATTTTTTTCGTTATCCCAAAAGTACATTGTCGTTTTGATTAAATAATGACGTCAAAATATTCTTCGATGTCCTTCAAGTCTTGGAAAGCCCGTAATTCAGTGAAAATTGTTGATAAATTATACATTTATTTCTACCTTCCGTTAGGAATTATTTAGATAACTGAGTATGTTTGACTTATTTTCCTTCAAGGCTAACAAGTTACGATGAAATCAAGACCCTTACATTTGCCCTTCAACAATAAAATTACTGATCTACATTGGAGCTGATAATGTCAAGTTCATTTCTTTCACTTAAAGTCTAATATTAATGTAATGTCTTATTATAACTCTATTAACGAACCATAAATATCAAACTGTTTTGATATCAAATTTGGTCAGGGTCATTGTAAAACATGCAACATCTCCAATGTAAATATCTATTACCAAAGGCTCTAGTTATTTATTCATTTTTATCAATGTTTACCTTTACCAAAGTCTCTTCTGCAAGATGTAAAAAACACAAGCTAGAAAAAACATAAAAGCCAAGGCTAATAGCACTTTATCCGTCACTTCTCTTCTTCCATATTTTCCTAAAAGTTTCCCCGATTGAACTATTGCTTGTTGTTGATGATCTAGTTCTTCTTTGGTTCCATTTACTTTTTCCGATGATGTTACTGGAAAAAGAATAATAATTAATAACAAAGATGTTTTGTATTCATTCAACTTATCAATATAAAAAGAAAGATACTGATTTATAGTAAATATTTTTATATAAAGAAATCAATTCTGCATATTATTAATAAAATCAATGACTCAGTTATTTCTTTGTATTTCTGCAAATGATTTTTTAAAAAATTAAAATTCTTGTTTCGTTTATAATAAAATCTTTAACAATTTGCAATGCTAAAGGAAATATTTTATATTCAGAATTTTTTTATTTAATAAATTATTACTCTTTATAACAATTTTTCACATACAAAATAAAACTTAATATCTTTCACATATGCCGGTAATAAGTCACTCGAACATTAGATAATTTTTTAACTGATAATAAAGTTGAAATAAATTTAAAAATCATTCACAATAATGATTTTACGAATTATTCGTAATATTTGGTTTTCTACGACACGTTTATTATATAAAATTGTACAAAAATAGGAGTAATTATCGAATCAAATTATTAAAAACAACCGCTTTTACGCTCTAATTGACACCAATAATTTCCCCTCTATTCATGTATGACACTTATGCAACTGGACTACTGATAATCATTTTGGTAAGTAAAATGTCAATCCACTAATTGCTAAAAGAATTCGTCTATATGTGAGTTACATTGACCCTTAAAATGACCTCTTTATATTTATCTCACATTTGTCAATAAATTAATTTCTATTAATCAGCTTTTAATTTCTAGAAAAAAAATAATATGCTGAGTTAACCTCCAGATAGGATATTTAACAATTTTTTAAAATTATATACACCTAAATAGTAAGATGGTTGTAGAGGAATTTAAACATGAATATGATGTAGAATAAATATACCATATTCTGCAGTAGAATATTGAGCAACTATGCTTAAAACTATAAAAGACAAAAATGCAAAGTAATTTGTAGAAATTATATTTAAAGCTATAAATTATATTGCCTATAAATTTTAAGAAACAGAACTAAACGTTCATAATTTTATTTTACGATATTAACTGTATTGTTACATTGCACATTCTATTCATCTAGAATTTGATTCATCAGCAAAAAAATATATACACGTGAATTAAAATAAAAATAGTAATATTATGAAATATTGATAAAGATAAGAGTTTACTGATTTTGATCTGATTAAAATTTATTTTACGAATATCAGTCATCAGTTAAGACTATAAGTAGACCTATCAGGTTCTAAAGATAACTTTTTGAGAAATAATATTAAAATTGTGTAAGAAAGGTAGCATAGTATGTTCTTAAATATTATTCTTATCAATAGAATAATTATAAATCTATTAGCATAAGATATCATACTAATGTACTTACTTAAAGTATCAAGAGTAACAGCACTTCTTTGATTTGTTTCGGCCAGCGTTCTAGAAATGCTTAATAATCTATCAGTTGCAAGGCTTGCAGTATCAGCTAAACCTTTTCTATCACGTCTTCTTTTTATTAATTTTTGCTTTTCTTCAGAAGTAGATAATAATTCGTCCTTTGCCATTTTATCAATAACACAGGCACCGACAATGTTTGCTTTTTTAAAAGCTGCTAATGCGAATGATAACTGGCCTTTTTTATTTTCAACTTCTTCTAATAATTCAGCCTTCTTTTTAGAATTAATTTCAATCTCAGCTAGATGTGCTAGATTGTCAATACTTTTTCTTAATTCAGCTATTCTACATCTTCCTTCAGCATTCAATTCATTCAAAAGTTCTAGTGGACCTGTACATTGTTTGATATCCTGAATAGATGAAAAAAATGGCATTCATTAGATAAATATTAAAAATCGTAGAATATTTTCTCAAATCTCCCATTAATACCTGAATAATCGCCGTTACTTGGAGATGGTTTTTTATAATTTCTTGACGTATTATTTCTAATGAGAGGTCTTCAGGATCCATTGTTTGTAATTTATTAACTCCTAACTTATTTATTACGGAACAAATACCTTGATGATTTCTCTAAAGTTTAAAATCTTGACACAAATATAATATTTGTTCTAAGTATTGTTAACTTCAATTAAAAAAAAAAATTAACATATTTGACATTTTTGGTGTCAATTTTATATGTTTTTTTGACAGAGACACCTAAAACGCCACGCGGTGAAATTTGCAAACAAAAAAATGGCGCTATAAGCAGGCGGGAATTTTAAAAAATAATTATTGTAATGAATAATTATAATGTTTAAATAATGAAATGTAATACTGAAAAGTTGATTTTTCTCAGAGATTTTAATTTAATAGTGCATGGGAATTACCACATGAAATAATAAATAAAATAATAAATTATGTAATGAGACTTTCTTACACAAATGAAATTTACGATACTTAATGTTTACAATTATTTCTAAGAAAGCTACAATTGATGCAACATTATTTATTTTAAATTACACTGTTCAATTTTCTCTATATACTCCTAAACTTCTCTTTCAAACGAATATAATATTTGTTTGTACAATTACACGATTAAATTCATTAACGAAGACAGTAGATCACAGCTTGAGTGAACTCTGTAGTGGAACTCTGACCACCAAGATCTTTGGTACGAACTTTACCATCATTCAAAACTCGGTTCAATGCTTCACGAATTTGTGTAGCATAACGTTTCAAATTTATATGATTTAAAAGCTTAACACCGCATAAAAGCATGGCAGTTGGATTAGCTACATTCTTACCAACAGCTTCAGAATAGGTGTGACGTGCGCCCTGAAATAGAATTAATTGTATTAATTTTTCATTATAGATATTCAATAAATAATTATTCAATTCTTCGTTATATATATTACCGGTTCAAAAACGACACATTCAGCACTATAACTTGCACCAGCAACAACTCCAGCACCTCCAACCAGCCCTGAAGCAATATTGTCAACGATATTACCATACAAATTAGGAGTCACCATTACATCAAATTGATGGGGATTAGAGACCATTTGCATTGTACAGTTATCAACAATCATAGTCTCGAAATTGATTCTGTAATGAATGATGAATTCGTAAGTTAATTAATAAGTAAATTTGTTTTATTTAGTATTGAAAAAATGACTTTCTTACCTAGGATATAATTTAGCAATTTCTTGACAAGATTTCAAAAATAATCCATCACCTAGCTTCATGATGTTTGCCTTATGAACACATGTAACCTTTTTACGATTATTCTTGACAGCATAATCAAAGGCAAATTTGGCAATTCTTTGGGATTTTTCGGCAGTAACGATCTTCAAACATTCAACGACCCCTGTTACTGATTCATGCTCGAGAGCAGAATATTCTCCTTCAGTTTGTTCTCTGATGATAACACAATCAACATTTTGATGTCGAGATTTAACTCCTGGCAGTGACTTTACGTGTACAACATTGGAGTATAAGTCCAGATTTTTTCTGAGCTTCATGTTCAATGTTTGAAGCTCTCCTGTGTGCGAATGATCAGGTGTAGCAAGAATCCCCTGTTTGCAAATTTATTTTATTGATCAGATGAAATTTGTAAATGACGATTATATAAATACCATGTTTACCTTCAAACAGACTCTGTTTCTTGCAATACTATTAGAAACTTGCTCTAATGGAGCACTGAGAGTAGGATTAACTTCTGACAAAAAGTATGGTTCGAATTCTACAGGAACATTGGCAGCTTCAAATACTTGCTGAACAGATACCACTAATTCGGGTCCTACACCATCTCCAGGAATTAGAGTACATTTAGCTTTACCTTCTTGTTCAATGAGCTAAACGATATAGATATCAAATTAAATAATTTTCAATTAATCAATGACATAATTCATAACAAGAATAAAAATATCAAACATACAGTCTCTTGATGATGCACTCGACTCGTACTTATACTCCTCACAGCACCAGTTTGGGTAGCCTAAAAAATTTCATAACAGCAATATTATATATTAAAAATTATCTCTTAGTCGATTACAAGATTGCATAAACAATTTGAGTAAGTTAAATGAAAAATTAACATGATATTCTTAACATATACATATAGTGACAGTAAAAATTCGACTACCCAATTTTTCTAACGTATTCTACTCTAAAAAACTTGATTTATTTATCTTTTTACCTTTGGGAGAACTTTGCAGATGTTTCTCATTAGCAAAGCCATTTTTGAGTGTGCAATTACGACAGAGAAAAAATTCACTAACAACTGGTGTATCTTTTGCAAATAGAATCCCCAAAAGTGTCCGTAATCTGAAGTCACATAACTATTCTCGTGTCAGTAGGAGGTGAAGCATCGATATTTAATTTACCACATGTAGATAATTACTTTTTTGACAGAAATTTTGAAGAGGGCGCGACATGTTTTTTTTTTAAAATGCGGGAATTTATAAAATTAAAATTCAAATAGTCAAGAATTTTATTTCATTGGTTGATGATCAAAAAAAATATTAAACATTAACAAGTCAGTACGAAAAGTTTATATTATCTAATTTTTATTTTTATTATATAATTATTTGTTATCTAATGCATTTTCAACAAATTAAGTTAAATTGAATTACTTATTCACAAATGAAAGGATTTTTTTTTTTGAAACATAGTTTCATTTCTTTTTACTACTTAATTGAGTCAGTGTACTCTTTGATTTAATATTAAACAATCAAAAAATAAATAAATAAATAAAGTACACTTATCAGATAGGATCTAATAAGTATTTTTTAATCACCATTAGTATCAAACATCAGCCTCATGATAGAAAAATATGAAAACATAGTTTTAACAAGATCTTTAAAACTGGAAATATTCATATTAATAATTTTACCAGCTGTCAGATGAAAGGGGTAATTATTTCTCATCATTATAAATGCTAAATCTCGTGATAATCGTGGTGACATTTCATACCATTTACAATTATAAATAGCTACTTGTAATTTTTCAGACTGATGTGATAAAGATTCACCAATGTAGCTGTACATGTATAGTTGACAATACAAGAGATATATCCGAACCAGAGAACCTATAATAATTTCACTATCACCAGCATTAAGGGCCCAAAGTAATAGAATACCTAACAATAAGAATGTATTAATCAGCAACATTTTATAGCACAACAGCCATCACTTACTCGATATTCCAAGCAGAAAGGTATTTGCTGCCACTTGCACCAGGAAAATCAGACTGAAACTTTCTTCAAACTTGTTAGAAAAGTCAAGAAGAATACTATGTCTGTAAGAATTTTGATTTATTTTTGCTCGAAGAGTTAGATAATCATCACTTCCATCAAGCTTTTCCATGTTGTGATAGAGAATTTCAAATTGTCCACACACATGCATTGCAATACCAAATATATAAACATCACCACCAATAGTTGCAGTACTCAAGATAATCAGATGAATTGTTATGAGACCGTACAATAAAAGATAGAGTTGTGGAGGCATCGTCGGTGATATCCAACAATTCGGTCCAATAGGAATTTTTCTATAAGAAATTTCACTGATGTTGATAGAATCAGTATAAACCGTAGATAAATTCGGAAGATTACTGAAGATAAGGATTGTTATTGGTATATAAGCTCCTATCATTTGAACCATGAAAACTACTCGTCCAATCATGGCATATTTTAACATAATTTTTCTGGACTTGCTATCACGAATGTCAGCCCAATCTTCAACTGCTGAATTGACAATTAGGAATAATTTCTCTCTATGAATATGTGGTAACACCATTTTCATGATTGATAGAATACTGGTTCCAACTAGACTCAATGCATCCACTATGTCTGTAATGATACTACAATTTCCTATGGTGAATAATTTGTAAATAAATATTATTATTATTATGAGCTGCAAAGAGAAAATTGATGCAGGTTTAAAAGAAGATATGGATTAAAAATTAAAACAAACTGATAATTTACTTGTAATGTGGAATTGGTTGCTACTTGAACTAGGGAAAAAATATTTTTTTGATCCAAAGGCCATATTCCAAGAGTTCGAGTTAAAGTTCTATAGAATCCCAAAGCATAGACTGTTTCAGTGTTCCAAGGTATTATTTTGTAATCCTTTGTTTTGTTGCTCATGTTCATGATTACAATAATAATCCAGCTTTTTTGCGTGATAGAACTATCTTCCCTAGGTACGTTAGAGACAGCTACATTGTAATAATTCATGAATAAATGAGTCTATGAATTTCTTAGCCTTCTCGATCTAAGATAATGTGAGCTTGTATATGTTGTTTCTGGAAATATTACATAATATATATGATAATGGAGGAAAATTATCGAAGAAGAATAAAAATAAAGAAAATTATACTGTTCTTGAACATAAAAAACTTTGAAGAGAAGATATTGTCCACCTTCACGCATACGTTAAGATCACATGAGCATCATTATTATTTTAAGAGTATTTATAGTCACGAAAGGAATATTATCTTACTTCTATAAATTCATGATATTTAATATGAACCATTGGTTTAATTATTCATCTTATGGAGGGTGAAAAAAATATTTGAAAGCTAGTGAAAATAAACTTGCGCATTTTAACAGTAATAGCTGCCTCAAGATGTACAATGATGGATCAAAGAAGTAATACAAAAGATCTTAAACACACTCTTTGTGCTTTATTTGTTTTTATACTTTACATAATTATGAATAGCTAGTGAATTTTTTATTTAACATATAAAATATAGTATTATTAAAGGTAAATTGTGCATTTTTGTATATTATTTTTCATCTTCTCAAGTATCAATATAAGGAAGCATACACTTTAGGTTTTGATTTTTGTAAGTAAAGATAAAATCCTCCAATAAGTTCTTAATAAGAACTCTGTATATATTTAGAATATGTAGAATAATAACAAGTTAGCAAAAGGTGTTAAGAGGTAGACACTTCTGGGCTGGCATCAATAAAATCAATATCTGAAGATGTAGCTCCAGATAGTCTTCTTGGTTGTAATGAAATATTTTCAAAATGAGAATGATTATTAGTTGATGACAAAATTGTTTGGTGTTTATTTGTTATTTGTTGATTTGATTTGAAATAGACTTACTTTAACTTGCTCTCAGCTTCTGCCATAGCAAGTTTAAGTTCTTCCTCCCACTGTTTCTCTTTTTCTTCTTTTTGTCGCTGCTCTAGTTCACGTGCTCTATTATAAACAGGATATTCTGGAATAAAAGCAAGACTAGTAGGATCAGTCAATACATTAATTCCTAAACCATTGGCTGGAAATTGTTCTATCTGATTCTCAGGATCTTGACTTTTAAGCGATCGTTGTTTTGCCAGCCTCTTTTTTTTCTTGTGAAGTGGTCTCTCTTCAATAATCATCTCCTCTAACTCAAAGGTAGGATCACAATTTAGATGGCTTTTGGACGGTGTGAATTTAGGTTTAATTTTTTTGCAAAGTACTTTATCAAAGTCTAAATGATTCATAGCTTTTGCTTGTTGTAGTTGCTGAAGAGATGCTGTACGTTTTTTAGATTCATATGTGAGTAAGCTATCAAGGAGTTGTGACATTGGTACACTCCATTTGGAAGAGAAAACCGGTCTGTAATCCTAAAAATAAATAGATTCATTAAAAATGACCATTAAGATATAAAGACTTACTCACACTCGCCTGCATTATTCGAAGAGCTTCTCTGGAACTAGTACCGGAGTGGATAGGAAATGGTCGGACACCTTCAAGAGCCTCCCACGCCAAAACACCCAGACTCCACCAATCAACTGAGTATCCGTATCCATGGACTCCATAGGCCTCACAGGAACACATATAAATCTCTGGAGCTGACCGAGGGAACTTGATTCAGTGTAAACGATACAGTACATGTTCTATCATCAGCTACTGGCTTACGCTTAATTCACCTATGTATGGTTTGGTCCCAGACATCGACGTCGCCAATTCATTATCCTCCAGCATTGTTGCAACATTGAAGTCAGCTACATGGGCATGTCCTGCAAACAACATCATTACTTTATATATCAATATTTACGTTTAATATGCTGATAGAAAATTAAGTAAATAATACTGAATATGAATGCTAAATACTGTTTGTATTTGTAATGTGGAAATTAATTCACTATGCAAATTATAAAGTGATTACCCATGTATCATTGCTTATCTATAGGATTATGATACAAATCCACAGATTACAATTCTATTATTTTTCTTTTTCAATATTTCATTTCTGTCTTACATTTTAATAAATATTAAAACTTTATTTTCAATTTCAAATAATTGATATTTATTGATACTGGATTCATGTTATTTTTTGAAATCAACTCAAATGGTTTAGTTTTCATTGGAAATTTAAAATACAATTTTTTTATATTATATTTGATTGATATTGTATAAGACCTATTCATCATGGATTATTGTAAATTTACCTTCTTCATCCAGTAAAATGTTATCGGGTTTTATATCCCTATGAATAATCTTCTTACTCTTCAAATAATCCAAAGCCAAAGCGATCTCTGCTATGAATAAGATAACGCTTTCTTCAGAAAATCGTACTTGTTGCTGAATATGATATCTCAAATCTCCACCAAGAAGTAGATCAGTCACCATAAAAAAATCCTCTTCATCTATAGTTGAAAAAGATTAAGTATCAGTAATATACTTGTTGTTTGTTTAGCATTGATAAATCAATTGCTCATGAAGTTGTAGTTTCATGCGAAAATTTATTGCAGAATTACCTTGAAAACTAAACCAGAGATTTACGAGAAAAGGATGCTCCAATTTCGACATGATTTCCACCTCTCGAGCTACATTTTTTAATGCACCCCTCATTGCACACTCGGTTTTATGCATGTACTTCATTGCATACATTTCGCCACTGTGTTCTCCTTTTTTTACGATGCATACTTTGCCAAAACTCCCTTTTCCTATTGCTCGAAGCACTTGAAAATGGTTGAAATTGACTGAAAATATAATAAAATATTGAATTAAAATACGTCAAACCAACATCAATGAATTCTACTTTTTTCCAATTTACTGATATGTTTTCAGGCAATGAATTTCGTGATCTCTATATAGAAAGAGAGAAATAAAAAATTGCAAGATAATCTTCAGCATAACAGGATATTGTACCAAAAAAAAAAACCGATACAAATCTATTGTACTCCAAAAATAGATTTTCCATAAAAACTCGAAAGAATCAAAAGCTTCTTGATAACTGTAACGAAAGAATAAAGTGGTTCCAGTTGTTTGATACCCAAGAAGAAGAACGGTAGCTAATCGGATCACTATATTCAAGCTGTAATGTAAACTGCATATTATGAATATTATAAGAGTAAGTCATTTCTAGCATTAAGTTTTTTTAACTAAGTACTTAAAGAAAGTGGGATGGGATACCTTTGTAGGTAGAGCTACTTATAAATCATATTTCAATGCTTTTTAAACAACTTAACAATATTATCCCTTCCTACAATGACTTTGTGAAAATAGATTTATATTTTTGTTCAATTAACGAGTGAATTTTTTTTTAATACAATGTGACTAAAAACGACATAAAAGAGAATTGTGTGCAAAGATCTGAACTGATAAATTTCAATATTTTCTATGTTATTGATTACAAAGCTCTTTTAACAAAGAGTCATGTATTCGTAAAAGCTCTAGTTTCTATTCATAATCCATCAGCTTTTTTTTTATTTTTCCTATTGATTGTGTTGACATTTTTTTTTTAATATTGTTTGAAATGTTCACACGGGATGTGCAAATTATTTTATAATTTCAAAACTACTCCAAGGAATTTTTTTTTTCAAATATTCTATTGGTATGTAGTACAATTACTGAATTATTAAATAATCACCAATGCACTAGAATAAATAGCAAATAGAAAAGTGTGAATATTTACTCAATGAAACACTGTATTGATCCAATGGCCATTGCAATTAAGGCATATAACTTGAGTATTTCCTATTTTATTGAAACTAATTAGAGTTAATTTATGGCGTAAAAACTGTTTTTAAAAACTCACCAAGTTAATTGCAATAAAAGTAAATCAAGTTATCATTAATTAATTAATGCAAGAGGTGGTAAATTTTCTGAATGTCATAAAAATATTTCAAGAAATGTTTAATTAAGAAATTATAAAGTCAAGTATTGAATTACCTTCTTCTCCAGGTAAGGATACACTTCGTGATTGATGACCTCCCATTTTCATGAGAACTATATTTATCAGAATAGTAAACACGGTAAAATTGACAATAGGACGCCGGCATTCCAACATTAATTTATTTCAGAAAGATCTCAGAGATCTTGTGAAAGATGTCGAATTTATAAATAGTCGATCTCAAACAAAATCCGCTTAGTGGAATCATAGAAGTGCCAGGGTTATTGCGCATTAGATAATTTAGGAATTACAATGCACAATAGGAACTCTGAAATATAAATCAAACAAACAATTCATCAACAGTTTAAATAGATCTCTTATTATAAATTGTTTAACATCTTAATAATAGATATGAATAATCAATGAATGCATCACCTTAATTTTGAACAATAATTGACTTGTTTAAGGCAAAATATTTAGTTGGCTCCAGCGCTCTCTACTTAACGACTCTAACGAGCATCTAATACTGAGAAATTAAAGCTGTATTGAAAACCAACGGAGTGCGATATATCCTTACACACCATCCACGCATAAAAAGCTGCGCATCCTCCTACATCTTCATCCAATTGCCAACATGACCTATATAATACATGTTTTTTTTTTCATTATCAATCATTGTAGAGATGCCTGTGAACACAAATGTCTTGTTCTATGAGAACCACTGATTCCTACCTGCAATACCTTTTTCTCTCTATCTCTTCATTTAACTTAGGAATTTAAATGCTGCAATCCTGACACGTGTGATTGAAATCAACTGTTAAAAAACATACACTATGAAAACTAGATCAAGTGATATTAAATGAATATTCGGAATCCGTAATAGAGAATTGAAAGGAAAACTTGGAGAGGAGAAGGAGGGATTTGAGCAGATGTGAATGTGATTCTCTGAGTTTGAAGAAAATAAAATTAATATAAGAAGAATAAAAAGAGCACCAGCAAGAGAATGGGAAGGGAGAGAAGCGGGTGTGACTCATGGTGGCTTGAATTTTAAGTGTGAGAGTAACAGAGAGGATTCAAGATATTTCTACTATACCTGACAAAGAGAGAAGATTAAAAGCATTGTACTCTACGACCGTCATGCCGCATGCGTTCCAGGTGCTGTGGTTATAAACCGTCAGTTGGGTTTCATACGACTCTTAGACTCATATTGGGTCTTTATTTAGTTTATTTCAATAATTTAGCATCTAAATTAAAATTTTATTAACTATTTTATTGTAAAAAATAGTCAAACATTGATGTAAATAGCTGTGAAATGAAAAAAATATTATAAGCGATCTCAATTAAATAAATTATCAGAGCCTAAATAATTCTAAGTCTTCAAAGTGTCTTGTGATATTTCTTAAATTAAATTTTATTAATTAAATTACCTTGTGTACATTCGGAAAGTTACTGATTCATCAACGAGGGACAGTTGTAATTATACTGGCGTCTGTTTCAATTACTTGATCATTTAGGTACGTTCAATTCTCCAACAAGATTCTACTCAACCATCTCTGAATGTTTAATTGATGATCCGATTTCAGTATTCATTATTTAAGTGGTTATATACATTTATGTCACTATATTTGTATAAGTTACGTTCGCATATACATGTTATTCCAGAACGGATGTACATGGTAAACAATGAGTTCACGAGTTTTTGTTGAGTGAAAATTGGAAGTAACAATACATAAAATCGAATGGTAAAGAGGAAGAGAGAAAAATGATTAAGAGTGCGAGAGAGAAAGTAGAATGGATGGAGAGAGAGAGAGGGAGAATGAACATGCGGTGCAGACATTCACTAACGTTCTCGTCTGACTGTAAACCGACGCTACTTATGTTTCTGTTAATTCTATCGTTTTCGGACATATAATATGCATATCTGTGTATATTTTAATTTTATATTCAATGTTAAACACGTGTTGTGTTACAGAATATTGGAGCTGCTAAAATAGTTGATTGGTTGTGTGTAAAGATTGTACAGAACAGCCCTATGGCCAGCGAAAGCCTAACAATTCACACCTTGTCTAACGTTTGATAATAATATTTCAAACGACTGTGAGAGTGGAAAATCAGGATTTTGTTTATTCTTTCAAAATAACAAACAAAAAAAACATGTAAGTTGAAACAATATTTTTTAGAATAAATTGAATTTTATTTAATCATTGATTCTGTTGAATTGTTAATCATATTGACATTATTAATGTTATTCAGCAATTTTATATGAACTAGAAAGCTTTGATTGTGACATCAATTTACTTCTCTGTAGTATTTGAATTATTTATTGAAAATTACTCTTGAAGTGATAAATGATAGATTATTTTACGCTTCCGCTGTCAAAAATTTATAGGAGTTCAGTAATTGAATTATTTATCGAATAAGAGTGATTAATTTCATCATGTTTTGTCAATTTATAATGATAAATTACTACATAAATCTTGACTTTAATTACATCTATATTTTTTATAGCTTTACATTCATTTCACAAGTAAAAAAATATATTAAAAAAATATTTTAACAATAACTTCTATTGATTCTTAAGAATTTTACTTAGAAAAAATTATTTCAATTTACAGAATGGCTGGAATGGGTATCCCACAGATTCCTTCAGTTGCTGGAACAACAGCACCTTTACCAGTGACATCAATTTCTCTTGGAAGTAGTCATAAAAAAAGTTGGTGGCGCAGAGTGGCTCCTTGTCTAGCATTTTTAGCAGCATTTTCAACAGCAATGGCTTTACTGCTGATCTGGAGTGAAGCAGCAGCACTTCGGTATTTATTTTGTCTCGTCAACCTTATTATTTGGCTCATTGAATAAATGTTAAATATGTAGGACAGAAATAAATCGTCTGTTTTATTTGCAGGAGGCAAGCATTTGATGCTAACATGACAAGAGATTACATACTTACAAGTGTATCTATGGATAATCCTCAACTAGTGGCTTACATTCGTGAAGTACAATTCAAAAAAACAACTCATCAAGATACTCATAATGTATCAGAAACGCCTGATGAAAAGACTCTTGTTACTCTTCTACAGGGTAAACGTAACGGTGTTTACCTTGAATATATTAATCGACCTGGTGCTGTATTAACTACGTCATGGTTAGAAGCCAAGTATGGTTGGAGAGGAGTATTAGTGCTTACAGATTTCAGATCGTTCTTTGAAGTCCGCAGAAGCAATAGAAATCCATTAACGAGAGTTTTACATGCTTGCTTAAGTACTGATAAAGATACTAAAGAGGTAAGGTTTTTTAAAGTTTTATTTTCGTTCCCGTTACTTTTATTGCTGTTTATCAGAAGTATAAAATAAATTATTATTTTATTTTGTAGATAACTTATCACCAGGAGTCAGAAGTTCGGGTGACAAAATTAGGTGAAGGCCCAAACAGTTTGATTTTCTCTGATGAGGGACCTCCTACTGCAAGACTCAAGTGCTTCCCTTTATATAGTGTTCTTCTTGCGTATAATCAAACAACTATCGACTATCTAAACTTGGATAGTACTGATGTATCTGATATACAAGTATGTTAATATTTGTTTCTAATTGATAAAAGAATTTCTTTTATCAAATTATAACTTTTTTTTATTAAACTGTTTTGCTCATTCATTCCAGGTGCTTGATACAATTCCTTGGGAAAATGTACAAATAAACTTCATTACTATTCGTTGGAGTAATCATCATACTGAAGCAGATTTCAAAGCTCTTTTGGAAAAATTAAGTGCAAGAAAATACAGGTTTATTCAACCAATGGAACCTGGAAAATTGATATTTATGTACTCGAGAGTGAAAAAGTAAACGTTGATCTGAAGATAAAAGAAAGGATCTTCATGCCAGTTTATTTTGTAGATATTTTACTACGATAATCCTCTGAGGATAAAAGAAAATGAATTAATTGGTACATAATTTTTTTCTTTTTTTTTATGAGTAAATCTTAGTTGATTTATTTTTAGCAGTAAAAATGGTGATATAGAAAAATTTTTGGTGCCCTGGCTGTAATTATCAACATTACATTGTATTTTAGTAATCATTTGTATTTTATTTTAATGCTACTTATTCAACATTTATAGCTTTCTGTTCTTCTATCTATTTAGTATGAAAATATTTCATAATCATTTTCACAGTTAAAAAGCTGTGAGTTACCAGTAAACTATGAAATGAAACTTAAGGGCCTTATTAATGTTTAAGTAAATATTGAAGCACTAAACGACCTGTGAAATATTGTTTTTTAATCTTTATTAAATGATAATTTTTTTTATCAATTAAAGCTTTATAAAAACCATATTCATTAATTACATAAAATTTTTTTATAGAAATATTAAAGAACGATAGTTCTTCAAATTTACATAGTAAGATTAAATAAAAAAATATTTCATAGGTTGATGAATATTTTCATAGATAAATTGTAAAATAAATTACAGGCTAGAACAGAATTGATACATCTGTCTAGAAGAGTATAATGTGATCTTTATAAATTACTAAAAAAAGAAAAATTACTTGTAAAGGTAGATTTTTGTTTACAATTTTTTATAGAATAAATTTATAAAATATAATTTTGTTGTTAAAGTCCACATTACTGACCTCTCGTTGGAGTAACATTCTTATCATTTCGATGATTATTTTCATAGGAAGTAGTTTGATGAATACATTCGAAGAAAAATTAAAAGAATAAATATTACTTTAGACCGATTAAGTAACTTCACTTAGTACACCTTATTCGCGGTGTTAATTTTATCAGATTCCCCGTGTAAATAGACTAGATAAAAAGCCTAACTAATGGTTCAATATCATAATTTTTCATCGTTTTTTCAAGCATTTGAGGGACGTACAAATTAGTTCTATGACGAAGTACTTAAGAAAACTTATCACTAATGTAAAGTGTGGATTGACTTTCTGAAGAAAATTTTTCTTTTCTTCGTCGAATCTGATAACTTAGATTGATGATAGTGATGAATTGATAGTATCAATCTGAGATTCGTGATATGCGGATGATTGAATTAGTGTCTTGATACCATTAAGTTTTTCCACAAGTCCTGCATCATCTTTTAAATATAACAAGAGAACTGCAGGATCATTGTGAGCGATGGAGACTACAGGTATGATGAGTGATGCTAATCAATCTCCAACTATTAATCAAGAGAGTAAGAAATTGTGGCAATATCTTGCTGCGTGCTCAGGTAAATTAAATTGTAATCGTCATCGTTCATCAATCATGTCTTCATTAGAACTTTTTTAAATATGAATTGAAAAATATCTTGATCATTATGAAATAATATCAAATTATTTGATTGTAATATGATGAAAAATATCGGTAGATAATACTGAAAATTATCTTAAAAGATACCAAAAAATATCACATATCCGATAAAGTCATAGTTCTGTGAACTCATTAACATTTTTTCATTTAAAATGATGAAGATTAAATTTTGTAAAAGATTCTTTTAATGATAATAAAATTTATATCATGATTTCTTTTCTAGCAAGTTTATTAGCCGTAGGAGTAGGTAATGCTCTAGCATGGACTTCCCCGGTATTACCGAAACTCGGAGCCACAGATTCTTGGTTACCAATAACTCCTGAGCAAGGCTCTTGGGTGAGCTCACTATGTGCTATTGGAGCAATGGTTGGAGCACTTCCAGCTGGAGCTATGGCAGATAAATTAGGCCGAAAGAAAGCTCTTTTATTTTTATCAGGGCCATTTCTTCTCTCTTGGTTGTTAATACTCATCGCAAAATCTGTCTGGATGTTATATGCAGCAAGATTTATTGTTGGTATTTCAGTTGGAGCATCTTGTGTTCTCGTGCCAGCATATATTGCTGAAATTGCATCTCCATCGGCACGAGGAACTCTAGGTGCTATGTTTCAGCTTTTCTTAGCATCTGGAATAGTGGCAACTTTCATATTTGGATCGTATACATCTTATACAGTTCTTGCAATCCTATGTGCTATTGTTGAAATTCTTTTTATAGCCACGTTTGTTTGGATGCATGAATCACCAATGTGGCTTGTGGTAGGTGGTGAAACCTAGCATTGTCATTTTTTTTATTAGAACATTCAAATTATCGTGAATGTTTTAAGCATCGTAACAAATATCTTTTATTCTAGGGCCAAGGAAGAAAGACGGAAGCTTCAAAAGCTCTGCAAATATTTCGAGGCAGCGATTACGACCTCAGTGAAGAACTATCAGTAATGCAACGAGAAGTTGAAGAAAATGCTTCCAAAAAGAGCTCCATATTTGATTTAATAAAAACCCCTGGATCTAGAAAAGCGGTTTTAGGCTCTTTTGGTATGATGGCATTCCAACAATTGTCTGGAATTAATGCAGTCATTTTCTATACAGTAACAATCTTTGAAGCTGCTGGAAGTGATTTAAATGCTGATCTTGCTGCTATTATTGTTGCTCTTGTTCAAGTAAATTATTTCACTTTATTTTTTAAATTGAATATTTAAATAACTAAAACTAATTAATATTCTTTATTACAGGCAGTGATGGCAGGAGTTGCTGCTCTGATTGTAGACAGAGCTGGACGAAAACCACTTTTATTATTTTCTTCAGCATTTATGTCTCTTAGTTTAATAGCCCTTGGATTATATTTCAAGCTTAAAGATGGTGATCAGGATGTCTCTAATCTCGGCTGGCTTCCTCTTTTATCACTAACGTTATTTATGATTGCATTTTCTATAGGGTAATTGATCGCAGTTAGATATTTATCCATTTATTTGAAGAATATTTTATTAATAAAAAATATTTATTTAATTAAAGATTGGGACCAATTCCTTGGATGTTGATGGGAGAGTTATTCACAGCGGAAACGAAAGCTTTAGCATCAGGTTTAGCTGTCATGCTCAATTGGTTTCTAGTGTTTCTTGTAACAAAAACATTTCCTTCCATGAAAGAACAACTTGGAGCTGGAGTTACTTTCTGGGTTTTTGCTGGCATAATGGCATTTGCTACTGTCTTTGAATATTTCTTCCTAATTGAAACTAAAGGAAAGACACTTCAAGAGATACAGAATGAATTAAATGGTGTCGTAAGACCAGTCTCAGGCAGGCCTTAAGATTTCGCTAGTCGATAAACTTATTTATTTTACAATGCATTTTTTTCTTTCATTCATATTTGCTCTACACTTGACAATATTTTGTGGCAAATAATTATCGAGAAAATTTATATGAGCAACAATAGTAATCATAACAAATAGTGATGATATTTTGATAAATGTCTATAAGACTACTGCAATATGGGCTTATCAGTAATACTCATGAAGAAAACTTCATACTAATAGAAAAAAAAAACTGTAAGTTTACATGAGATTTTTCATCGATAATCTTTATCGCCGTAAAAAATAGACTTTATCAAGAAATCACGGTCAATATATCCAAGCGATCGATTTATATCTATAGACTATAAGCTAGACTTTCCTATGATTGAAACGAAACGTTGAACATCGTATTTTTTCACTTCATTACGCTTATAGATTTGAACAAATATTTAAATTGTAATATTTAATAATCATATAAAATCTACATCATACACAAGTCAACCTGTGCCAAACTATATTTTATTGTCGGATTAAAAGATAATGAATATTGTCACAAAATTAGAAGTTAAAGATATTTAATTGACAATTCATTGCTAATAATCAATTAATTACCAATTTCTTATTAAATAAATTTACAAAAGCTTTCGAATTTTCTATGAAACTTTTTGCTGTTGATAATAAATTATTTAATTATTATAATTAAATAATTCATTGAAATTACAAAGAGTAAAAATCGTCTATGATAAAAAATGATAAAGAAATTGATAAAATATTGTCATATGTCTCAGTAATGCTAAATTATCAGGTGGTTTTTTGTCACCTAGCTAAAAAGACATTCATTCAGTAACCAGTTGTTACTTCTGGTGTAGTGTCTGGTTCCTTTTCTTGGCATTACAACCTTTTATTGTTTTTATTGATTGTAAAAATACCAGAATATATCAGATGTGAGATGATCTTAGACTCTTAGCTTGAACTTCCTTAAAGTGTTAATCTGTTAGATCATTTGGAAAAATAAAGATAATTATATTTTAACTAATTGATAGATATTAGTGTGATATTATATCTGAAGTGTATCATCAAATTTACCGTTAATCGGAGGGTTAAAAATACAATTGATTATTATAAGAACGTATAAAAGATCAAATCGCCCCACCATGAATAAGTCAGAGAATTCCAGTATGATAGAGGGGCGGTATAAAGAGTATCAATACGAGCTGGTGGACAAGAGTTTTTCCAAATCTTCAGCTGGCTTTTGTACTATTTCCACTAGTCATCAAAATCACTCTACAGTGTCACACGTTGTTGAAGACGATAACATTCGGTCAGTGAAAAAAAATCCGGGTAAAAACATAATGGCCCATGAGAAGGGCTCCCAGCTTCTTCAATTTGTAGCAGCTATAGCTGGTAATAATGATTAATAATTAAAATTAAAATTAAATTATTTTTATTAATTTTAAAAATTTTAAATGTTAAATAATAAATTTTTTATTACCATATTTCACGAAATTTCAAGGCTTCCACGTGTTTTATTGTAATCTTCTCAGTCGAATGTGGTCATACCAAATGCAAAGTGTTAAACTACATTTTCCTTTACTTTAAAGTCATTACGTGAATTTTATGCATCCGGAAATATTAAGTAGTCAACTACTACTAATGTACGAACGTTTAATAGACTGAAGAGGAAATGATTTTAGTGAGATTATAGTTTTTTTCTGTCATTAAAATGACAGACACTTAAACGATGTATAACTTAGCTGTGGTCTTGAAAGTAATATTAAATTTAAATATTGATTTTTAATCAAATTAATTTTTTTGACAGCGTACATGATCGACATGTATTACAATTGCCATTAAAGAATTTTATTAATTTAATGTACTCAAGTGTTAGAGTTGACATAGGATCTATAAACATCTCTACCGAACAAACACTGAATCGTAGCAATCGTCAGATGACTTATCACACTTTCAATACGAAAAATTAGTTTTTAATGACAGTAGAAAAAAATCTACAGCTCCACTACTACAAGATATAACAGTTGTGACGATAATGAAAATTACTCAAGAGTCAAGTGAAGCAATCACTCGTCGACAGAATAAACAATCATCCATATTCCTTTCGACTAATTTTAGAATAATATTAGTAACTTTTATTGACAGCGAATCTAAGTATTGTTGCTGGAGGATCAATGCTTGGCTGGACTAGTCCAACTCTTTTCAAGCTTGAAAAAAGCCCTGTAGTGGAAGACAACCCTCTAGGTGTTTCAATTAGCAAAGATGAATCGTCTTGGGTTGGATCTCTCGTTTCTGTTGGTGCACTTATCGGCAGTTTTCTTGCAGCATATTTAGCTGAAAAGTATTACATATTTTCTATTGATATTTTATTTCTTTATTTACATATCATTATTTTTGCAATAAATAATTACTTAATTAGTATATTTTTAGATAATGAAATAAATGGTAAATCACGATTGGACATTTGCTTATTTGATCTATAAAATCATTAAACACAATTCTAAAATATGAAGAATAGATGAATCATTTTAAAAAGAATAGAATCGATGTTTGTTGATTTAATGATAAATTGATTATTAATAACAATGAAAGCAAATATATCCTCTGATTTTAATTCTATATATTACAGATTTGGAAGAAGGGTAACACTTCTTTCCTCCGTTATACCTTTTCTGATATCTTGGATTCTCATTGCTTCAGCCACAGTCATAGAAGTTCTATATGCAGCTCGATTGATTGCTGGTCTTTCCATTGCATTTCCCTTCACAGTCTTGCCAATGTATTGTGGAGAAATTGCTGAACCTTCGATTCGAGGAATACTTGGATCATTTCTTCAATTATTCATCACTGTTGGATTGCTCTATGCATATGCTATTGGACCATATGTTTCTTATACAGTATTTTGGATTACTTGTGCTGCACTGCCCATTGCCTTTTTTGTCTGTTTCTTTAAAATGCCAGAATCTCCATATTTTTTGGCTGCTCAGGGTCGCAAAAGTGAGGTGATTGATGTATTAGCAAAGCTTAGAGGAAAAAGCACATCTGCAGTGAAAGATGAAGCTGATGAAATTCAGGTTAGATTAATCGATAATTCTATCGAATTTCTTTTCTTATACCTTAATAGATAATTTTATTTATAAATTCAAACATCATCAACTTTAGTTTTGATAAAGTTTTGAGGACCAAGCGAATGTTGAAATGACAGCTTTAAGGTTAAAATGTTTAAGAAATTATTTCTCACGTATCACCATAGATAATTTTTGGTTAATAGAAATATCCGATGTTCAGATAATTTGAACAAAAGAAGATATTTTGTCAGCCAAAAAAAAGAACAAGTGTAATGATAAAATAATAATTATCTGCTATCTTAATCTAAGTTCTAGTTTCTGATTAAAAATTATAAGGAAAAGAAATATGTCTTTGAATAATTGTTAATTTGTATTTAAAAAAATTCAAATTTCCAATTGCTATCGTAAAAATATTGTCTGCTATTTATTTTGTGACTTTAACATTGACATTGCTAACACTAAATATTATTCTGTATGTGTATACATATTATTTAAGAATATGATGTAATGGTTTGAATACTAATATGACATTATGTTAAGGAAAGTATACAAAGTTGTTTAGAACAATGAACTTGAAAATATGTCTCGAGGATATGAGAGAATAATTAATTCTATTCAATTTTATTCATGACAGGCGGTGGTTGAAGAAGCTTTTAGCAAAGAAGCCAGTTTTACAGATCTATTCACAGTGAAAACAAACTTCAAGGCTCTTGTCTTCACCTGCGCATTGGTAACATTTCAACAAACAACTGGAATAAACGTTGTTCTCTTTTATTCTGAAACTATTTTTGCTAGTGCCGGAAACAGTGGGATTAATTCTTCTTTAGAAACAATTATAGTTGGATTAGTTCAACTTGGTGCATCATGTATTACTCCGCTGGTAGTAGATCGATTGGGACGGAGATTATTATTGATAGCATCAGGTGTAGGAACTACATTGAGCCTGGTCAGTGATTTAAATGCAATTAAATAATTTTTAATACTCATTGAAGACTTATTTTTTAATTAATGTGACATTTCAGGGAACTTTGGGACTCTTTTTTTATCTTAAGGATGAGGCAAAAACTGATGTAAGCAGTATTGGCTGGTTGCCAATAGTTTCCTTGATGGTATTCATTGCTACTTATAGTATTGGATGGGGTCCATTGCCTTGGACAGTGATGGGAGAAATGTTTGCTTCAGAAGTTAAAACCAAAGCATCTGGAATTACTGTATTTGTGTGTTGGACATTGGCATTTTTGATTACTAAATATTTCAGTGCTGTAACATCCACCTTTGGTGATTTTGCTGCATACTGGCTTTTCGCAGTATTATGTATTTTGAGTGTTCTATTCACACTCTTCATACTTCCAGAAACAAAGGGTAAAACTTTACAAGAAATTCAAAGTGAATTAAGCGGAGATTACAAGTAATTTAATAATTATTGTATTATATGATGAACAAATAAATAATATAATTTTCATTATTTTTTAACGACTATTCATCTAAATTTAAAATATTATTATTGATAGAATTATTTAATGACATTAATCTTACATGAGTTCTACAACATTTTTATAAAAATTTATCAATTATATCGTAACGCTTTTTATCATGTTATACACTGATGTGATTTAAAGCATAAACAATGATGATGAGCCATTTTACATCAGTAGAAAAGATAATTGACTGAGAATTGATCTTATCTGTAAATTACGAAGAAGATTAGAATGTAAGAAGATGTAATTTTACAGAATTCATCAAGTTTTGTCTTTTTTTCTTTTTTTCAATCTAGATAAGAATGAATAAAAAATAATTTTATCATAATCGATTAACACAGGTCAAGAATTACATTCTAATGTAACAGTTTAAGAATATTTTATAATTCAACTTATAAATGTGTATAAAAAATTATTTATTTAATTGGGAAACCCAAGTCTTAAGAAGAATTATCTTGTTACTAATGATTATATAATATATCCATCAATTATTATTTATTATATAATTATATGTATTTCTTATTTCCTTATTTAGCAGAAAATTGAAAAAATACAACGCATACAAGTATTAGTTTGTGGTTTTCAGTGTATATAAAAAACCAGCTAGGAGTTATCGTCATTTCATCATTGAAGCTTGAAAGTTCAGTCTCGATAATGTATTTCTTTAACACATTATCTATTTGTTCTGTTCTTAGTTTAACTGTTTTTCAAGTTATATTTGCAGATGAACTATGTGATAAATCAAAATGTAAAGGTCCTTTGAAATATTACCAAAGTGTAGGATGTAAACCAATATTTAAATCTGAAAATGATTGTTGTGCCTCCAGCTATGATTGTAGTCATTTGAAAAATAGATCGCCTCGAAAATGTTATGCTGATGGTCATGAATATGATATAAATCAGTTTATTGATAATAAATATACTGGAGGAAGATGTGATTATCGTTGTATATGTTCAGAAAATAATGAGGGATTGTAAGTATTGAATATTAATAAAAAAAATTTCCTCCATCACAGTAAAAAATAGTAATTATTCAATTGTTGATGATATTAATTAATATAATAAATATTTTAGAGCTAGTGCGGCGTGTGTTATCAGTGATTTTGCTGCTCCAGCTTTAGAAAGACCTGGTTGCTATCACCGACGAGATGCAGTCTGTGGACCGATTGAAGCGATTTGTCGTTCGTATCATTTTATTTTTTAATATATCCTATAATTATATATGCAAAAATTAATTTAATGAATAAAATCATAGCTGAAAAGCCAGAAGATCGACCAACATGTCTTGTCGATGGAAAAACTTATCTTGACGGCCAAGAATTCATACCAGCTTCAGAACCACATAAAATATGTTTTTGTCGTCCTGAATACAAAGGTAATTTTCGTTGTCTTTTTTTCTTAATTCATTGAATTTTATATTTAATATTTTAATTTAGGCGAGAACATTGAACCATTTTGTACTGGAGAAAAACCTCCTGAAAACTATTGTGCAACTGAACTGTACCATGGAGCTGACATTTATAAAAAATGTGCACCATTTGAATTTACTTCAAATCCAACAACAGCCCCTAATACAAACTGTATTTCGGATTTCAGATGTCGTATGTTACATAATTTATTCTATTTCTATACAAGAATATTTATATAATAATAATTCTAAACTTTTATCGAAATGTATTTTAGCAAGCCCTGAAGATTTAGTAATACCAGCTGATTTAATTGACAGTGAGTATTTAGTTGTTAAAATTATATTCGTAATGTAATCTAATTTAATTATGTTTATTATTCTACTAGCTACATCTAATGAAACTTGTGAATATGGAAATTTAATATTAAAAAAGGGAGACAAACTCAATACATTAAGTTATCTTTTTGGTTGCACAAGTTGTGTCTGTGAAGTTGGACCAGCTGTCACTTGTAAATATTCACCTCCAGGTCAATGTAATTAATGAGGATCATAATTCAGAAAATAAACATAAATTGTTTGTTTGAATTATCCTTTTTTATTTAATACTCAATGAATAAGCAAAAAGCTATTGTTTATAAAAAATAAGCTTATTTATTGTAATAAAATTGAAAATTCTGGTTAAATCGTTGGATATGTTTTTGCAAAGGAATTACTTTAAAAAATAAATAACATAGCAATAATTATTTGTAGTTCGTGTATTTATTAAACTTTATGCTAGTGGACTAGCGGAAGCAATGTGTGCTTCATACAACGGCAAATATAATCATTTGAACCGATTCTCTCAAGTTTTTCTCAGAAAATTGAATCAGAAAAATCGTTAGATAATTTAATTCAATTTCAAATTGTCTTGTTAATCGAACGTAATTGCACAAAAATAATAATATTAATAATAATATTCTGCAAATGTATGATATGCAAGATCTCAATGCAACTACAAATGTGACAACATTTTTTCTTAATTTTTAAAAGAGTGAGTTAAATGTCAATCGACATTTGTAAATAGGCACATGACTTAAGGTAAAATGCGGTGTCTTTCTTTTTTTCTTAGTCATATACATTAAGTCGTCCTACGATGCCTTAAGAATATACGTGTACATAAAATTATATTTTATATTAAACGAGTTTGAATTATGTACGCACTTTATAACAATTGGCAGTATCGTTATTTAGATGCCAAAAACGACAATTAATGTCAATGAAAAATGATAACCGGCTTATAAACGAAGATTAATTAACAATATTTTTTTTAATCTACCTTATAAAAACTATTTTATAATAATGAAAGATGAAACAAAAGCTAAAACACTAATTAAATTTGTGTAAAATAATACATGACGGCAGCTTTCATGTAACTAAGTCTCAGGCAATTGTATAACGACTGATGAAAAATGATGAACGTTTGGTTTTATTTTCGTTCATGTTTTACTTATTTATCATCTAAATGAAAGTGATTTGTTCTGTGTGACTTATGAATTTAACATATATGTATAATTCAGATGACAACTAACTTATTCTTAAAAGAAAAGTAAATATTATAAAAGTGATTTTATCAATATTATAAACGATGTGATAACTTATTAAAAACTGCACCAGTGACAAAAAACTATCGTATGCACTGCACATTACTGAAGTGCATTGTTGGACCATAAAATTTTTTTTTTTTGTTTTCATTCATAAAATTTTTAATGCAGCAGGAATGTGCACGCAGCACTAATCATTGTAATAATACAGTAGACAGTCAATTTAAAAGAGTCGGGCACGTCGTTTAATTTCATTCCGACGCCATTGGGGTAATCTATAAAATTCTGCACGACTAAACTGAAGAACAGCTTCGAATTCAGCATCAGACAAATGTCGCTGAAAATAATTATTAGATTAAAAATCATGGCTTACAAGAAATAAAAATGATCTTTTAATAGAATACTATCGTTAGTTTCTTACCTCAAGGTTGCAGCGATCAACATCGGCAGGTAATCTATAATTGGTGATAACAAGCAAGTGATAAGGATAAAGCTTTGGTGGTTCTGAGGGTGCAGATCCCATATCTGGCAATGATCGTCTCATATGATGACCGTGGCTGCCTGCACCAACGGTTCCTAATCCTCCAGTGTAAGTTGTCGACGATGGGATAATACCACCATCATTCTAAATTGCAAAAATTCAATATAAATTTAATTTAGTTGTAATATTATTATTTATTAACAAATGAGCCCGATACACTGCTCATGCATATGTATACACACAATATTTACTACAGTAAGATTTTATTTCCATCCATTATTGATATCAATTATTTGAGTTACCGTGCAATCCTAAATGTTACTTTTCATTGTTACTGATTATGATTTATTTCATTTAATTTCACACATAATTCAAGATGTTATATATTTAAATATTCAACATTTAACAGACCTTTTTTGATTGATGTAGTTTCTGATATTTACTCATACTCTAACGTACTTGATTAATTGGTAGAATTGAAATTCAACACATTACGAAGACTCAGTGGAAAAAAAATTCGTAAAATAAGCAGATTAATATGGTGATGATAAAAACCAGAATACAATAATCAGGACATTGTAGAACTATTAGTAAAAAAAAATCAATTGAGATAAACCCTGTTATACTTAGTGGGTTTCATCAACTAATTAATCTGCTTACTCTTTGAGATAGATAATATACAATTGACGAATACAAATGCAGAGGCATACGGGCACTAAGTGATGCAACAGTGTTACAAACCATGCTTATTCGACGTGAGTAGTATGGGGCTGAGGTACATACCAATGCCCTTCTGTCCACATCTGTGATGCTGCCTGTTGAAACTAGATTTCAAGGAAAACGAAAATGAAAATTGTAAGATACTTGTTTAACACAATTTCATATGAGTCAATTAGTTATTAATTTAATTTTGAAGGAATGAAAATATTAAAGACATTATACATGCCAGAAAGATATACCTTTTAGAATAAACCTATTTATCATTATTTAGACTCGAACATAAAATAATTACTTACATAGAAAAAAATTAAATTAATTAATTAATTGGTGTAAGACAAACTTAAAAATACTTACTATCAGATTTACCAGATGAAAAGTCTGTGCTGTGTGTTTTATCGCCCATTCCACTGAAGGAATAATCACCCTAGTTAAGAAAAAAACTTTAATCTACTTGAAATCAATCTCAAAAATTTTGTTAAATAAATAAAACAGCTCAGTTAATTATTTTTTTTTTTTTTTTGTAATAACTTTAAAATCAAATCAAATAAAAACTTGACACATTAGTGTATATTTAATTGGTTTAAAAAAACGCGGACACAGTAAAACTTACAGGGAGCGCTGATACAGAACCACCAGTAGACGAGAATGTGTGACTTCGCGGTGCCAAACCGTATCCCGGCTTTGGTATGTGCCGAAGGGAGCTCACAACTGATTTCAAATATCAATCGAACAAAAATTAATGACATTAGTTTTTGCGTTAACTCACGCCGCCATTCCCATACGAATGCCCAACGTTCGCAGTATATATTTAACCAATTTCCCACAGGATTTTTTAACGATTAATTTAATTAACATAAAATAGATAAAAGCTTTCTTCACTTTGACAATACCTTGTGTTTAATTTTTTTTTTTTTTTTTAATAATTACTCTTTCATTAGCGTAATTTTTATAATTTATTTAATGATAAAGCTACCGGCACACTTATGCATTAATATAAATGCTATCCTTGGAATGAATACAAACTTAGCTTGTGATTTAAATTAGTTTTTTTTTCTTAAAAAAATTAATTTTTTGTACCTGGAAAACTGTGTCATGATGAATGATTTTTTATTAATATAATTTAATAAATTTATTTGAATTATTTTTATGAATTTCCTTATAAACCATAAATAAAACTTACTTTTAATTGCAAAAATAAATTATTTATTTCAAGTAATTTAATAATTTTAAATTAAATTGATTATTGAAGTGAATTAGATTCAAAAATTTTTAATAAGTATTTACAAAAGCTATTGTTAATAAATATTTATAACAAAATGTTAATTTTATAATTTTAAAAACCCAAGAAAAGAAGTAAGAATAGTTTATAAAATAATATTTATAAATTTTTATAATGTCTATTTACAATTAAATGATTTATTTCTTTTCCAACCCAGAGAATATTGCTTTATCATGACATCAACTTTCCAACGTCGTGTCGACAACATAAAAACGTACAGTAGAAAAAAGTATAAGATCATTTAAGAGCACAGTTTGAATTGCATTCCATGGAAGCGTGCAAGCGTGATGGCTGAAAAACTCACCAACTGATAGTGTCTAGCAGCATTTGGAAGTGTGGAGGCGCGTTGATTACCGAGAGGTGGATAGTTTCTGGGTGCCGGGGAACGAGCTGATGATCTTCCGACTGGTCAGCCACGTATAAACACACGACACATACGCAAAACACACAATAGAAATACCATAGGTACAGGGATGCAAAAAAGTGATAAAAATCTAACAGTGATTACTATATTATGCAAGTGCATAATACTCTTTAAAAATATATATATATATCAGTTAATCATCACTGTGAAATAGAATTAAATCAAATGGCGTAATGAGATGAGTGAGAAAGAGAAAAGCATGTAAGTGTAAAGTGATTTCTGCAGTAGAATTCGCTTACGTTTCATGCGTTACAAAAAAAAAAAAATAAATAAATGAATGAAGTTAATAGTTTACAGTATTACCAGGCAGTTAAAAGTAATGTCAAGCGACGTTGAAAGACTCTGCGACTTGTATATGATGTAGCAGAACCTTTTTTGATGAAGATCGAGAGGTGTCCATTGCTCTGGCTTTTCTTTTCATACTCTTCCAGTAGAGAGTATATTGAAACCAAGAGTTTCCAAGTATAGAATAAATATAACATAAAAAAAATAACTTACTGCATGCGAATTGAGGCTGACGACATCACCCTGCTCAAAAACTATCACCCCGCGGTAGTTTTATAGCGTGCAATATTGACATAATGTTTTAATGTTCTCTTTTTATGACTAATAAAAAAATTCATAATGGGATTAGTTTGTTATAATGAATTTTTTTTTTCTTGGTTTTGTCAGAAATCCAATCGATTTTTTAGTTATATAGAGAAGACATCTCTCGTTGTCATTATAATATTCGTTTAGTTCTATTATTTGATAGTGAAAAAAGCTCAACCGCTGAGTGGAAAATGTTAGTGTAATGTGCGAACGTGTGGACATGTATGAGATGACGAATTCTCAATTGATGAAATAATTCTTATCTAACAATACTGCATGATTAAATAATGAAAACTTACCATTATAGCTCGGACCTGTACTTGATCTATAACTAACACCATCATCATCATCCCATGGCCGAGCGTGATCTATATTTCTTGAGGGAGCTGAAAATAATTATAAGAAATATCTTATATATATCTCAAGTAATTAAAACTTTGAAAATTTAAAAAATGTCGTTTCTAGACTTACAAGCACCAACGGGACTTTCATAACGAAGTCTATAAGTTGGCTCTCGAGCTGCCGATGGAGTTCTTGATGCATTTCGTGGATCAACATTAGCTGCACGATGTCGTAAATTTTCACGATCCTTTTCTATGTCTTGAAGAAATACTTTTGCAATTCCGGTATCTATTTTACTCAATTCGTCTTGCTCCTTTTTCAATTTTTGTTCTACTTCTTTGATATATTTTTTACTTGCTCCATCCAGTCGATCCAAACGATTCGTACCATCTGTTACTGCATCATCATCTTCATCATCTGATACACCCTGAGAAATCATTAATTATATTATCTTTCAACTACCATTCATAAATTCGTTTCCAATATAAAATAAAATCTCCTTTTAACTTAATTGTTTTCCAATTATCCAAATAAAATTAAAAAATAAACTCAATTAGAAATTTTCTATTTTATTAGCTCTTAAGTGATTAAAAGCATATTTTTCTCTCTAATTGAGTAATACTTGTTTTAATTATCAAAGTATCTTTTATGTTAAAATACCGATTTCCTATTTTCTCTAGCGTTATTAATGAATAAATAATCAATGAAGTACCTTGTATGTATCAGACCACCGTCGACGTCTTTCAGGATCAGTGTAAGGATACGGAGGAGCGGGAAAATCATCACGTTCAATTGGAGGTTTAGCACCTGGTGGAGGTTTCATAGCATCGGGATAATGGGCAAGCTCAATGGGTTCATCGTTGTCTACTTGACTTCCAGCTGCTGGAGATTTAGGTCTTGTCTCACTTAGTGCATCTACCAATGCCCTCATTCCTGAACGACTGCTTCTACCACCACTACTTCTTATCGACCGTGAAGCTATAAAAGAGAAATAAAAAAAAAACTTCAGTCTCACTGTACTTGTTTCAAACATTAAGAAAAAAAAAAAAGTTTCTTACAGCTTGGTCGATGGAAATGAGGACTTGTGGGTGGTTTGTCATAAGGTTGAATAGGGCGTCTTAAATATCCTTGACTTGGTGTTTCAGTTAGATAAGAATACGTACAAATCCTTGAAATATCTTCCGAGTTGCCGCGTCCATATTCTCGTAGAATTAAACCAGGACTTCCCGTTCGTGGTGGAAAATACTGTGGAAAAAAATTAATAATTTAAATGTTTCATTAATTTATTATTATATCAAATGAATGAACTAGAAATAAAGAATTGATATGAATAATTTAGGTAAAACTAAATGGAGTAAATGATGGTTTATGTGATGATGAACAAAAAATGGATTATGGTAAGCATACCTTGCGACTTAGGCTGCTGTAAGGGCTGCATATGGATCCGTTGAGACTTGGTGTGCGAGATCTCAATAAAAACTAGAGGTGTGTGAAAAAATTATAAATAAAAAAAATAAAATAAATAATAACAAAAATGAAATAAAACAAAACCAGGAAGGATTAGGACCAACTTATGATTAAACCTGGTAAAAAAATTCACCTGCATCTCTGATGCACTGCTAGAAACACGTTCGGATTCTCTGTGTTGTGGAGTGTGTACATCTCTAGTTCCATGTCCATTAACAATTCCATTCGATCCAGTGGGTCCAGGTCCACAACGTGGATGCCAGATTGCAGCACCTTGTAAATACATTTCTTCTCCATCACCAAAAGGATCACCGCACTTAGTACATCTAGCACACGTTGGATGAAAGTGATGATTTTCGCCAGCTTGCAAAACTTTGCCACTTATATACCGACTGCAGTAAGCGCATTTTACTCCAAATTGTTTTTGATAATCTTTTTCACAATACGGTACTCCATCTCTAGATAAATCAATTAATAAAAGAATTCTTTAATTTAAGTCACAGTATTAAAGTACATTAAAAGTCTTTCTTGTCATAATTAATTGATTGTATCATGTAGTCATAAATTATTTAAAATTAACTTTATCTGTTATATAATTTTCTTGGTCTTTAATTTATACTTTAGTCTCTAGTATATTGATTAAAAAAGACTATTAATTAAACTTCAATTCCTAATTACTACAATTCCACTTCAATCAATTAACCAATAATGTTTGACATCCAATAACCGTTAGAATAAACTATTCATTAAAATTATAAAGCTTCTATTAGCATAAAAAACATACTTTCCCATGTATTCTCCATGAAGTACATTGTCACAGCTGTGGCATTTGAAGCACCAAACATGCCATTGGCGGTCTAGTGCAACGAGTGCTTGTCCCTCCTGCAATTTCTCATTGCATCCTGCACAAACGCCAGGATCGTTACTGCTATCCCGGCCGCTGGCACTTTTGGAACGTCCATCGGGTTTACTTCCAACTGGTGTCGACGTTTCCCTAACTGGTATCCCAACGCAACGATGACATAAGGCTTGGCCTGATAGAGATAAAAGATAAAAATCAGTAAGACTAGACCGGTTTAAAGAGTCATAACCATTTGTATTCTTAAGTTCAAGTACCTTGAACTAGAGTGACTTTAGTTCCTTGACCCAAGAGCGGCTGTCTACACCTCTGGCAGTGAAAACAGTTCGGATGAAAGGCGAGTTTTTCTCCAGCAGTCACGACATCTCCCTCAACATATTCTCCACACCCGGCACACCTTGTACCCCATCGTTCTCGGTAATCCTACGTAACAAAGTAAGACAATATAGCATTATGCATCAGTAAGTTAATTGTTATTCAAGATTTAAACACCTCAATGATAATGCAAAAATATATTAAATAAACTCTTTAATTATTATTTAATTTAATCTAATAGCTGTTGATTGAACGTTATTTAATAGGTGCATTAAATAACAGCAATTAAGAATAAAATTGGCTGATGAATAATTTATAAGTTATTAATGAGAGAAATTTGCAATGTATAAGTATAAAATCGTAATCAAATGTTACAATGAAAATAATTAATTATTTTCCATATTTAACTTTAATTGTGAATGAATATTCATTATATATATCACTAAGGTGGAACATAAAAACAAATATTTTTCTTGATATTTATGGGAATAAAAAGTGCCCTGTAAATGATGGAAAAATTATGTGATATCGATTAGTAGGTCTAGAACACCGTCACGAACTAGGACAATTATTTTACATAAGTATTTGCATAACGGAAATGCAACTAAAAAATCGATAATCCAGAATGTAAGTGAAATTTTTCAAATTCTTTATAATTAAAAAATCAACAAATTTCCTTAAAAAGCAACAACTTTCAATCCTTCGAATGGAATTATATTAAAAATAACAACAAACATCTAAGAATAGATGTAAGAGAGTTGAAGATATAAATAGAAACATAATATTTGAAAAAGATATAATAGAATTCAACATGATGAGGACATTTACCTCAACTAGAAATAAGACTTTCATGTCTTTAAGTTTACAGATTATTTAATAGTTCAATTGACTTAATTCTTACCTTCGTACAATAATACGAGCCTTCACGAGCAAAAAATCCCCCTTGAGCAAGACTCGTGCTACATTGAGCACATTTAAAACATCCAATATGAAAATACTTGTCTTGAACTCGCAACACTTCTCCACTGCATTTCTTCTTGCATGACAAGCAATACGTTTTCCCTGAAAGGATAAAAACAGTTAGCATGAATGAAAATTATAATACTTTTTACATCAATGATCATAATATTCATAGTTCGACCTCATGTTACAATTCCTACTCTAATATCGTCGCGTTAATGTCATTCATAAGTGGACTAAATAGGATGTCACAAAGTGGGGTCAAACGTTAAACGTCAAACTCTGGACTAATGTAACAAGATGACATTCTGGGTAGAATTTTATTCAATTTTATTCATTACTATTATTACAACCAATCCTTCGATTGTTCTGAAAGATAAACGATTACATCTTCATTTTACCATACTCATGCTAATCTTATTAGCCTATTGTCTATATTAGAATAACAATTTGAAGAATCATTCTCTTGTTATCACAAGAATGTCGGCCGGCTAATTTAAGAAGAGGTGTGGAATAGAAAGTACTAAGGCTTAAAGCCAACATTGCGATAAGATAGTATACTCTATAATATCCTATTAACCATTGTAACTATTACAGACGTATTATTCCTAAAATTAAGAAAAATAATTCAACAATAAGTCTTCGTAATCATTTTTAAACCTGCTACACAAGTGTTTTAAAAATGGTTTATTATTCAATATATGAGGATAAATAAACAAAAAGTAACCTTCTATATTTTTTTTAGGAACTCATGTATGTTTAAATTATAGAATATTCACGATAAAAAATTACTTTGATAAGATAATATACTGAAGAAGTTCAATAATCATATAATACAAACATTAAAATTTATTTTTCCAAAGAATATATATCCATAAAAAATACTTCAATATTTTTGAAACAGTCTACATTTGTAGATGATAAAGGTTAGTTGGCCTTCAAAACAACGTCTTGAGACTCAAAAATAAATCCTAAAAAAGGATTCTTGATGAATTCTTGACTACCGGTATAAAGTTCTTTCCAAGATGTACACCAAACAAAAATGAATGCAGTATGTTTTTATTTTCGTCTATGCTGTAATTACGATTATATTTATGCTATGAGGCAGGATAAAAATATTCTGATGATAAATGCAAGCATATATACCGTTTATATTAATATAGAAAAATGCTAAATAAGATAATTAAGTATAAATAAATACTAAAATAATGATGTTAAAACTATGTCATCATCTACATTATATCCAACTGTTTTATTCGTCATTTTCGGGTAATACATTCTCGACAATAACACTCATCAGTCCCTCCTTTTCCATTCAAGAACCTCTCAACAGATATGACGTCATGTCTAATAAAAATTCCTGCGATAAATAAATCTGTAAACCTGGCCTCGATTACATTACATTACTTTTTGTTTCAACAATGTACATTCAGTTACTATTATTCCCATAACTTTCTTTTCTTTTAAATACTCCAAAAACTCTTGAGTGTATTTTTTATCTTCCATCAATGACTTTCCTTAACTCGATCTCAATCTTCATTGATCGAGTCAATTAGATTCTGACTCATTATCCAATATAATTAAACTCATTGTACAGGATATATCACATGTAGGTATAGCTAGACATCTCGCGAGTTGACTTACGTAATTTGCGATTATTCCAGCAGTAAGGTGCAATTTTTATTTTTAGTCCATTAAACTCTTTACGACTGTAATTTACTGCTTTATAAAGTGATTGAGGATGTGAATAAAACTAATTATTGCTTCATAGTGATACAACAGTTTGATTCTCTAAAGAGAACGATTTCGCGGAAAATCGATATAACATGAGAGAACATTTTAATTGATGAAGCTTTTAATATCTCGAGAGAGCTCAAATGTTTATCTTTCTCTCGACTATAATACAAATCTTCGGATGCAACGATTGTATTTCAATTGAATTTAAAAGGTGTGGCATCGATAAGCATAACAGAGGAGTAAAGCAAAAAGAGAGAGAGTTGGAAAGGACGGAAATGCTGGACTATTTGTCCCAGAAAATGTCAAACTAATTTTAGCGCGAGTAACATAAGCATAAATGTCTATATGAGACTCCAAACATTCCGAAAACATCGTCCCACTGTGGTAAAGATTATTAGTAGAAATAGAAAAATATGTAAAAAATACATTTAAAAATATTTATGCCATAAGCGTACAGGGCGTGTATCTCTTTCACTCTTGCCTTCTTCACTTGCTTAAACTACTCGTATTTGTATATGGGAAGTTGCATGCTTTAAATTATTTTCTCACATTGTATTCTAAGTGCAATAAAAAAAATATTCTTCACTTTCCTCCGTAGTAATTTAACGTCCACATTTTCACTCATAATCATAGAAATTTAACAGAAGATTATCAGAAAAAACAGAAAGCCGGTGCCATTAAAGGAAAATAAAGCCGACTTACCCATTGTTACGTAGTTTGATTGTTGCTTTGCAGTACACGAGCACTTTAATCTCTCAGAAACACTCGGAGTATGTTAGTTGAGTGTTGGAGATCGAACTCCAACTCCAAGGTGTCCCGTATCTTCCCCAATACCGCGTTGAAATTGTTGAAAGTCTACTGAAACTAAAGAGCAACTTGTCAGAACGTTTTTTATTCTCAACCTTGAGCCTTGTACCGCATCAACGAAATAATTAGCAACACTAACAAGAGATTGTCCTCTTTACGCTGCCACGAAGCGTTACTTGGGACATCACCACTCGAGCACCGATTGAGAGACATAGAGACATAGAGTTTAAGTTACAACTACCGCCACTGCGCATAAATTGGCGCTGATGTATGAACGTTACAGTAGCGTATGATGTATCTTTTGCGCCTCAAGAATTCAGAAAATTTATCATTTCTGTAGAATTTCGTGATCTGTATATATTTGCACATGGATTAGAAAGCCAACACTTGCTTTAATACATTTCCTACGGGAGGACGTGACTCGTAGATTGACAATCATGGCTGGTAAGTCAAAATTATTTAATTGTTTATCTGTTATATCTGTCAAAAATACGGGACTACGTCATTTAACAATAAATTATTTTTTTATAACATACTTAAATATGATTTCTTTATTATTTTTTTTCTCTCTTCAAACCATATTTTGTTGATTGTCATCATTATCTATCTATCTCTTATCATCAAAACCTGCAGGTATTTGTATTAATTTATTTGTTTTATAGTAATTAATAAAATATTTGTTTCAGTGTCAAATCCATATAATGGGTTACTTAAGTCCATTGAAATTAATGGCAAAGAACGGAAATATTATGATATTTCAACATTTGGAGAAAAATATGGTAATATATGTGACCTTTTGACTTACTTTGATGCATTTTTTATCATATCATTACAAATGAAGGTTTAATTTTATTTATTTACGACATCATCAGATCGTTTGCCATTCTCAATACGAGTTCTTTTGGAGAGTGCTGTAAGAAATTGTGATGGATTTCAAGTAAAGGATACAGATGTCACAAGGATTTTAGAATGGGAGACAAATCAAATTAATGAAGGTGTTGAAGTGGCATTTAAACCAGCCAGAGTCATTCTTCAAGATTTGACTGGTGTCCCTGCTGTTGTAGATTTTGCAGCAATGAGAGACTGTGTAAAAAAACTTGGTGGAAATCCAGAAAAAATTAATCCTATATGTCCCTCTGACCTTGTTATTGATCATTCGATTCAAGTTGATTTCGCAAGAAGGTAAATAAATATTTTAAAAAACAATTTTTATTATATATTGTTATTTTTATCTAATGAACATTTATTTATAGTGGTGATGCGCTGAGGAAAAATGAAGATTTAGAATTTGATCGTAATAAAGAACGATTTTTATTCCTGAAATGGGGTGCTAAAGCATTGAAAAATATGTTGATTGTTCCACCAGGAAGTGGAATTGTTCATCAAGTAAATCTTGAATACTTAGCACGAGTAGTTTTCGATCAAGATAATTTACTCTATCCTGATAGTGTGGTAGGAACAGATTCACATACTACAATGATTAATGGACTTGGAATCCTTGGATGGGGTGTTGGTGGGATTGAAGCAGAAGCTGTTATGCTTGGTCAAGCAGTTTCTATGCTCTTACCTAAAGTTATTGGATACAAACTTGTAGGAAAACTTAATCAATATGTGACATCAACTGATCTTGTACTGACAATCACCAAAGTAAGTTTACAAGTACTTATAAATAAACATGGAAGTTGTTAATAATTGTAAAATAAATATTATCATTTAATTATCAATACAATATGAATATATAAATATAAATTGATATTTTTCTATTATTATATGAATAGTTTATCAACATTATTTATTTCAGTATTTTATGTTTTTGTAGAATCTTCGACAATTAGGAGTTGTAGGAAAATTTGTAGAATTTTATGGCCCTGGAGTAGCAGAGTTGAGCATCGCTGATCGTGCAACCATTTCTAACATGTGTCCAGAGTATGGAGCGACTGTTGGATTTTTCCCAGTCGATCAACAAAGTTTGAATTATTTACGACAAACGGGTACTTATTTTTCTATTAAGAATTCTATTTTTGGATCTGATTGTATGTATAATACAATTATGATCTCTTTCAACGCACATTATTCTTGATTGGTTCTTGCTGCTACATATAAATTTGTTTTGACTCATGTCTCTTTTAAATACTTAGCATTATTAGAAAAAAATATTTCGAAAATTGGAAAAATGTAGACATAATTCAACTACTTCAATAATTTTCTGATTATTTTATACGTTATATGCATTTAAAAAATAATTATTAATTATAATTATTTTTTTAGGTCGGTCAGAAGAACATATCGAACGTATTACGAAGTATTTGCAAGCTGTGAAAATGCTTCGAGATTACAGTAATGTATCCCAAGATCCGATATTCTCTGAAACAGTAACGTTAGACTTGGGAACCGTCGTGTCGAGCGTCAGTGGACCTAAAAGACCTCATGATCGTGTCTCTGTAACTGATATGAAAGTTGATTTCAACGAGTGCCTTACTAACAAGGTGAGCATAAATAATCATCCATTGTTTTTCAGTTAAAACTCTTCATTATTTTAAAATTTGACGGCTTTTCGTACTTTCACGGGACAAAAGTAACCCAGTGACGGTAAGGCGATAAACGTCTACCGATGTTACATTTGCCACATGTCGTACTTAATAAGTCCTGTAAAGAATATTTCTGAAAAGTGGAATTAACAATAAATATAAATATCGATGAATAACGTCTAAAGATTCTAAGGTAACTATGGCTGTGATATGTTTTCAATACGACAAATCACCGCTATAGTACCTTGGAACCTTCTCAACTGCGTGCTAAATTTGAGAAACAAATATACAAAATATTGAAGTTGGAGAAAAATGATTTATCCCTCGATGCATTGTCATCACCAACTTGACCTTGCTAATCTAGCTTTATGGATCTAAAAACCATACAGTTAGATCACCAAAGAGAATTTAGTGAGACGAGATAAGTCACAAAAAGTTGAAAAGTGTTGGATGATGAATAAATCTCATATCCGGGGACGAGTATTTCGATCTAGTCACATTTCAAATCACACGTGTCACTAGATCGATACTACGCCAACGGAATGAGTTTGTAAGTCCAATGAAGATATTCTTAAGTCAATGTCGGTTGAATCAGCCCGGTAAGGTTCAAAATTAAACCTTGCCAAAGCAGATTCTACTGGCAGTGACTTCTATACACAGAAACTATCAATACTGATGACGATGTTCACTTGGAAAAATTTGGCTGATGACTGATGTTACTAAGGAATGGGGTCCTTATTTATACGGTCAGTGCTTGACCTCTCCCACCGTTTGAACCTTACAGGACTCGTCCTTGATTGGCTGAACCCTGAAAAAGCTTGTACTTAAGGAACTAAAATTGTCATAGACAATAAATTCCGAAAACTTCTATCCCCTCTCATGCAAAAGAGAAATTGAATTTTTGAACTGAATTGAAATGAGTTTCTAAATATCAAATAAATAAAAACATTACCAATATGATATTATTTGACACTATATAATACAAATATTACCAAGTCTCTTAGAAATTTAAATACAAGAATATTTGTTGGTATCCATTTGAAGGTTTATTTTGATAAATTAATGACAATTAAAATCTATAAGATAAATTGGATAATTTGGACATGGAAAAATTTCATTGCAACTATCTTTTGAAGTATTTTTACAAAATTCTAGAGAAATGATTTTGAAAATTTTAGACAAAGTATCGTTAGTGTTCAGGTAATTTTACTGACTTAACATAATTTTTCACATTTACATGAAAAAAATTATGATTGATGTAGAAAAATAGAGTAAAGTATAATAATAAGTTTCTCTTTATACAATATAATTGACTAATTCTAAAAATAGTAATAATCATTAAATTTTCTGATAAATTTTACGAAATTATCATATTTTAAACGATTTCACTTATTATATTAGCGGTAAATGACGGAATAGATTGTATTTTTCATAAACTTACAATCAACCACTTAACAAAGTAAGGAATACTATAATATTCATTTTGAAAAATAATTAAAATATCATTTGAAAATTAACGATGGCAATCTAGAACATTCTTAAGTTATCATAAAACTGTAAGAAAGCTGTAGGACTGTTCGAAATGTGTAAATTAACTATATTTTTGAATTTTGTTATTATTGAGTTTCGAAATTGCCGTAGCCTTTGCAGTACTATCTGTAACGGTCTGTCAAGGTCACGCATTAGAATAATTTATTACAAAAGATGAGAAAATTTTAGTAATGGTCTTCAGAGTTTAACTAGTTTGCTTTTGTTGATGTTATCGAAGGTATTACTACCCTCATAGCTTGCTTGCACAAGTTTTAACTTACCTGAGAATGGATGAAATTCTTTCCAGATGTTAGAAAATATTTTTTTTACTCCTCCATTATTCAATTCATGAACTTAAAAAAATTTTTTTTTTAAATTCTACCTTCTTTAAACTATTGCAGGAAAAAAATTTTTTGCTATGCACCAGACAATTCATTTAGACGCGATGAATAACTCCAAATGACTGACAAGACAGTTGTAGAAAAATAAACTGCTTAGATAGTAATAGCTGATTCGGCATATTGTCGATTTACGCCATCATTTAATAAAATATTTTTAAATTAAAATATGTGGTTGATGTTTTTTAATTATTCATAGTTATATTTCAAGCGTAAATTATTTCTATAATATTGTTTTATTAATTTCTAAGGAAAATATAATAATTGTTTATAAGAATCAAGCTAAAAATGGTTTAATTTTCTTGGCTAATAATTGATAATTTTTTTGTTAACAGATAGGATTTAAAGGCTATGGTTTACCCATCACAAATACAAAAGCAGAAGGAACATTTCTATTTGAAGGAAAAGAATATAAGTTGAGACATGGATCAGTTGTCATTGCTGCTATCACAAGTTGTACCAACACAAGTAACCCTAGTGTTATGCTTGGAGCTGGTAAATGAAAAACTTTAGCAAAAATAAAATGTCTTCAATTCTAACTTCCAATTATTCATTCATTAACATTAAAATAAAAATTTCAGGATTACTAGCAAAAAAAGCAGTAGAAGCAGGATTATCCGTAGCTCCGTACATCAAAACATCGCTATCCCCTGGTTCCGGAGTTGTCACGTATTATTTAAGAGAAAGTGGAGTCGTACCTGCTTTAACACAGCTTGGATTTGATATTGTCGGTTATGGATGCATGACGTGCATTGGAAATAGTGGACCTCTTGAAGATTCAATAGCTGAAACGATAGATAAAAATGAACTCATTTGTTGTGGTGTCCTTTCTGGTAATCGTAATTTCGAAGGACGAATTCATCCTAGTACAAGAGCCAATTATTTAGCATCACCTTTGCTAGTTATTGCTTATGCTATTGCTGGAACTGTTGACATAGACTTTGAAAAAGAACCACTGGGTCGTAGAATAGATGGAACGGAAATATATTTACGAGACATTTGGCCAACACGTGCAGAAATCCAAGCCATCGAACAGCAATATGTTATACCAGCAATGTTCAAGAGTGTGTATGAGAAAATAGAAAGGGGAAGTAATCGTTGGGCCAGTCTTGTCGCACCGGAAAGCCAACTTTATCCATGGAATGAAGACTCAACTTACATCAAACACCCTCCATATTTTGAAAATTTACAAAGGGTACTATCTACATTCTATTTCAGTATTCTATTATTATACAAAAGGTCACAAAAATGTGAATACATTTTATTTTATCTTAAAATTTAGTATTAGACGTTAAGAATTTTTCAATGACTTAAATTTTAACTTAAAATTTAGGAATTACCCGAGATAAAACCGATTTGCAAAGCCAGAGTTCTTCTGAACCTTGGAGATTCAGTAACAACCGATCACATAAGCCCAGCGGGGAGTATTGCACGAAATTCTCCGGCAGCCAGATACCTGGCTAAGAGAGGGTGGGTATAAACAGCAGTAACTCAGGTAGTTTTCTTTTTCATTTAAAAGAAGACATTTTAGAAAATTTTCCTTTTAGGCTCACACCGAGAGAATTTAATTCCTATGGAGCTCGACGAGGTAATGACGCCGTCATGGTGAGAGGCACTTTTGCCAATATTCGATTAGTTAATAAATTTATCGGAAAACCAGGCCCAAAAACTTTGTACATACCAACTTCAGAAGAGGTAAATGAAACATGAATAATTAGTTATAAGTTAATTTAATTTTATCTTTTATTTTATTTGATTTACTAAGAAACTTATTTTGATAGCATTGTCAGCATTTTCTTTATAAACTATTTTATTGAATGATAAACCGAACAATAGAATCTTTTATTCGACTGTAAATAATTATAACAACTGTGAATGACCTCGAGAAATGTCTTTATGAATAAAATAAAGCGCAAACTCTAATAAAAATTAATTATAATTACAGATGGACATTTTTGATGCCGCAGAAAAATATGCAAAAGACAAAACTCCATTGATAGCGTTAGTCGGGAAAGAGTATGGATCAGGATCATCGAGAGACTGGGCTGCTAAGGGACCTTATCTTTTAGGAATACGCGCAATAATTGCTGAATCTTATGAAAGAATACATAGATCGAATTTAGTAGGAATGGGAATCGTACCACTTCAATATCTTCCTGGTCAAACTGCTGAAACTTTAGGTCTTACCGGTTTCGAATTATTTGACATAGACATTCCAGCTGACTGCCAGCCACATCAGCAAATAACTGTGCGTACTGATACTGGAAAACAATTCGATGTTATCGTACGATTTGACACTGAAGTTGATTTAACTTACTTCAAGCATGGTGGAATTCTTAATTATATGATTCGATCAATGATATGAACTATTGTCTACTGAAAAAGTGAAAAAAACATTCTTCAGTAATTATACACTCCATAGCAATTAGAATCATATCATATGAATATGGAATATCGTTTCATATATTGTCGAAGAGGATTGTGTAAGCAATATTATTCAAAAGTAAAGAAGCTATTGCTTGCATTAGTTTATTCGGGGGTAGGTGCATCGAACTTTAGGTCATTATACTGCTTCAAGGTGTTCACAATTGCTTTTTGTTGTTAGATTTTAATAAAGGTAATTTTGTTATGAATTTTTTTTTGAAGATAGACTTGTACTTTTTTATTTATCTTACCAAATATTTTTTGATGTTATTAGTTTTTATTTTATAGTTAGAAAAATTTATCTAAGAAGAAAAAAACTTTTTTTATTATCTATTTTTTTAATATCAACAAAGGTTTGTGATATTAAAAGTATTATGTCGAAGTATTGAAAGTATTTATGTACAAATTCCAACGTTAGTAAAAAATATGAAAAGTCTGATTATTAAAAATTTTAATTAAAGTACGTAAATTATTATCATAAAAAAATATCTATGAATTTTCTTCAAAGCATGGCAGTTTCAGCAGTATCACAATTTTCGATGGCATCCTTTGGTCTCTTCCATGCAATATTTTCATTATTCTTCTTATCCACTTTTGTTTTTGGCATTTCATTTTTTAAAATCGTCATGTAAAGAAGAAAATAAGATATTGCTGCTATGGCACCTATGAAAGAGAATATACGCAGTGTGAATGGCCCACCTAATCTCTTATACAGAACTCCTCCTAATAAACTCCCCAGTGCGAAACCTAAATTAATACACATGACGTTAATAATATTGATATAAATTTTTTATATAAAAGAGTAAATAAATTCCATACCAAATCCATCATCCATGCCTGCAACAATGCCTTGAACCGTTGCAGAAGTCCCAGGAGGAGCAACTACACTCGCAAATCCAACGATAATTGTGTAACATAAACCATATGTTGGACCTTGCATAAATAGTTCTACAAGAATTGCCCACCAAGGATTTGGCACAATTGATATCAATGCAAGACGGAGAGAGTAACAGATAAAACAAAATGTTAAACTATATCCATATCCGAATTTTTTTAAAATTTTTCCTAACAAAAAATGTTATAATTTAATGTAGTATACAAACTCCAAATCAAAATGATCATTTATTGAATTTATTTTTACCAGATAACGAGAAGAAAATTACTTCTCCACCAAGTGTTTCTGCAGCAACAATAAGTCCTTCAATTAATTTTATTTGATGCAGATGATTTGTCTTATAAGCAAGATCTTCCAAATACCAAAACATGAAATAAATAATGAAACTATCCATTAAACCAGCTATTGTTGCGAAGACTAGAAATATAGCAATAGTTTTGACTTTTAAAAGCTTTTTTACATCTTTAAAAATATTTTCCGATTGAGACATCACTGGTAACTGTAAATAATAATATTATATTATTATTAACTTTCAAATAGAGATATACTTAATAATTTATTAAATCATTTATGACAGACCTCAAGCTTGGTGCAGCAGAAAATATCAAGAAGTGTAAAAACAATGACCAGAATAAACGCTGGAGTATAAGATTTGATAACATCATCGCCAGATACAAAATCAATCGCATAACCCGCCGTTAAAGCTGTTATACCAAATCCAATAGTACCCCAAACTCTTTGACGTCCATATCCCATATGACCTCCTTCACCTATTTTCATGAGAATCACTACAATGAACTCGTAGCTCATCTTATGATGTCTGTACATATATAATACTCATATTTTTATCTTAAAGTAAATGGTAAATTTCAATATGATTGCATTGAAATATAGAATACCTAAAATATCAAAACAAATAGCATCAGTGACGGAGTTGGTGACGTTGAAACTAATACTTCCGATCGACATTAGAAGAATAAATCCCCAAAACCTTAGACTTTGATAGAGACATTGATTAGACTCGTTAACTTCAATTTCCTTCACTTGGCATGCTATATTATTATCATGGTCTATTTGAGGAATAATATCACATAAAGTAAAATTTTTGTGGTCAGTATAATTGTTCTGACTATCAAAATTCCAGCAGAGAAGTATTGGGTTTCTATTCAAGTCATCTTTCATTATCACCGAGGCCAAAATCATTTGCTCTAGAGTATTATTATGCCATAAACATTTAACTTGTGCTAGATAGCTTATCTCTTGACAACTTTCAGTCATATATTTTTTTTGATTGTCACATAAATGTTGTATATCACAGAAATGTAATGATGAATAATTGAGAATCATATTCAAGTATTTTTCTGGCTCTCCCGGCTGCTTGGGCAAGAAATAAAATAACACAAATGCCAAAGAGCCACTCACTAGAATTCCTATAAAGATTGTTTTTCTTTTGGTATGAAAATAATCAACCAAGAATCCAAATATTGGCTTGGATAGAAAATAAAGTATCGGAAGCACTGCTGTTACTGTTCCCATTGCCATCGCTGATATTCCTAGCTGCTTTCCATAAACAGGCAGAAAAGGCAAAATTGGTCCCATAGCTAGAAAAAGATGTATTTGAATATATTATGATAATTTTTATGCTTCAGAGAAAAAAAATTCTCAATAATTTATTTTAAATCAATCATACCAGCCATGAAAAAGAAAAAGTGTGCCTTTATGGGCAACTGTTGGAAGTTGATCTTGAACTTGAGAGCCATGATGTATCAAAACTGGTTTGTTGTTACCAATATAGTTGAATTGAATCATTCAAATGGTAATGAGCAATTGAAAATAACACTTCTTCGTGGCTTCACACGTCTGGACCACAACCAGTAACTCTTCTGACTCATAGTGATGTTACAATCTTAATTGAATATACTTTAAAAGATTAATATTTATGTGTGTAATTGTCATTCTTCTATGAACATTTACGTATCATATTTGATATACTTACACAGTTTATGATAAACATTATCAAAAAATTAAACTCAACTTATACTTATCAGCTGATCACGTAAAACTTTACAAATTACCTACAAATAATGCACGTTATCAGTATCGTTACTTTATTCATCTGTCTGTCAAGATATCCTCTTCCCACATATTATGCTTTAAATAGTAAGAGTTTATTAATAATCATCCTTAGTATTCAATCAACGAACAATTGATCAACACATTTTTAATTGAAGAAATAAAAATGCTGGTTTTAAAGAGCTTCAAGTTTTTATTTAAATAAAAAATGTGTTTATCATTTGTAGTACGTTATTATTAGATTGTTTTAGCATAAATAATTTACATACTGGCTCCAATCCAATATTTACAAAATATTTTCTCAGAAAATTCCTCTTTATTGTTCAAGAACAGAACTCTGATTGGCTTTGGGAGTGAATTCGTCCTCATAAGCGCCAAGTGAGTTGACATTCAAAATAATTTCCAGCAATGAAAATCGGACGTTCAATCAATGACAATTATTTTTTTGATAACAATTGTTATGAAACATTGTTTACATTATTACTTAGGTATAAAAAACAGTTTAAATACTGAACAGTGATAAGATTTAATTGTACTGATTGAATTAGTTCTAATTTTTTTTGTTCTTAATATAATATTATCACTACAAAGTCCGTACATACAAATGTATATGTCTAATTGATGCCAAGGTGAAGCATTTATGAAATAAATATTAATTTGAATAATTTCAAAATGTTTATGACTGTATAAGTAAATTTAATAAAAACAAACACATTGATAAATTTGATCATTATTGATTTGTATCAGTTTCTTGATAAATAATATTTTTCAATTTAATATTGTTATAGTTTTCAATTTAAATGTTTACAAATTTCAAGCAAAATTTACCAATTGGTTAATTGATTTCCTAGAAGACCCATAAGATGACGCATGAGATCATTGGAGAATTCTAACCTCTAACGGTTGACGTTTACTTCACAACAAATAATATTTATCAAAAATTGTTTAATTAAAACTGAAAATTAGTTAATTGTTCATATGTAAGAAGAGGTTATTAATATTTGAGCATCACTTATAAAATTTTTATAGTTCATTTATTATAACTTTTATTATAACATTTCTTACAAGGTATGTACAAGTAGTATTTTTCGAGATAAAAGCTCTAACTTTTAACAATAAATATAATTTGATCAGGTAGATAAAATTACAAAATGCTAGAAATAACGTGTAACGATCGACTTGGCAAAAAAGTACGTGTAAAATGTAATCCAGATGATACGATACAAGATTTAAAAAAACTGATAGCTGCTCAAACTGGTACTCATTGGGAAAAAATAGTATTGAAAAAGTGGTATACAATTTACAAAGATCATATTAAACTTCAAGATTGTATCCTTTTTTTTCATAAATCTAAAGCAAAGAATTTATTTATTATAATTCATTCATTAATGTTTCCTTACATTAAATATTTAGATGAAATTCACGATGGAATGAATTTGGAGCTGTACTATCAATAAATTTATAATTAATGATATGGTGATTTTATAAGAACGTTGTTTATTAAAACATAGACACTGTATTTCATAAATAATTTGATTTGTCAAAAATATTAAATAATAATAATAATAATTTATAATTATAAATTTTAGCTTTATAGATATTTTTATATATATTAATTTTTTTAGCTTTAAAAGTGATCCCTCATAAAATAGAGATAAAATTAGATTTTGATATTAAATTAGTACGGAGTCAAATTGACTTAGCTTAAGAACATAAAAAAAAAATTAATGGGGCCTTTTAAATAGACCTTCAGCATGATTAACAGGACATTCAGATTCCACCATGACTCTACCCCGATTACCCAGTATATCCCTTATATGCTGCACTATCAAGTCTATCGCCACTGTAACAAATGCAATAAAAAACAAAAATTCCATATATCAATTTTTCCAATATTTAAATATATATTTGAATAAATTCAAAATACACATCATATGAAAAATCAATAAAATATACAAAATTCTACGTAAATATTGTCAATTAGTTATAAAAGTAACATTGATTGTGAATTTTTTTTTCTACGATGTCTATATAAAGTTATATAAAGTAAATATTTGAATAGAAAAGGGAATAGGAAATGGTTTTGTTTGTTTGAATTTGTTTATAAACATTGCTCTTGAGCTAACTTGTTGATGTGATTATTAGAAATGAGCAAATATTAAATGCAGTGCGATTTTTATAACTACAAAAGGCAATTAACTGAATGATTCATGCATGATACTATTATTTATTTGTTTAAATTTTAATGAATCATCTGCTGAGGGTGTCTGATGAAGCTGAAGTGCGTCTACGTTGGATGTATGGATGCTGCCCGGATGCACTTTCAGCCTTTTTCGAATGTAAAATGTCCCAGATGTGGTGCACGATAAGGTCTATCGCCACTGGAAAGACACAATACTATATTCTATGAATGTTTGTATATTTTAGAGCATTCACTTTCGTTAAAATTAAAAATCAAATCAACGGACAGCACCCATCACTTGCCGTTAAAAAAAGCAATAATGTTTAAATAAAATTTTATTTACCTGTATTGTCTGCTCCTCGTGGTATTATAACGTCTGCGAATTTTTTTGTTGGTAAACAGAATTCTTCAAATGCTGGTTTTACAAAATTCATGTATTGATTTAAAACATAATCTAGATCTCTTCCTCGTTCATTTATATCTCTTGGAACTAAATAAAAATCAAATACATCATAAATATTTTTTTTTAACTTAGAATTAATTTATTTATATCATCTAATTATTCTTTACCTCTCCTTGCAAGTCTTGTATCTGAATCTGTGTCTACAAATAATTTCATGTGAAATAAATCACGAATCTTTGGAAAATAAAAGACTAGTATTCCTTCAAAGAGAACCACATCTGCTGGGTAGATTGTAGTTATTTGGTCTTTCATCCTAAAAAATTATCATAATTGTTATTATGGAAATACAGTTGTTGCTAATAAAGTTTTTCGAATGACTTGTATCACTGGTTTACTTACAGACTATTTGTTCTATAATCATAAGCGGGAATTTCGCATTTGACTCCAGCAAGAATATCTTGAAGAGTTTGAAGAATCAAATCATTGTCAAAAGCATCAGGATGGTCAAAATTATATTGACCTTTTTCAGCTCTAATTTTTTCAGCAGGTGTTAAATCTCGATAAAAACTATCTTGTGAAATGCAAACAACTTGACGTTCCATGTGATCCACGTCCACTTGGCCAAGTTTCTCCATTATTCGTTTGCATACTGTTGACTAATTCAAGGAATAATAATAAAATTAAAACAAACACGTAGATTCCAATGCAAAGTATAGGTTAAGTATAAAAATACAACACTACTCGATCATTTAACAATACAAATAGCTATAGGTTTGATAAAAAACTCAATAAATTTATCAGAATAAATTCATTTGTTACCTTTCCACTGGCTGTACCTCCAGAAACTCCAATAAGAAAAGGTGTTTTTCCTTCAACACCATTCATTTTATTGTTAAACCCGAACGAAATTTTACGGGACATACCGTCTATCGGGACGTCTGCCATTATTAATTTTTTATTGATTTATTTTTTAAAGAAATGTGAAAAATTATTTTCACTTGTTCGAGACTAGAATATTATAATATCGAATGATTATAATACTAATGACACTTAAGAAACTTTACTGCAAGTAATTACTGCAGTAGACTCACATGTTAAATGGTTAGTCATCAGACTTTTCAATCGTAGTGGACTAGTCGAACATCCCAATCAGTCTTCAAAGTCCCTGCAGTTTGCACATTTGAAGATTGCAACTGTATAGCAAACTGATTTTCAGACTGATGTAACGTCCCCAAAAATGCACTATAAATGGGTGCATTTAAAAAATCTTTTCTCTTACTTTGATAAGTAAGTTTTCTAGCGTACCATCATAAGTCAACTCTTGCAAGTTGGCAGTCAATAACTTTTAATCCTAGGGATCAGTTGTAACGACTGATTGTATTATTTTCATTATAGGTTATGTTCTCTCAAACAATGTCTCATTTCTTTTCCTGCTCATAAATAAAAACATGTGTTTTCTTCAATCTTGTAAGTGCTCCAATTACTACTAGTGCATCGAAATGTAATTGAAAAAAATTGACTTTAATTAATTTGAGTTATTCAAAAATTTGTTTATTATAAATATTCAATTTTTATGTGAAAAATTCATTTGACTTTATAATCTCTAGTTCGTGGAAGTTCATCAACAAAAAATAAATAAAAAGAAGGTTTAATTAAACTAAATTTGTAATTGATATAAATAATACAATGAGTGATTCGGAAGAAGATAATCCAACCTCAAAGACTGGTCCAGTCGATGATGCTTGGAACATGAAAATTCCTGAGTTCAAACCAGAAGATAACCCTCATCGGCTACTGATAGAGAGCTCTTTTGCTACACTTTTCCCTAAATACCGGGAGCAATATATCAAAGAATGTTGGCCTCTGGTTCAGAAAGCATTAGAAAAATATGGAATTAAAGCAGAATTGGATCTAGTTGAAGGAAGTATGACTGTAAAGACCACAAGAAAAACATGGGATCCTTATATAATTATTAAAGCGAGGGATATGATCAAACTAATATCACGTTCAGTCCCTTTTGAGCAAGCAGTGAGAGTTCTTCAAGATGATATAGGCTCTGACATTATCAAAATATCATCGTTAGTTAGAAATAAAGAAAAATTTGTTAAAAGAAGACAAAGATTGATTGGGCCAAATGGATGTACTCTCAAATCTATTGAATTATTAACTAATTGTTATGTGCTTGTTCAAGGACAAACCGTAGCTGCTTTAGGACCCTATAAAGGATTACAACAAGTTCGAAAAATTGCAGAAGATACTATGAAAAATATCCATCCAATTTATAATATAAAGGCATTGATGATAAAAAGAGAGTTGGCAAAAGATCCAAAATTAAAGGATGAAAATTGGGAACGATTTTTACCTAAATTCAAGAGTAAAAATATATCGAAGAGGAAAGAACCTAAAGTTAAACGAGAAAAGAAACCTTACACTCCATTCCCACCACCACAGCCAGAAAGTAAGATTGATAAACTCATAGCTAGCGGAGAATACTTCTTATCAGACGCTCAAAAGAATGCCAAAAAGAAGAAGGAACAGGATGCCAGACATGCAGAAGCTATGAAGAAGAGAGAAGAGCGTAGAGCGCAAGCATTTGTTCCACCTGAAGAAACGGAAGTACCTAAAACTAAAAAGAGGAAAAATGATATAAATATTGAGGAAATCAAAGAAAAAGTGAAAAAAAGTATCAAAAAGAAACAGAAGATGAAGTAAATAATGTAGGTGATTGTATAATAAATTTTATGTAAATTTCTATATTGTTTTTTATTAAAAATCCTATTTTTATTTTCATGTATGTTATTTATTTAATACATTATGTATGCCATAATCTATCTTCATAAAGTAGAGAAAAATTTCAGCTTTTTAAATTCAACTTCTATTTATTTTATTAAGGGTCTACTTTAAATTGATTGTGAATTAACAGCTGTTTTACAATTCATAATCATTTTTAAAAAATTTACAATTTAAATCATTAGCTCTTTTAAGTATTTGTGATTTGTAATTTTTATTTTTTACCTACATTGCTATTTTTTATAAATATAACTGTAGGACTTGTGTATTTTTAAGATACTACATATGAGCATTCTTCATTTTTTTTTTTTTAATTTTCTCTCTTCACAAATAATGTCTTTCATTTTTATTTTACTTAATGATTAATTTTAATTATCAATTTTGTTTTAGTATGTTGATTGGTATTGTTTGATTAACAATTATGATTATTTGCTAGTAAAAAATGAATTTATAATATTCTTTAATTGATAACATAACTATAAGTCTTAATTGTTTCTCCATATTGGAATTTAAATTTCAATTTATTTTCTAAGATACAAAAGGAGGCATAGCTAATGGAATAAAAATAATAATATTTTATTAAAATGATAAATTATTCTTAAATTCCAGTTTTTTTCAAATATACAAGTCCTTATTATGCTATCAGCATCTAATTTTTTAATAAAAATTCATATTTACAAACATTTAAATTTTATACTAAAGCCTGTATTGACATCATTCAATATGTATCAAAAGCCAGCTACTACACACTTTGAAGACATCCATTTTTAACGGGAAATAATATTTTGCCAAAATTAAATTCAAAACAGAAAAAATTTTTTTTTTAAATTTTATTAATTATGTTGACTTTTTTTGATTTTATTTATTTTATCATAAAAAATTCCTTCACTATCAATATCATTGACAAGAAATGTACTAGTAGTGAAATAACAGTACAGTTTGACTAACAATTAAATTTAAATACAATAAAACGCAATATTTTTTTTTTGGTTTTTTTTTCTTATCAGCACCATTAAAAGTAAGTACTTGAATTTATATTATAAAAATAAATTGTAATACGATAGAAATTGAAGACATTTTTGCGAGTGTTGACACATCATCTAATTATAAGTTTGATGATTAATGAATTTGATATTTGTCGAGATATAAAACAATTGGCATAAATTATTGAGTATTTTGTTTTAAATATAAAAAAATGATTTAATCATGATCCTAGTATGGTGAGTCTCAACAATTAAAGTTAATTTATCATTAGATGATTGTTCAATTATGGAAGAAAATTCGTATTAAATTACATATACATGTAAACAAAACGACTAGTAAACACGCTAGAAATCTGCGTTCTCAATGAAACCACGCTTTTAAAAAATAAGTAAAAAAAATTTGTATAACATTATATTAGTATATCTTCTGAGCAATAGAAAGATTTTTTATATACAAAATTATTATTTGTAAAAGTATTCTTTCCTACTGCTCTAGGGTTCCATCATAGCTGCCCAAAAACATTTTTACCCTCATATGGATGTAATCTCAGATCCATATTTCACTTATATTGTGGTTTGCTATTCGTACGAGGGTAACATTTTTCAATAATAATATATAATATGGAACCCTAATTTATCAACATGTATATAAATAAAAGATGCAGAATCCTTCGTAATCTTGCATTAATAAAATTTGCAACTGGATTATATGATAACTAATCATTAGTTAAACTAATAATTGTCCTCATCATATTTTAGGCCTTTATAAAACCACACACACACACAATTTTCTAACTTTTCGAGTTTTCATTTTCAATTTATCTTAATTCTCACTCCTAAAAGCAATCACATAAAATCTTAAAAAATAAATTTAAAGCTAATGACCATGATTATATAAATGCCACCGCTGTGATTCAGCAGTAGAATCACATTTTTCCGCAGTGATTCCTCTTTCAACATGATATCTCGAGTCCATGCAAGCAGGAATTCTCGAATGTCGTATTAAACCGCCCTCAAGACGTTTCCATTTCTGGTTTTCACTTCCGTCGCAAATTTGCATCACCAAACTCGTTCCCTTTGCATACATTGGCAGTGTTAAACAAAGTTCATGATGTTTTATTAGCCCATCTTTCGTCATACTCCATTCCTACAAGCAAGTTTGTTAATTTAAATTCCAATTTAATTGACTTTAATCGAATAACTCTGTTTACCTGGTTACCACCGGTATCATGACACGGATATAGCCCAACATTTCCATCTAGTAAATGACCCATGCTATCTAGACATGCATTGCCTTGTTTTAATGCACCACCCGGTCCTCCTTCACTTGTAGGAATTACAAGCTCTGGGTATACATTCTTGAGATACCAACTAAAGGGTTTGCAATGCAATTTCCTTTTCAACTCAAGTCTATCTCGAATACTGTAATGTTAAATATAACATTTTATAGAATATATATCATTGAAAGTGTAGGAAATATGCAAAAAAATTTGTTCATACCTTCCGTATGGTATGTTTCTAGCTAAGGGTACAGCATTATAGTAAAATTGTTTATAATCATCCATCCAAACTTCAGCAGCACGTCGAGTGTTTCGAGCGAATACATTACCACTACCCCCAGGAAACGAATATGGATGACGCTTACGAAATACGTGGCCTACACGAGAACATGGAATTATCTCTAAACTTCCACCACACTGCCATACTCGGAAGGAAATTTCTACAGTTTAAACATGATTAATGAACATTAAATTTTTTTTTATATTACTAAGTTATTTGCTTTGAATATTTTACCTAAATTCTCTCCACCCCAAACGTCCATCTGAGTGTCATACTTTCCAAGCTTTTCAAAGTAATATTTATTGATAACAAATAAACCTCCAGCAATCATTGGAGTTTTTATAGCTTGAGTTGGATCCTTCTGACGTGATTGCCTCTCTGCTTGGCTCAAATATTCCCATTTGAAGACTAAGCTCCAGTCAAAACCACCCCTTAAATCAGCTGAAGCTCCTGCAAGTAAAAATCTATAGTCTCATATTCCTTTATTGTTTTAAGATAGTGAAATTGATGATGTTTGCTTTCAATGAATAACTTTGAATTAAATAACCCATAAAAATAATCTTATAAAAAACAGTAGTAAATGTCAAATATATTTTGTCAACTAGAATAACTGATGCTTGAATAAATCCTTTGATTAAATCCAGTTTCATTGATTGATATTCAATAATCATAATTGCTAATAAATTTAAAATCATATTACATTTTAAATCAAAATTTGTTCATAAGATTTAATCTTTTATTTATTTATGTTCTAAATAATTTAATCAGGAAATTATAGGTTTATTAACATTGAATTTACATTCATATTATTTATCTAAGATTTCATGTTTACTTTATCATTATTTAGCAAGTAAATAAATAAATTATTTCCATTTATTAAAGTAGATATATTCAAATACAATAGTTAATAAAAGAATTTTTTACTTTATCAGAAATATTCTTATAATTTTTTAAGAATCACTATTTTTCTTTAGATATTTATAATAGAGTTAGAGACTGTAAAAAGTATCTTGACGATGCATTACTCAACTTTTGAAAAATTCCTATTTTACAATACAAGACATAATTCACTCTAGTACGAAAGTAAAGTATCTAATGTCTTTTCGAAAAAATAACAAAAAGACACATCAGTATAGCAAGATCAACGTTGAAAGCTGCAGAGATAACTTAATGTTGCAAAAACTAGAAGTGACAAGATAGTTTTTGTCGTCTTTTGACATTAAGAACATCCAGTTACATAAAAATCATGATGTAGCTTTTCATGTGATAAAAATGATGTTGACTTAAGAAGTTAGTTGATTAAGATCAATAATTGGCTCCATTAGTTAACCAAAGACCGACAATCCTTTACAAGGTTTTCTCGGTTGTTCAACTATAGGTATCTTGTTCTGGTTAACCACTGTGTTACATTTATCCTATCTAGACTCACCGATATATTGGAATGTGTCCATACTGATAACATCAATAACTGGACATACAACTCTCGTTGGATCTTCAGCAACTCTTTCCAACAGAGGCTCAAGCCAATCAGCATTGCATTCACAGTGGGAGTCGAGAAAAGTTAAAACACTTGCTGTAGCAGCGTCAGCACCTCTTACTCTAGACCTCATAAGTCCTTCGCGTTTTTCGTTTCTTATCACCCTTACTTTGTGAATTCTTGACAGTTCTTCGCCATCCTCAGCTATAAAAATATCAAAAGAATGTTTTATAAAAACAAACTTTATATTGAAATAAAAAAAAATACTCTTTTTTATTCATTCTTTGAATACTTACGGTGATCACTGAAGTCGTCTACAAGAATGATCTCCTTAATGAGATGTTCTGGACTCCTATTTAGTACACTATGAAGCAACAATTCAAGTAAATTAGTTCATCTCGATGTTATGAAGCATTGAAGAAGAATAAATTAAAAGTACAAGCAATTTGAATATGAATAATGACCTGGTAAATTAGTAATTAAAATTCACTTTTTAAGTATGATAATAGAAATTAGCCTACTATGATTGCATTGAAAAATATTGAAGCTAGATCATCTTTTTTTTTTCTAAAATCATTATATTATTTTTTGTATATATTAATTCTAGGAAATAAAATGGTTGGAAAAGATATATTTTTAAGCTTCTAGAGCTTAATAAATAATTAAGTGGACTCTCTACTTTAATTACTCATAAATGAAGGATTTTAATTATTCTCATTGTTCACAAAGTAATTAAGGTGATAAGTGGAGTCCTTAAATTTTAAATCTTTCTTCTTTTGGTGAATTTTAATTACATAAATCTTTTTGAGACCACTTAGTTATTTAAAATTTTTTATGAACTGCTAATTGACATTTGGCGATGAATTTTGTAAATATGTCAATTTGTTGAGCTATAATTTATCTTATATTAATAAACTCTCATGTAAATTGTAGTACTATTGATTTTAAATTCATTTAATTGCTGTAAATATGCAACACTTTAATTAAAATAAAATAATTATAAAGTTTTCTTTTAATTTTTTTTTATGAAAAAATAGTTACATTATATTTCTAATGATATTTTATTGCAAGAATTGCACTACAATTTGCAATTTATCTCAATTAAGTTACTCAATTTTCTTTTCTCTTCTGTTTTTTATTGTTATTTTGTTCTTGCCTTCAGTCATTTTAATTCTCTTTTAAACAAAGTATTGTTTCATTTAATGTAATTTCCTTTATTTTATTTATTCAATTGAATAAATTGCGTTTCTCTTTACACAATAAATAAAATGACCTCAGGAAAATTCACTGCAAGCAAATAAATCATAAAGGTTTCCATCATTGATTTATTTTTAATTATACTTTGAACATTTACTAAATTCTTGTTTGAATAAAAAAATGTTTTTATCATTTATAATGCATAAAAGGATTTAGAGTTTATTAATATTCATGAAATAAAATGATATTAAAAAAAATCACTTAAGATTTTATGATCACTATTGTTCTTACCTAACGACAGTACGTAGAAGTGTTGATCTCGCTTCATTATGGAAAGTTATAATCACGGAAGTAGGTGGAAGATCTCGTCTCCATTCTTTTAAACGACACCTAGAGAAAAAGAAGAACATAAATTTTTTTTTTAACAAGTATTTTCTCATTTTTTCTTTCAACTTTCTTCAATGAATGAATGATTAATAAAAAAAAAAGTCTAAGCGATAAAATTTATTATAAATTCACAGGAAAAAAGTAAAAAGCTGAGAATAACGTAAAGAAAATCAAGTAAACAAGTTTACAATTTTTTTTTTTTAAAACAAGTTCACTTGAGTTAACTTTTTATTATATTTTTTAAAAATATATATCTGAATTATTCATTTTTTACTAAAATAACTAAAAAGTATTTTTTCCATTGTGTAGTGTTATTTAAATGATGATTATTATCATGATGAGCATCCACCATAATTTTTGAACTAATTTAAAATAAATAATTCTGTTAGATTGTACATGTTGATAATAATAATTATGATAACAATAATAACATACATGACATAGACCTTTCTATACTCATAAACGTATAAATTCACTCATACGTGAATTTGAATGCATAAAGGAAGATGAAATAATTGTGAATATGGAGTAAATCCGACCATTGCTATTTTGATATGTTAAGAGAAAGCTTTCTGTCTCTCTGCAATAACTCAACTCACTTTATCATTGGAGTTCAACTCTTCATAGAAAATTGAACAATTGTTTTTTTTTTGGACTATTTTTACTAAATATAAATTATGTGAGAATTTTCTCACATACGTGGTTGTGTTGCATAATTAGTGCACATATGGTGAGAGGACATTAATATTGAGTTAAGTATATATTAGCATGTAATTTAATAGAACCTTTGTTATAATTTACTTGTTTTTATTTTTTTAAAAATTTCAATTAAAGGTTTACCATCATTAAATAAAATAAATCTATAAATTGGAATGTATTTATTTATAATTATGTTTTGCTAATAATTTCTCTTGGATGAGATTTATTGATATGTGCATATGTGAGAATTATGATATCATGAATGTGTTTATGGTTTAAGAATAATTTAGTCAAGTTTGATTAAATATCATCGAAATTAGTTGAGAGATCAGAGTTGAATAATCGTTAATAAGAATTATATTTCCAAATGAATAACGTACTTGGTTACAATTATTGACATTTATGATTGCTGGAATAAATTATTATAACGTGAAATTAATGAAGGAATTAATCATTACTATTCAGTGATCTAGAAGCAAATAACTTATTTGATAATGATAAATATTCATCTGATAAATTATTGATAATGTATTTAATTAATCGAATTTAAATGAACAAATAAATCATGCTAAGTAATCCAGGCTATTTTCCCCAAGTTCTTGAGCTATTTTTCATTGTCATTATGTAAATAAATACATCATATTATTGAGAGAGTATTTATCAGCATGATGGCAAGAGAGTGGAGAATGAGAGAAAGAAAAAAAATATCTGAATGAGTTTTTTTTCTGGGGACTGAGTGGTAAGTAGTGAGATAGGTCAGTTTTAAATGAGATGTGATTGATGTCCAATTCGATGCTTTCAAGTTTATCTGACTCTTTTTTATATATATTTCCTTGATAGAATCAAAGACTAGCTCATTCTTGGACCATGCTTTGTTCAACATTGAACAGAAAGCTTGATGTACTGAAAATCTTTCCATTATTGAAAATAGAAAAAGCTTTTTCATCATAATATTTATATTCTACTCTTCTAGGGAGACTGATAAAATGTCAATTTTTTAGACTTGAACTGTTTCCAAATAATTACCTACTATTTTGATTATACAGTCACCTAGAACAAATAAAAACATCAATCAAACTTAACACATTCAATAGATGATCTTTTTTGGTGCTTTAGAAAACACTTTTGATTAATTATACACATATGGATTTTGTAAACTTTTAGTAATTGAACATCAAAATGCTAACAAAAATTTACTAAAAATATCTTTCAATACAGAGTAGCTTGTTTTAATCCTTTACTTTATACTCATTTATTTTGTAAATAAAAATTTTGGTATCTCTGTGTCAGTTCGTAGGAACTCCTTTGATGTTAAGCAAAAGTGCTAAAGAGCAAAGTACTGAAAAATTGGCTTTGCCTGACGATTTGAGTCAATATCATCTACATGAGTTATTTTAGTTAAAACTGATGGTTAATATGCTTCAATGTGATTCATTTTTTATTTCTCTTAAATTCAGTAAATTATTTAATTATTCTTTAAAACAAATTAATTTTAATCATTGGAATAAACTAGAACAGCTAAGAAAACATGTCATTTATTCATTCGTGATTTATTAATGGATACTTGTGGTAGATAAATTTGTAAATTTTCTATCTGGACACTGTCTATATGCTGAAGAGTTAGAATTATCAGTGTTTCAATTGATGATCTCAAGACCTAAGACACTGTTGAATTAAATGTGAAATTTAAATTAGAGATTATTTTGAATATTTTTAGTAAAAGAAAACTTTGGTAAGAAGAAATTTAAACATTGTTTAAATTGTAAATTTTTATTAAAGGATTGTTAATTGAAAGAAAAATTCTCAAAAGTCTTGTATCGAAAAGTTACAGAGATGCATTTCTCAGGAATTTAAATATTTCTTTTTATTACAATAAATTATCATATGAAATATTTCACATGTTTTATAGGGAAAAAATTTAAATACATTTGTATGTTTTTCAAAGCAATGTAATCTCCAATTCAATAAAAGCATTATCCACTGTCCAAATGAAAAACTTGTGGATACCACCTATTGAATCAATTTATAGTGTGTATTAAGCAACATCGCTTTTCGATATTCACCATCCCATTAATTACACTAAATCCTCTCGATATAACACGCATAGAAATTTACCAAATTGTCTTCTAAAATCTAGTTTCCAATTTACACTTAACATTCTAGGGTAACAAAAAAGGATAATATTAGGTCAGTTTTTTTTCTTTGGAAACCAATACTCTAGAGCATTTTGAACAAACTGGAGAATGAAAAGATCTGGGTTGCTTTTAACAACTCCAACTAAAATTAGCAACCAGTTTTTTCTTTTTTTTCAATAAAGACTCGTCTTTTGATAGTAGCTCTATTCAACAAAACTGGTTAATAATTTATTCAACACATTTGTTTTTTGGAAGCAATGATTTTGATATTTTTTGGCTTTTTGATGAATGGATAGACAACTGGGAAAGAAGGCTACTGAACCAATAATCCATCAATTAGCTCTTTTTTTTTGTTATTGAAGTTCCATTAAAACCTTTTTGGAATATACTTAAAACTTCCAAAAGTTTACGATTAGTTATAAAAACTATTAAAGAGGTATTTTTTTAATCTTTATATGCACGTCATGTGCTTATAAATTGTCACGGTCTCCTGAGTTTGTAATAAGAATTTTCTCTAGTTGGATGAGTTTCTGAGCATGGTATTTCTTTTCTTTTGTGATAAAGTTTCAGCGATTAATTAGGTTATATAGCCTAAGTCAATAGTTATCCATTTATAGATAAAAATACTAGGTAAAAGCAGTAAAAATAATAGTTCAGATTGTGATGATGGTAAAATCTCTTTGAACTTTTTTTTTTTGTTCCTATTACAAGTTAACAAAGCCATCAACAAGAACGACTTTTGCCTTCATATTGTATAACTAAATTTTTTATTTAAAAATAATTTCATTTCTGAAAATAACTATGTTCTTTGAAAGTTACTTTGTTGCTATAATTTATATTATTCAACTTCCCAAAATATATATATATATCAAATTGGAGAGAACTTTCTAGATGTGACCTCTTTCTAGGGGTTCATTCTGCTTTTAATCTACGTTTTTAATTATCAAATTCAGTTCTAGGTAGTATAAAACCTTTCGTTCTCCTGGGTACGGTAATTCACAAGTCTAGTATTATACACCTGCATACGTAAATAAAATAACAATAGTTGAAGATACGATTTTTCATGAAGAAAAACTCATGCTGGGCAGAGTGGTAATCAAAATTAATGTATTAATAATAAAATTTGTAATTGAAATCTGTTTTTATGACCAACATTAAGTAAAAATGTACCAACAAAAAATAAAGTTACATCATTGATTCATTGCACCACTGAACACAATAATAATGTGTAATTGAATTTACAAAATCATCAATTTATTAATTCCAAAACCAACTCATTGACTCTCTAGAGTACTAAAATATTTTTTTAATTTACAGAATGAATTGTTTCCATGACTGAAATATGTTTGCAAAGCTGTCAATTGATTTATCAATTGAAAAATGTAAGAGACTTTGATTTATTTAAAGTAATGCATAGTTAACATACCTTACTAAGATTTATTCTAAAAATGAAATTTTATGAGCATTAAATGGATTATATAAATGGAAGAAAAATGTAAAGATGTAAATTTAAACAAATTCCTAGATTTAAACAAGATTAGACAATTAAACAAGATAAAGCCCAAAATTAGCAGAAGATGATAATGAATGACCCTGTTGTTGATTAATTAATGAAACAAATCATCCCTGACTGAATAATAATCTTGTTGCAAATTTGATAAGTTGCAATCATTTATTTCTTCGAATTTAATTATAATCTTGCAGCTTAAGTTATTGAATCACTATTAGAACACAAGATAGACATTGTGTACCCTTTGTACAACATTTATGTTGAACGCTTCGGTGTTATGCTAAACATATTGACATAATTTCGTCGTGGTTGTTAACCAGATTTATTATATTCATGTTCATGTGTGTTGCTGTAATATGACAGTGTCAGGAAGCAGAGTAAATTTACAGGAGTGGAATGATTTTAGTAAACTTGGAAGAGAAAAATATAATATAGATAAATTTATTATTCTTTGGTAAAGAAAAAGTAACCATGTTGAGTAGAAAGCAAATAAGATGTTGCTTCAAAGAAGATGTTTGAATTAATTAAATAAAAAAGTCGTTGTGTCATGAAAGACAATGAGAATGACATAAGACTACCTAAAACAAGATTAATTAGAAAGTGATGCCTCGTAACGAAGAGAAATGTTTTAACAGAGGAATGATGTGTCAAGTAATAGA